AACTTTGCAATATGCTTAGGGAAATAACTCTGATTAAGATCTGAATTTTTTTACACAATAACTTCAGTTCTTCTGCCACAATCCTCTCTCTGAAAAGGCAAACTTGCAATTCCTTATTTTTTGTGAATCAAATGATGACCTATGTCTACTTCATTGTGTTTTATTCCTTGAATTTTTGTACTTGACCTACAACGGTTTCTCATTATTGAAATGCCTAACACATGTTAAAGTTGCACATCCAACGCATAAGCAATTGGCAGAGGATGCAGGGACCTTGAATTTTAGATTTTGTGATTCAATGTAATATATGTAATAAAGGATTTTATATTCTCAACGACGCTTATGCTTTTCCTCTTTTTCTTGACCAGGAAATTACCTTAAGTTCTATAGTGCTATAAAACATGCCTATCCAGACATCAAAATAATTTCGAACTGTGACGGATCTTCTCAAAAGTTGGATCATCCAGCTGATTTGTATGATTTTCATGTAAACTTCATAACACCACCACTTGTATTACACTTGCTAATGAATTTTTTCTTTACCATTCAATGCGTCGGATCATTGATTTGGCAACATGGAATGACATTAGCAATAGTAATCTTACCTTCTGATCTTTATTTAGGTCTATAGAGATGCCGAAACCATGTTTTCTATGGCTCATCAGTTTGATCATACATCACGTAGTGGTCCCAAGGTAGGGTAATGTGCCTTCTTATGATTTAATCTGCTCTGAATGGCTTCTATTAATTTTCTTAACATTCAATATGATTCAGGCTTTTGTGAGTGAGTATGCCGTCACAACAGGAAGTCTTCTAGCAGCACTAGGTGAAGCTGGATTTCTTATTGGGCTGGAGAAAAACAGGTTTGTTGTAGCATTTCAAGAATTTGTTTCCTGTAATATTTTCCAGAATGCTTACAATGTTTTCTTTACAGAAATTATTTTCTTCAAAGTTCTAGCAGAAAAATATGCATAGTTTGCTATCTTATATAGATATGTCTACACATAATTAAAGATCTAACTTCTTATTATATATTTGCGAATACAGTATTTCTCCGTGCAAAAGAAATGCGTAGCATTTCCTGCACTTTTGTTTGCCACAAATCCATGTTGTGTGTTGCCATATTTCCTTGTGCGACCAGCTGCACATCTGTTTTCTATGGAGTTGAAGGCTTCTTATATTCCCAACCTATAGACATAGTATTAAACTGAAATAAAAATTGATAAATGGTAATAGATCGCAGATGTACTTGGGGATTCTAAGGTAGTAATCTTTACACCTAGTTTTTACCAAAAGATTTATATACTTGTAAAGACGGGCAGCTACTGAGTACTTTCATTGTTTATTCTTATCAAATGCAGTGATGTTGTTGAGATGGCAAGTTATGCACCACTCTTTTCCAATGACAAGAGGTATACTTTTCTCATCTCATTTTTTTCTCCAATGCAATTTTTATTTATTAAGTTTTCATGAGGGGATCATTGTTGTGTAGTTATTACTAAAACTGAAAACTTCTGTCATCAAGGGCGAACTTCGCTGCAATCGTCTTTAACTCCTCACATCTCTATGGGACTCCTAGCTACTGGATGCAATGTCTTTTAACGAATCAAGTGGAGCAACTATTTTCAATGCAACACTCCAAACAAATTCGTCTACTAATCGCAACTTCTTGCATCTGCAATTTCTTGGAAAAATTCAGAAAATGAGAATAGTTACCTAAGAATCAAGGTTTGTGCTAGTGCATTATCTCAGTCAGTTTTATGCTTCGTGATGCTTAATTGAGATTGTTTTCATCTGACCTCTTTTTGTTCTGTGTAAATTGTAGTTTTTCGATGCCCTTATAGTGTTTCTTGCCATCTAATACATATTTGGAATGCCTAGTATGGAAAGATCACATTGCTCTAGAACTATTACGACTTTGTTGCTTCAAATGGAAAAAATATTAGAGACAACTCAATCAATGCATGAATCTGAAATACTATAGCAATAAGTTTTATATGAATTGTCAGTTAAATATAAGGCGTGTATTTATAATATTGTCCATTCTTTTTGTAACATGTGTTTGCTTGTACTGCGTTCTTTCTGTGTGTCTGGTGCCATCTTTCTTTGTTCAGTATGATGAATCTGTCTGCTTTTCTTTTTCTGTATTGCTCAGTATCTACCTGCTGTTACAAAGTCAAATTACATTTTCATGTCAAGGCTGTAAATCTTAAACCTTTACTGTTTTTTTCTGCACAGAAGTCTTTCTACTTTAAAATCCAGTATGATGTGGATATTATATTTTAATGTTTTTAAAAAATAATATAACTATCTTGAACATCCTCCTCCCAAAAATAAATGAACGAACAATTTTGATGCTCTGAGGGCACGTCTGGTATCCATCAATCCAACTTTTACAGGAACTAGGGTTTGTGTTAACTTCTCTCTCCCATTCTTAATCAATGATTTTCTGTTTGCTTAGAATACCTTTATTTCAATACGGTTATTGCTCCATGCTAATACATGATATTTTAGGATAAGTTCTGTAGCAGTATTATGCTTCTACCCCTTAGTAGATGGCAGTGGAAGTTGCTCAAACTAATTTAAGAAAATCATCTTTAAGGAAGTCATCGATTGTTCATTATTTTTATGTTTAGGTTTCGTTTTTAACTATGACTTTATTCCAAATTCATGCAGCTTCGTTCAACAGTTTCTACCAATATGGTGCATGTCATATTCTGTGACATCTTATTACTTTGTGATTATTTCTTTCTGTAGATTGTGAACTTCGGAACAGACATAGTGAATCTCAAGATTGTTGTGGACGGGTTGGAGGTGAATTCCATTAATCTGTCTGAGTCGACCAAAACCGTGCTCACGTCAAACAACCCGATGGATGAGAATTCCTTAAATAAGCCAAAGAAGGTATCTGAGTCAGCTTGTATCCTTTAACATTTTCATATTGTTGAAGACATGACCCTACATTGCTTTTTGTATATACTTGGAGATGCTTTGTGTCTATACTAGTTTATCTTGACTTATTCAATTATGAACTGTTGAAATATAAAAGAATAGTGGACCTTTATCACATATTTTAAATTTTTAGAATAATGGTGACTTAAAAGCATCTAAGCATACCCTAATCTGTCAACTTATGTAAAATTCATGCATTGACCTCTCTAGTTGTGGAAAGAGGCTCAAAAGTGAGGATGAGTATGATGATATGAGGCTCAAAATTGCTTACCATTTTTCTATTTGAAAGTATAGTGGGGTGTTTTTCTCTAGAGTGTAAAGTAATAATAGACTTATATGTGAAAAGTCCTAAAAAATAAATAAAATAAAATAAAGTAATTGGCCAATATCCTCCTAAAAGATTAAATTTTTGGGAACAATGATGAACCAATATTGATAGCGTTGAACATAACAATGCTTCGAACCATGTTTTCTGTCCATATCTTTTTACTTTGGTTTTAAATTAAATGCAGGTGATATTGAACCGGAGTCTACTTGAGAAGGCTGGTGAGGATGGTGAGGATGTGGAGGTTGCAATCTCGCCATATTCTTTCACTTCGATTGATTTCTTAATAGAATCAAGCTAGAGTTGATTCTGTCTCTGTATCTTCTATTTAAAAGTTTGAAATTGAATAAGGGCTCATTTTAAATTGGTTTTAAATGTTGCTTTTGGTAAGGAAACACTAGTCTTAATGGGGTTCCTTGCGAAAGGGCACAAATAATAGACTTTTGGGATTTTAGTCTTTGGATTTTGATTCTTTATCCCTATGTATTACTAACTAAAGGGTTATCCTCTATTTTTTAGTTTTATTAAACTTAAACATATACAAGCACCTTGCGACAGGCTTGTAACTCAAGGAACTTAGAAGCATTTACCTCTTCATCCGAGATCGTAGGTTCGATTACTCCCTCCTATATTACTCTTATAAAAGAAAGGCTTATTTACTGTTTAATTATTCGAGCAAAATAAAAGAGTTAAATAATTATGCTAGAGGTGGGCTCCACTTTGGCCACCTCACCCATTCAGATTAGGGGTAAACCCTTGCCACATCATCAAAATTAACAGAGTGATAGAAGGAGATGATTGTAGGGGACAAAGTGAATCACTAACCCTCCGTTTGGATGAGGGAAAATAACTCAGAATTTAGCTAAAAGTAGGGAATTTAAGAGGAGAAATTGACAATTCCCATGTTTGGCAACTTAAGCGCGGAACTTATTAAATGACGCGTGGAAAAAATCATGGAAATTGAGGCATCAAATTCCTGAGTTTAATTTCCACCAAAATAGACGTCATTTCACAATTTCCACAGTGCAAGAATTTATACCACACAAAAAACCACACACACAAAACCTAAATAAAAAATTTATTGTTTATACTAGGACCTTTGTTTCTCTTGTTTCGTGTATTTCATGGTTTTTTTTTTGTTTTTTGTGGTAGAAAAATTTAATCAGAATGATCATTACTTCTTAAGTTATTTGTTGTTTATACCAAAATGAACAGCCAATGAACATCGGACACGTGGACCAAACCCGAGCTATGGGTGCCTTCGGCACCTTTCTTCGGCATCGTTCCTACCGGTCGCATCATTAGGGCAACCTCACCCCCAGGGACACGTGGTAGTCCCACAATCGATGTTCACAGTCCCACATCGAAACTCTAAACAAATTGCACACCTCCCAAGGCCTATATAAGAGGACAGCTACCACAGTTGGAGGTAATCGATCAGAACTCACGGCATACTGCCTATTGATCTGCAGTTCAAACTTATTAAATCCGTACTCATTTAAGCATCGGAAAGCCTTCGGCCGGTACCACACCGGTGCCCTAGGACTTACCGAGTGTTTACTATCTTACAGGTATAACACCCTACCGAGGCCATAGCATACCGAAGGAAAAACAAATCACTAAGTTGCGCGGGAAAGTGCCGAACCATTTTTCTGCTTCAACAGTTTGGCGTCGTTTGTGGGAAATACGAAAACAATCAACCTACAATTCCTAAAAAAAACATATGGGGACCACTTCAGGACCACAATTCCTATCGGAGGATGGATTACCGTACGGTATGCCAAGTGGAGCAAGCCCAGCGTTGCACCCTAGCACCCCCTTCGGTAATCCTCCAGTGCTTCAGACCACTGTCGAAGCGGAGCTTCTGGCTCAGACGACCTCCCTTCGGAGGGAAATGGCTAAACTCCAAGAACATAACAAACTCCTCTCGTCCAAAGTAGACAAAACCCAGCGGTTGCTTAACCAGCAGGAAACACAGAGCATTCAGGCTACCGAGTCTTCCTAGAGTCAGCAGACCCCCGGTCGGCAGAAGAAGGGAAAGAGGGGGGCAATGGCAACGCTTGCGCCTTCCAAACAGTTGGTGGTCCTGGCTCCACAGGACCAGCCTCACGTACCGAAGAAGGTGTACACCGATTGTCGTCATCGGATCAACGACAAGAAGGATGCCGAACGGCATAGGTCCCCAATCAGGGTTAATGCCCGCCTGCGGGACTCGCGGATGAAGGTCCTAGGAGATAAATCGCCCTTTAGGAAGGTCCAGGGTTTGGATTCGGGGTTGGAATCTGACGATGAGTACGTCCCCACCAAGGGCACCGAATCAAACTACCGTTCGGAAACTCCCCCGAGGTATTCGAAGGCAAGACCACCAAGTCCGAGGAGAACTTCCGAAGACTTCAATTCCGAGGAGGTCCCAAGCCGAGACCCCGCTATCCGCCTGCTTTTCCAGAGAATCCAGAAGATGGAGGATGACCGAACCCGGTCCCAGGTCCCCTGACTGGGGAAAACTTCGGCCAGGACCATTTACTGAGCGCATCAAGAAGTCCAGACAGGACAGGGAGGTGCAGCCGTTGCGCATACCATTTTATACCGGCGTGGAGGACCCTTTGACGCACCTTCACTCCTTCCAATCGGCAGTTGGATGCAAGGGCCTCAGCGACGAGGGGCAATGCCTGCTGTTTCCATCATCCCTTACCGAAGCTGCTCTGAACTGGTTCTACCGTCTCGAGCCAGGGACGGTAGACTCCTTTGACGAACTGAAGCAGATTTTCCTCAATCACTTCATGATCCAGACGGACCGCTTGTACTCTGCCGATGATCTGTACACGATTCGGCAGAGAGAAGACGAACCCCTACGGGAATACGCAGCGCGCTTCAGTCACGAGTACTCGAGGTGTCCCGAAACGGACGATAGGGCAGCCTACGGCGCCTTCAAGAGTGGCCTTCGGTCCTCTCACTTCCGGTACCTCGTGCACAGTAGTAACTGGCGCACATATGACGAGTTGATGAAGCAGGCGGCAGTTCATGCGAAAGCCGAATATTTCAACTCCAAACCCGGGCCTTCGGCTCGGAAGGAGGAGTCAGCAACCAAGAGTTATCCGGGGCGAACTGACGATTCTTCGGCAGGGCACAAACGGAAGGACGACCGTGATAGGTCAGGGAAACTCAAAGAAAGGGCGTGGGAAATACGGTCGTAACGACCACCGTGCGCCGCTACCGAATCACGATCGTGCCCAGGAAGTCTTCACCCTGCTGAACACTACATACGAGACCGTTCTGATGAACGAGCATGACCAAATCCCGAAGCCAACCAACCGAAAGCCCAATCGGCAGGACAATCGGGACACTGGCAAATTCTGCCGATACCACCAGCAGAACAGCCACAACACGAAGACTGCATTAGTCTGAGGAAGATTGTTGAGCGCCTGATTCGGGAGGGAAAGTTGGATCAGTACATCGCCAGGCCACCACAGGCACCCAGCACCGAACGCGAATCGGCAGATCAACATGATCAGCACGATCAGCGGTGGGCCCCACTCTGGCGGGACCCTCTAACCGTTCAATGAAAAAGTATGTGCGTGCCGCTCACTACCCCCAGGTCTTCGGCATAGAAGACGATCGGTGCCGCAAGGTCCCGAAGGTGGGGTGGGAGCCCATCACATTCTGTGAGGAAGAAGAGGAAGGGATCGTTTACCCCCACGATGACCCAATGATCATTCGGGCCGAGATCGCCGACTACGATGTAGGGTCGGGTGCTGATTGACACCGGGAGTTCGGTGAACGTAATTTTTGCCGATGCGTTCAAGGGACTGGGAATTGCCGACAGCATGGTCAATCGGCAAATAACACCCCTCCTCAGTTTTTCTGGGGATCTGGTCCACCAGTCGGCAGTATCAGTCTGCCCCATCGCCTTCGGCGTCGCCCCCAGGAAAACAATGACCTACGACCAATTCCTCATTGTCGATTGCCCAACGGCATACAACGTCATCGTAGGGCGAACGGCACTCACCAGGGTCAAAGCCCACTTATCCCCTCACATGTTGCTGATGAAGTTCCCAACACGCAACGGTACGGGCGTCATCCGGGGCGACCAGCTCAGCGCACGGACGTGCTATGCCACAGCCCTTAAGTCGGTAGCTTGCAAACCGCCAATGGAAGCCATGACCGTGCAGGGACTACCGAACGGTAGCGAGCCCATTGACGACCCCAGGGAGGAAACTCCAACGCCGGTGGCGCAGCCTGCCGAAGAGCTCGAGACCGTGGTCCTAAACGAGGATTTTCCCGATCGGTGGGTAAAAATCGGCACCAACCTGGATCCCGACCTCCGAAGACAGTTCATCGACTTCTTACGGCAGCAGGCGGAGGTCTTCGCCTGGTCTTATGACGATATGCCCGGCATATCACCTGACGTCATCAGCCACAAGCTCAGCATCTCCACCGCCCACAAACCGGTCAGGCAGAAGCGCCGTTCGTATGATGCCGAACGGTACGAAGCAATGCGTGCCGAAGTTGACAAGCTCAAAGCCATCGGCTTTATCAGGGAAGCTACGTACCCTGTCTGGCTTGCCAACTCAGTCATGGTTCGGAAGGCCAAGGGAGGATGGCGGATGTGTCAGGACTATACCGACCTGAATAAGGCTTGTCCGAAGGACAGTTTCCCCTTGCCGAGAATCGACCAGCTCGTCGACGCCACCGCCGGACACGAGCTGCTCAGCTTCATGGATGCCTATTCAGGATACAACCAGATCTTCATGGACCCTGCCGATAGAGAGCATACGGCATTCATCACCGACCGCGGTTTGTACTGTTACAACGTCATGCCCTTCGGCCTGAAAGAACGCGGGGGCAACTTATCAACGGCTCGTCAACCGGATTTTTGCTAAGCACATCGGCGGCATCATGGAGGTGTATGTCGACGACATGTTGGTGAAAAGCCGAACGGCAGGGGGGCATCTGGAAAACCTGGCCCTCATGTTCGGTATACTAAAGGACTACCGAATGAGGCTGAACCCAGCGAAGTGCGCCTTCGGTGTATCTTCCGGTAAATTTCTCGGATTCATGATCAGCCAAAGGGGAATCGAGGCCAATCCCGAGAAAATCAAAGCCATAATCGACATGGAAACGCCGAAGACACAGAAGGACATTCAAAGCCTTACCGGACGTGTCGCTGCCCTGACACGCTTCATCTCCAAGGCTACCGACAAGTGCGTGCCGTTCTTCAAAGCTTTGAAAGGGGGCAAACATCATATCGCATGGACTCCCGAATGCGACCAGGCATTTCAAAACTTGAAGAACTACATGAGCCAGGCACCGCTATTATCAAAACCGCTCCCAGGAGAAGTCCTCCTCCTATACCTTTCGGTATCCAACACTGCCGTTAGCTCAGTGTTGATACGGAAGCCAGAGAAGCAGAGCTACCGATTTTCTATGTCAGCAAGGCACTCCAGAGCGCAGAGCTTCGGTACCCACCCTTAGAGCAGCTAGCACTGGCCCTGGTCGTCTCGGCGCGAAGGCTTCGCCCATACTTCCAGGCGCACGAGATCACTGTTCTGACAAACCAGCCCCTTCGGCAGGTACTCCAAAAGCCAGAAACGTCGGGCCGATTGGTCAAATGGGCAATCGAGTTGGGAGAATTTGACATACAGTTCAAGCCAAGGCCTGCAGAAAAAGGGTCAGGCCGTCGCCGACTTCATCTCCGAGCTCACACCTCCTGCTATCGGAACCATCATCGCCGAACGCTATCCTTACTGCACCAGAGAAAATGGATACCGAACGTTTGACACTTCCGTTCCTCTCTGGATTCTGCACGTGGATGGCTCGGCAAACCAGCAAGGCTGTGGTGCCGGCTTAGTGTTAACCACTCCGGACGGTAGCAAAGTCGAATATGCCCTCCGATTCAACTTCCGGACCTCCAATAACGAGGCAGAGTATGAGGCCCTCTTGGCCGGCCTTCGGCTAGCCAAGAGCATGAGCGCGAAGCAGATCAGCATTCACAGTGACTCCCAGCTCATAGTGAATCAGATAACGGCAGACTTCGCAGCGAAGGATGCCTCATGTCAGCTACCTATCGGCAGCTCACCAACTACTAAAAATTCCAGGCCTACGAGATACGGCAGATCCCCAGGTCAGAAAACAGCCACGCCGATGCGCTCTCACGATTGGCTTCGGCAATAAATGACAAGATCGGAAGGAAGGTACCGGTGGAGATATTATCCCAACCAAGCACGACAGCCGCTGAGGTGTGTACCGTTCGGTACGAAGACACATGGATGTCTCCAATCTATGCCTTCCTGACAACCGGAACCCTTCCTACCGATAAGTCCCAAGCTCGGAAACTCCGTTACCGATCGGCAAGATACACAGTCATCAACGATGTTCTGTACAAGCGAGGCTACACGACGCCGTATCTAAAATGCCTACCAAGGAGCAGGGGGACTACATCCTTCGGGAGGTCCACAGCGGAGTCTGCGGTGACCATTCGGGATCCCGATCGCTCGCACACAAGGTCTTCCGACAGGGTATTTCTGGCCGACTCTGCACCAGATGCGAACATTAGTCAAGAGGTGTGACAAATGCCAGCGGTTCGGTAGTGTCCCTCATATTCCTGCCGAGCCGCTGTCACCGATCGTGAGCCCGTGGCCATTCGCCCAATGGGGGTTAGATCTAATTGGTCCGATGCCAGAGGGCAAGGGTCAGGTCAAATATGCTGTGTTGCCGTAGACTACTTCACCAAATGGGTAGAAGCCAAAGCCTTAGCAACAATAACGGCAGCCAGAATCGAAGATTTCGTCTGGACGAACATTTGTTGCCGATTCGGCATCCCCTACGCCATCGTCACGGATAACGGCAGGCAGTTTGATTCGGAAGTCTTTAGAGAATTCTGCACCCGACTCAAGATCAACCTGTTCTTTGCTTCGCCAGCACACCCCCAATCGAACGGACAGGTCGAAGCCATGAATAAAATTGTCAAGAAGCTATTGAAACGGCAGCTTGACAAAGCCAAAGGAGCCTGGCCGGAGAAGCTTCCAGAGGCGTTATGGGCCATCCGGACATCCTACCGAACGGCAACCGGGGAAACACCGTTCTCCATGGCTTTCGGCTCGGAAGCGGTAGTCCCAGTAGAAATCGGAGAGCCTTCCTACCGAACGGAAACTTTCAACCGAAAGCAAATGAGGAGCGCTTGCCTTGAGCCTCGACCTGCTCGAAGAACGCCGAGCACAAGCCAACCTTCGGAACGAAGCTTACAAGCAACGCGTCTCTCGGTACTATGACTCCAGGGTCAGATCCCGCTCTTTCCGAATCGGAGACTGGGTCATGCGAAAAGTCTCTTTGGCAACCAAGAATCCCACGGAAGGAACCCTCGGACCTTCCTGGGAGGGACCCTACGAAATCATCGGTATCCAGCGATCGGGGACTTATCGACTCAGAGACTCCAACGGAAAGACCCTCGGTCATCCTTGGAATGTAGAGCATTTGAATATTATTTTAAATGAAGTCACCTAGCCTACGGCAGGGTTACATAGAGTCCCAAAAGCCCTCGGCATCTCTATATTCACAGCCTTCGGCAGTATAGCGTTCCCTAGCCTACGGCGGGTTTTTAATTGTAAAACGCACTCCAAATTGTATCTTTGCCTTCGGCAGTTTATCAATGAAAGGGCCTTCGGCTCATATATTCAAAACCTTTGTTGTACCCTTTAAGCTCTTTTCATTTAAAAAAAAAAAGAAAGATAGGACCATCGGTCGCAGTAAACTACACATTTTGGCATCGCTATTAGCCTACCGATTGAAGGACAACTTGAAAGGATCACCTTAGTTACCCATTGGACAAAGGTTTCAGCTTTTATTAGCCTTCGGTACTTAAAGGCCGTTACTTAGCCTTCGGCAAGTACGTCTGTTGTTTCTCAAATCCCTACTGAAATTTTGTGAAATTTATTGGCCACGCTAGTGACCTTTTTACTAGCCCTCGGCATTAAAAGAAATTTTCCTAAGTGCCTTACCGATTCCAAAATAAGATGCAATCAAGTTTGAAATTAAAAACAACTTCGATTAAAAGATGCCCACGGCATCAAGATACAGTCAAAAATGCCCACGGCATCAAGGTTCAATCAAAAGATGCTCACGGCATCAAGATTACATCAAATTACATTAAAATGCCCTCGGCATTAAGGTACATAAGATAAAGCGGGAAATGAGAAGAAGCTTTTGGAGAAGATTGACGCCCTGCCGTTCGAGATAGGACTATACCTTTGAGTATCATTGCAGAGCGTACAAAACTTTCTGTCGAGGATGGAGAGCTGTCAAGTAGCCTCCTCGGCATCGCCTCTTCGGTACCAGTGGCAGTTGCTCTCCCGGAGCGTCCTCCCCTTCATACTCATCTATCATTTCTTCCGTGACGCCTTCGGGAAGGGGAGGGGGATCGGCAATAAAATTCAAATTCAGCTTCGTCCCAGGGTTGTACCGCTTAAAACAGTAGATAAGATCCACCATCTCCGAGCCCACCTCCTTGTCGAGCAAGGTGGAGAAATCGGAAGAATGACGGTACTTCCGGATAGCCTCCTGGACAGCAGCCTCGATCTCCGAAGCCTTGGCCCGCTCCGACTCCTCCAAAGCCACCTCGACGGCCTCCTTCGCCTCCAGAGCCTCTCTTGCCGATAGCCGCGCCGACTCCAGGGCTGCCGACAGATCGGCGAACTTAGACTCATAAACCCTGACCTGCCGTTCGGCAGCCTGCAAATCCTTCGCCAAGTTGGCATGGTCCTGGATAGCCTTGCCAGCCTCGGCAACCCTGGCCCTACCGTCCTCGTAGGCCTTCTTCGCTTTCTCGGCAGCATTGATGGCTTGCTTAACGCACAGCCACATATCCATCGAGGCCTGGGGAACAAAGGGAAATGTCAGACGATATATATAAAAAAAAAGAAGCAATCGGTAAGTTGACTCGGGAATACTTGGAACTTACCGAAGCTTGAAAGCGGAAAGCGCGACCCGCCTCCTCCCGAAGGAGCTTCTTCGGCAGCTCTTCGATCTCGTAAGCTCCATTTGCGAACCAAGGATCATGTGGTTCGCAAACTGACCGTCTTCGACGAACAGGCCAAGGTGACGGGGTTGGCAGGCTCCTCGTCGTTATCAGCGGCAAAGATGGCCCGAGGAGGCTCAGTCTGCCGCCCGCGCTTCGGGCAGGTTCGGCATCCAGGTCGACGGTGAACGGCCGCTTGCCGGCCGCTCGGGAGGAGGTCCCCTCGTAGGAACACTCGGCCTGGAGACGGACGACCGCAGCCGCCCCAGCCTGCGCCGAGTCAGCGTTGAGTTGGCGGAGACGGTCAGCCAGGGTTTGGTCCTCGCGGTCGGCTTCTACCGAGGACGCCAGTACCGTTTCTTGCTGCTGGCTTTTCTTTTTCTTCCCCTGGAAGCCCATCATGAGACGCCGCTTGGAGGACTCATTCATCCTCTTAGCCTCGGCAGCTCTCCTCTCTTCCGTCACTGCACAAACAGGGATCGTAAGGCTTTGCTACGGCCAAAAACAACTTATATATGGCAAAGTACACTTACTCTCGGTAGGATCGACCAGCTGAGCTTGGATCAGTTGGCGGTGAAGAGAAACTGCGGATACACCCTCTTCTCGGTAGGGACCTTGCTCTTCACCCTCTCCACTTGCTGAATCTCTGCTTGCGTTGCGATCGGCTGCTTAATTTACCTACAAGGAGAATAACATGAAAAGATGATAACAGTAAACAAGGACCCCGAAGAAGGTACCTAATGGCATGTTATCCTACCGGCTATTTGGAATGTTCTGGGAATTGAAAATCGGACAGGCTGTCCCGAAGGCGACTCCCAGTCACCCGAAAGGAGCACCCGCCGATTCCTCCATGACTTCTGAGAAGTCGGTACCCAGCTAACAAAGTGGCCACGCTCGGTAGCCTTGAGACAGTTCGCCTGCACCCATCCACCGTGATCGGCACACTTGGACTTAGTGATACTGTATAGGTGCGAGAACTGCTCGTAGGATGGATACCCTTCACCGGCCATGCCGAAGGCCGTTATCACTCCCATGAGGGCCACCCAGAAGTTCGGGTTAAATTGCCCCGGAGCATAGCCGATCTGAGCCAAAATCCTCTGTACCGCCGGCTGCAACGGCAGCCGAACGCCTTGAACAAGGACGTCGGTAAAGAAAACCACCTCACCGTCCTTCGGCTTGCTAAGGGATTCTGTAGGGCCCGGGATCCTCATTCGAACCGAGTCCGGAATGCGGTATTCCGCTCGATATTTGGCAATCTCCCGCTCGGTAATCTTGTTCGGCCCAAGATAGTCGACACCGAACAAATTTTCCTTCGGCACCCCCATAGATACCCTAGGTTGCTTGGGTACACTACCGATACCCTCGGCCGAGAGGATGGTTCGGTGGCTGACTCTCCACGGCCGGAAGTGGAGGTCTCTAATTGGCGACTAGCGCTCACCTCCCCAGGCATGCCTAGACCCACATGGCGGCCGTCGCTATAGACAATGGACAACGGCACCGGAGCGGTCATTAGCCCCTTCCCGATGCCGTGTATTGGAATGGAGTGGGCCCTTCACCGAGTATCTCAACATCGGTATCACTCCCATCCTCGGCATCAGGCCCTGCCGCTTCACCGTCGGAGTCAAAGAGACCTTCTAATGACTCCTCATCGAACGCATTGGGCTCACGCTCGGAGAATGACTCGCTATCAGACATCTACAAAAACAGGGAAAAAGGAAACTAAGGCTCATGCCGGATACTATCCTACCGATCCCTACATCACTACCTATGGCGACTAGACTACCGAATGGAACCCTATGGTCAGTCTAGTTCAAACCAAGGAAGGACGTAACTCTTAAGGTATGCAAGAGAGTAAAGTTGAGGTGCCGAACGGTACCTTAGTTTACACTCTGAAAAGTAAACGCGAACTGTGCTTCAGATCGCCTTGACAAAAATCGCCCTTCCTACCGTTTGCAATGCCGGAAATCGCCTGGTTGCCGTTAGCACTTGTCGGAAATCGCCTTGAATACCGGAAACTCTCATCGGAAATCGCCTCAACAGAGCTCTCGCTTCTCACCAAGTGCAAAGTGATTTTGCCTCCGGGGTCATTTCTATTTATAGGGAGGGGGTTCGCAACGGTACACCTCGGAAAACCAAACGGCGCATTAATGCGCCGCGCACCATCATTGCTCTTGCCACGTGTCGCTCATCCTATGGAGGACTGACGGCACGCGAGGCGCGGAAGTCAAAGCGCTCAGATGTCCCTTCACCCGTCCACTCAACGCGACCTTCTGACTTCACCAACGTCAACCTCTGAACGAATAAGAACGGAAGGGGCCGAAGTTGAGCCCCTCCACCAACTGGATTACCGAACGGTAGGACAACATTTCCTTCCGAAGACGACTTCAAATCCCCTTCCGAGAACCCTCGCAAGAGGACTTGGGGGACTCCTGTTTATACCAAATGAACAGCCAATGAACATCGGACACGTGGACCAAACCCGAGCTATGGGTGCCTTTGGCACCTTTCTTCGGCACCTTTCTTCGGCATCGTTCCTACCGGTCGCATCATTAGGGCAACCTCACCCCCAGGGACACGTGGCAGTCCCACAATCGATGTCCACAATCCCACATCGAAACTCTAAACAAATTGCACACCTCCCAAGGCTTATATAAGAGGACAGCTACCAGAGTTGGAGGTAATCGATCAGAACTCACGGCATACTGCCTATTGATCTGCAGTTCAAACTTACTAAATCCGTACTCATTTAAGCATCGGAGAGCCTTCGGCCGGTACCACACCGGTGCCCTAGGACTTACCGAGCGTTTACTATCTTACAAGTATAACACCCTACCGAGGCCATAGCATACCGAAGGAAAAACAAATCACTAAGTTGCGCGGGAAAGTGCCGAACCATTTTTCTGCGTCAACATTTGTTTCTATGAGTACTTGACTATTCTATTACATGTTGTCATGCTTACTGATGTCCAAAGTTCGGATTCTCTACTCTATTTCCTTTCTAATTGTATTTTAAACATACAAAAGTGAACAAGCAGGGGCTGAAGTCATGAATAGATTTGGAGGAAAACAAGCTTGCAAAGGGAAGACAAACAAGGAGTTGAACTTGAAGGAGAAGACAGAAACTATTTTTGGTGGAATATAGCTATGGAATGTGAATGAGCTGATATACTTCGCGAGGAGCGCAGCTTAGGTCACAAAGGAGATGGTGGATGGAAGGCAGTTGCTTACAATACTGCTGCAAATATATTAGCTACACAATTTTATCTCCAGATAAGTGCTGATAATATTAGAAATCGTGTTAAGTCCAAAGTCAAAAAAAGAGTATGTTGTTGCACGTGGGGAGTGATTTGGTTTGCTATTATGCTTTGTTTGTTTAAGTTGAGTTATTTAGTTCATCAAACGATATGTTATTTTATACTTCGAGGAATACCTTCTATGCCGGTTATCAGTTTTTTTGTTCTTTTGAAATATTTAATTTCTGTAATTTATAATTTACATGAGTTATCCAAATATTGAAATTTTCAATTTCTGTCATTTATAAAATTCCACATATATAAATCCAAATACTGAAATCTTCAATTGCCAGAAATTGAAATGACGGAAATCTAAATTCGTCATTTCAGAATTCCATATAGTTTGCAATTCCTTCATCCAAAAGCCTTGGTACTATTTACGTATACAATTGTAAAATGTAGCAAATTAAATTCGAATGATTTGTAAATATCATTATGAATAGTATATTATATTAATTAACCAGACCAGAAATCTTTGAATTGCCATAAAACTCACGACTATAACATGAAGATTTCGGGACTACTTATGCAGCAATGTGGAAAACTAGTCTCGCATGATTTACAAAATACCATTATGAGCTATACTCATTAACATTTTTTTAAACCAGTTTCATATTTTATCAGCTACCTCTGCAGTTGAATTGATTTCCTATAGTCATGGACCAATAACTAAACTCATGCATTACCAAAAATTTCCTTTAAAATCAGTAAAAATATTTTTAGAATGCTAGTTCAACAATGATTGACTTTACAAAATCTTTATCCAAACTTGCAACTTGCACGAAGTCTCATATTGAAATTTTGTGCAAACTCCCACTTCCACCTCTCTATAAAAAGGGGTACAAGTCTCCAAAATGAGGTAACGACTTTTCACATTTACTATTACTCTGCCAAAATTACCACATATCGCTGACTAAAGCATCGGAGAGCCTTAGGCAGGCACCACACTGGTGCCCGAAGCTTGACGACTGTTCCTTCCTTATTTCCTTCTGCAAGGTCCCTCCGTGCCGAAGGTTCACGACCTTCTCTCCCTGCTGAAGATCCACCACTCCTTCACCTAAGTTGACCCACCGAAAAAGAGCATCAACAGTTTGGCGCTATCGTACCTCTCTACCAGCTCTGCTGGCTCCATCTCTCATCCGACCCTGTCGTCTCTTCTGCCTCTCCCGCTCCACTATGCCGAGTGAAGCTAGCCTTAATACCTAATATCATACCCCTCATGGGGAGTCTTCCCGAAGGAAACCTTCGGCTGAAATGGAGCGCCTTCGTGCCGATGTCGCAAAGATAACAGAGAGCTATGATGTGGGTTTAAAATGCCATATTCCAAAATCCCAAACAGCAAACTGCGCAAAACTTCCTGCAAGAAATCTCACATCTGTGGATGTAGAGAAACTTGCTAGTTTGTGCAGTATATTATCCAGATTGTTCCATCAATATCATTATCAATCTATACAATTCCCATATGTGGATGGAGAAAAATACAGAAGGCTACTTATATTGATGCAAATTTTGATCAAACTGTCGTTTTGAAATCTCTCATACAAACTGATCAGCTATGGCTTACTCAGTTTTCACAGTAGATCCCAAAACTTGATCAAAGTCTTTTGCAATATGATCAAGCAGTAACACTTTATGCCCTTGATCATACTTAAACAGATAAGATATGCAAACTGTTTGAAACTTCATATTATTGTGACTATTTATTAAAATAGAAAACTTATATGCAGATTTTATCGAAGACATGGATTAGATTAAGAAACAAAAGCCTAGAGCTCTAATAACACATATTAATTTGTACTAGACTTTCATAACTCAGCACTAACCTTGATCAGACACATTGGTTGTAGAGGATCTTCTTCTCTATGCAACACTGCAATGCTATTTCTCTATGATGGGGGGAGAATTGTTTTAGCGTGTGTTGTTGCTAGAGAAGGGACCCTATATATATGCATCATTCTAAAGCCTTGCCCATCAAGGAGCAATCGAGTGTTCCAGTTGCATTGGAATTAGTTGTTTCAATCCACGTAGAATTAGAAATTCTATCATCTCTTGTATTTCAATTAGGATAGCTTTTATACATAAATAATCCGATAAGTCTAAGTATACTTCCTGAAGATGCAAACCTCTCGAGTCCTCACATGATTAGAAGACCATAATTCGTGGTTAAGACAATGAATTGTCTTACAAGTATATCTAGCCTTGTTTGGCATGTGGTATCCTCATGATATATAAGTTTTTGTCCTTGGCTTTAGGCTAAGGGGTACCCACTTTTGTGGACAAGGGACAGGCTGACCCTGAGTTTTTGGGGCCATAGGAAAAAATAAAACAAGGCGCCTACACAAGACAACCCACCAAAAAAAAAAAAAAAAAAAAAAAAAAAAAAAAAAAAAAATAATTTATTGGTCGGTTCTTTTTCCTCAGCTAGAAAACACTATATAATCAAATTTGGCTTAATTGTGCAAGATATAGGACTCCTTACAATGTAACAGTTCAGGGTCTAGGCGCAAGTAAATATATACAAAGGCCCCAAGAAGACATAGGCCTCTTTTCGAAGAAATTGTTGAGTTTTACAACCCTAGAATTATACATATTATGTCATATTTATTGGCCTCTTTAACTACTGAATTTTGCAATCTAAATACAACTACTTCAACAGATTGGAAATAAGAAAGTTCAAAGGCAATTTCTTCGGAGCCTTTTTGCCTAAAACCTGGTAATCGACCTGGGTTGGTTTGCTTCAGATTCTGAATCTCTACATTTATACTCCACGTATTTATCTACATTTCAGAATAATCTAACAACTTAAAACATAACATGTCTAGCATAAAATTAGGGGGGTGTATTCAATTGAGATTGTAAAAGACTATTTATGGATAAATAAGTCCAGTAGATTTTAAAAGACTATTTAGGAATGTAATGACTTATAAGATTTTTTTTGAAGATTTTTATAATTAGGATTTTTTACGTTTGTATTTTAAAAGATTTATATCATAAGAATTTATAAGATTTGAAAGGACCACGTGAATTTTTTACTTTTACGATGCTAACCAACCAACTTTTAGTCAGATGATGAGAAATGTCGGTCTAGTTCAATGACGCACGAATTCTCCAGGAACAGCCTCTACAAATAATTTGGAATTTTTCCTTCCAAAAGGTTTATTATTATTTTAATTATTTTTTTAGGAACTTTCCTATTAAGAGGGGCAATAACACACTAAACTCACACACACTACACAGATGCTATGACTCAAATGGAGGATCTATCCTAGAGGGAGCATTTGCTCCAAACCACTACACTAGTGGGTGTTTTGCAACCCCTGCTACAAATTAAGTTAGACACGAATTGTAATTTCCATGATGCAATTAAGTGGTTAGGTATTCACTTGACTTAAGTAATTGAATAAATTTGGAGTTTTCAATTAGTTTGGATCACACTATATTGATTGACTTGATAAACAAAAACAAGTTGCACATTGAACATTGAAGAGTATACAAATCATATAATCACTTTTTCTTTTTTCTTTCTTCTTATTTCAATAATTTCTAATTTTATATTGGGGAAATTTTTTGAGGGTGCACTAAGTGGAACAGAATTTTTTTTATTTTTTTTTTTTTTTTTTTTTTTTTTTTGGCATGGCAGCAATTCTGGCAAGACAATAGTACCTACTCAAATTTTGGCCAAATATTTCCTAATTTTCTTCCCACGCAACTGTTAACCTAGACTAGACTTGAGAATTGAGATGGTGATTTGTCTTCCTACACACACCAAACTCTTTCTCACTATTGTCTTGCAGTTGTTGACTCAACTTGACTTGACTTGAGATGGTTGGTAATGGTGCCTTTCAATGTCCACTCAACCTTTTAAATTTGTCTCCCATCCAAGGCAGGGCACAAGCTATAATTATCTTCTTGCAAATATGGATCTTGACTTAACTGAAACATATGTCTACCAAGCCAATATTATTATTGTACGTATATATTTATTGATACTTATATAGTAAAGCATAAATCTTCCACCAATCACATATTAAAAATAAGATTAATTAATATTACATGCGGTGTTACGATTACTCTTAAAAATTTCTCATGTTAGAATTTATAGTGATGATCTTGCGATTCTTAAGTAGGAAGGAGTATATTTAGTGCTGAATCTGATCGCTAAAGTTTCGGAGCAAGGAAGTTAAAGTGTCCTTCATTTTGTATTCAGCTTCACATCTATTAGAGAGATGGTGCACAAGCTGGTCTGTAAAGATGGTCTCCCTAACCATCAAGGTAAAACTACATGGATTATTTGTGACTTTTGCATAAGGCTGCAATCTATGAGATGCATAAAAGAAAAGAAACAAAGTTAATTGGCTCTCTACAGAAATGTTTGGAGATGTCCCAAATCAAGTTCTTACAAACAAGACAAGTTACAAATCATTTACCAAAGAAAATTCCCACTATATAATTCCTTAAAAAAAAATACATATTTACCGATGTATAAAGGCACAGGTAGATAATAGTGAAACATTCAAAATACTAAAAATTGTCCTTGATTAAAGAATTTATTAAGTATTAAAATTTTCAACAAATAAGGAAAATATAGTAAATTAATTTTTTTCATATTAAAAAAATTAAAATTCAAAATCAAAATAATAACCTGGTTCTTAATTCATGCAGGACACAACTTCTCTTTTAAAAATTTTAAAAGAAAAAAAAACTAATTGACACACACAGCTTGTATGAATCGAACAAGGAAAATAAAGGGTGTCGTTTAACCAAACTTCGCGTCGTCACTTAGAGACTTGACTTTAAAGACTTGGACTCTTTATTTCCACCAAAAGCACATTTTTAAGAAATCACTTTAAAGACTTCAAAGATTTACAATCAAGTTCTGCATATTGCCATCACAGTGACTTATGTTTTTGAAGTCGGATGTTGCTGGTATGCTAAAAGAAGAGCTTGTATTCATTTTTGGCACATCCTTTCAATTTGAGATCGGATTCTTTCTTATTTAAATGATTTTATATCCTTGTAACGTGTTTAACACATTCACAGACAGAAAACCAAAACATATCATAGATCTGTTACTGCAAGAAATTAAGTTGGCCACTAATTTTCAAGATGCAAGTGGCCAAAAATTGACTTGAGACTTAAGATTAATGGACAAGAAGACTTGTGAAAATTTCGGGCTTATGGGCCAGGCTTAGGGTCTTTGATGTAACTTTTGTGAATAGAATTTTAATGGTCAGGCGGGCCCTACGTTAATGCATTCACATTGTTGGTATGGTAAGTGTACTTTGAATTGAATTTCATTCACACTACATGAACGAGATCGATGTATATATTTATGGCTGTTGCTTGGTTGATTAAAATAACACTATAACTGGAATTAATATCTCAATGGGAGAAGGCCGAATCAATTGTTCTTACACGTAATTAAAAATAATACAAAATCATATTTATTCCTACTAAGCACTCCAAATTAACTCATAATCTTCTGTAGATATTTGTGCAAGACAAAGTAACAAATCATTACTATGATTAAAAATAAAATTAAAAAAGTTCAAGTTTGACAACCAACCTATGGGATGGGTGAAAATAAAAGAGAATTAATTTGCTTTCAGTAGTAAATGATATGATTTAAAATACTCTACAGAAAATAACATTTACGGCAAACAATTGTTTCAAGTTCTTACAAATCATTTACCATAACTCAACGGTGTGGATAACTCCACATCACCAACTATTCATCCAATGGTCTATAACAGTGGGTGCATCCATGCACCAGGCCCTTTCAAATCTTATAAATTCTTATGATATAAATCCATGTGGTCCAGATTGAAAATATTTTTAGAATGATAGTTCAACAATGTTTGACTTTACAAAATCTGTCAGGTCTGGAAAATCCAGTGCTGGTACCGTATAGAGCAAATCAGGAACAAACTAGGGAAGAACATGGGAACGAAATATGAGAGGGTAGGTACAGCAAAATCCACTACTCCAGCACTGCAAAAGCAAGCATGAGTTAGTCCAGAATTGCATAATTTGTTTTCCAGAAATGATTGGTACTGATCATTACAATTAAAAATAAATATAACTAAAAACAAAGCATGTACAGACATGGAAATAAAATTAACAGAAAAATTCCAAGTACATGGGGAGATAAACAGAACATTTAAGTAGGACTTACCACAAAAAGCAAGGGTCCCTGTTTAAACTTGTCATGAAATGAAAATGCCAACGGCTTTGGATTGTCCCCAGGTCCTCTAATAAACCCACTGAATTCATATATGGTATAAATCATAAGTACCAGATAAATTGATATCAAGTTCCATTTGTCAGCAAACAACAATATTAAATCAATGATTAGATAACAATACTCAGCATTTGGCCAAAAATGAGAAAAAGAAAAAAAAGAAGAGTATAATCAACTCACATCAAAGATGCAGATATTAGAGGAGTCCTTCTAACATCATAAATGGCAATAAGACCTCTGTATAACTCATCACCATCTTTAAAAGATACAGCCAAACGCTCTCCTGAAGCATCCCAAGCTATCTTCTCAATGGTCTGACTGGAGGAAATAACGACATATCAGAACTTTCTTCACGTACAAGTGGTATGTATTGCAAAATATACACACTGAGGTTTTTAACTTGCAACTGTAATTTAAAATAACAAACTATAAAGCTTTTCTGCAATTCTTAGTTTGAGGATTGTTTAGTCTGATCAATCCTCATGGAGAATTTTAGTAGCGTCCCCGTCCCATGTGAAGCAGAAAGCACAAGGCAGGAACATAATTATGAACAAGAGAGGAACAGAAAAAGAAGGTAAATTGGAATTTTATATATCTACTTATTTACTTATGGATAAAATCAGGCAATATGGATGGCATCATCATGTCGGCTTTAGTAACTTTTTCTTCTTCTTTCCTTTTCATTTTTTCTTCTGTTTTCAGAAGGCAAGAGTAGCAAATGGATTGGCTTTGGGTACTCCTACATGGCAGCACAGAGCACTGTAATGGTATTGCAAGGGATGGTAAAGATGATGAATGAATGATCACTAAAGATGGCAGCAGTGGTTATTTGAGGGTTGGGGGGCGTGTTGTTTCAGTGGTTTATTGGCTTGTTCCTCCCTGTTAGTTTGGGAGGGGTTGGTGTTGTTTGTTTCTTTTTGTGTTGTTGTTGTTCTTCGGTTGTGGTTGCCTTATCCACCTCCGTGTTCTTTTGCTTAATAAATTTCGTTTCTTCTTAAAAAAAATGTTGCATGCATTATAAGCACTCCAGAAAAGAAATGTTGAGAAACTAACTTCACCAGAGACCACCAAATAAAGGCCGATGGTCCTGCTACTAGACAGTCTAGAAATTACGGCAAATTACCATGGATACTAATAAAAAAAAAAAAAAAAAAAAAAAAAAAATTTAAAAAATTAAGAAAAATCCACTAGCTCTCACCACAACCAACTTATCAAGAATTATCATGCCAAATAAAAATGTCTTTTGCAATTAACTCTTAACTCTGTTAAAGCAACAATATAATACAGTTCTGATAAAGAAACCCCATTAAATGACAAATGGTTGATCAAACACTCATAGAGCAATCAAAATATAGAGAATATTAAAACAGCAACAAAAGATTACTGTTTACCTGTTTGTTAAGGACATAATCTCTGGTAGCTCAACAGGTAATAAGTGCGCATCTGAAAGTTACAATCATGACTTTACCAGTAAGAGTCGAAATACATTTTTCAATTGCTTCTCAAAAACTGTTATCCATCATGACACTATTGACATTCATTGAAAATCAAATTTTGTAAGTTCTTTTAACCATTGCATCACTGATCTGTAAAAAGGATCAGTGTGTACACGGAAATACTTCCTTAGAAAAAATATCAGTACATATGAAACGTCCAAAGTGCGCACTGCAAACACTAAGGAAATGTATTCAGACAATTTTCTCTCTTCTGAAAGAAAGCTAAAATAGGTAATCCCTTGAGAATCTTGTGTGTTTCACATCATAGGTGCAAATTCAATAATCAGGTTGAAATCAACGAGAAAATTTATAGGCAAGAAATCAGACTACTTATTGTTTTCTACTAAAGTCATTGAATAATGCCATAAAATTTCACGTTTCAACAGAAAACCAAATGAGATAGTGCTATTGCATTAGATACTTTAGTCAATGTATGCAATTTACAGCAGTTAAGGGCCGACTCTAATTGTCTATTATAAGGGAAGTTGCAGGAATACTTGGAAGGGCATTTCTAGAGGATACGACGCTTTTCAGAGCTGCTGTAAATTGGTAGTTGGGAGAGCGGTTAATGTGAGATTCTGGGAGGATATTTGGTCATGGGGAGAGTTCTTTGGCAGATACTTTTCCAAGATTATATAGGTTATCAAGTTATCATGGAATGTCTATTGCAAATTGTACAAATCCAGATTTGTTCCCTTACAGTTGGGATTTTGGTTTTAGGAGGAATCCAAAAGGCACTATATGTCAACGGACTCAAACATAAAACTTGTAAGTAAGCTCGCTTACCAAGTGATGGAGGCTTTGAAGCGAAGTGAATGGAACCCAATGTTGAAGATTTAGAGAAAGCAAGAAGTATCATATGCCCATCAGGATCCCATGATGCTCCCTATAAGAGGACACAACGAGTATAAAAAATATATTAAAATAAGTGAAATTTCCAATCAATATAGAACTTTCTGTTCAATTAAATCTGAATGTGCTTTTAAATGAGCTTGATGAGTGAGGGATTAACATATGGTGGAGACGGATACGAGAGAGAGAGAGAGAGGGGGGGGTGGGGGGGGTGGGTACAGAGTTTTGAGAGGTGTAAAAGGCCAGGTAGTCTAAACTTTGAGAAACTTGGAGGGATTCTTGAAGTGAGCATTTTAATATTTCTATGCAACACATAATGACGGGAAAAATTCCATAGGCTGACAGCTGAATCATCAAAATGTTTTTTTTTAGCTACATGGGTCATCACTTTAAATAAAAATTCTATGCATCAACAAATTATGAACATTCATTTTTCTTTACCTTGACGAAGCCACTAGTTGAAGACCATGGCTCAGATGTCCATGTGTTTGTCTCCCAGAGATAAAATGTTCCATCACTGTAAAAGAACAGAATGATCATCTTATGAACCAGCTTCAACTAAGAGTGGGACAAACCAAATCAAAGTGCAATTACTCGAAGAAGAAAGTACAATTTTGCTGAGAAAAAGTAATCCCCAGTTGGCGACCACTTCAGCATTGATATGCCACCTAGTCCTCGTCTAATGGGTGTCCCAAGCCCTGATAAAGCAAATACAAAAAATGAAATCATACGTTCCAAAAGTAGAGTTTACTTTTTCTGCTTCAAAAAGTTAGACAATCTCATCACTCATCAAAAAATAAAAATTAATAGATTTTGGATAGAGGGGTTTGGCAGTAGAGAAAGAAACACAAATATTAACTCAATAATGCTAGAGTCTGCTCAAGCAAAAGCAGCTTTTAGAAAGAGCTTTCTAAAATAATTTTGAAAGCACTTACAACACAGCAAAAGCACATGAAAAAGCACCTCAGTAAAATATACCAAACCACAATTCATTGCTTCTTAAAAGGAAAGCAAAGAAACACTATCAATATTTGTATAATATTTCATTGCCTGCTCAAGCACAAGTAGCTTATAGAAAGCACTTCCTAAAATGTTTTTTTTTCAAAAGCATCTAAAATACAAGCAAAAGCACCTTGGTAAAATATACCAATTCAAAATTCATTATTGAAAAGAAAATCACATGCAAGTTGTTACAAAGCAGTCATGAATGGAGCCCTTATCTTCTCATTGTTTTTTTCCCAATCTTCACAGTACATACCAAATCATTCATAAAAAAAGGATTAATTAATAGTTCTCAGAAACCAACATCAGTTCTACAACGGTATATGCAACTCAAGTGACAAATACTTTGAGGTTGCTGTTAAGCAAAGTGTAAGTAAGATCAAGTTATTTGGACAAACAAAACTAGAATGGTTGTGGTAATTTAGTAATTAACATGCTAATGATGATAAGCAAACATCAATTTTAACATGCAAAAAAACAAGAAACAATGTCTGGTGGTAATGTAGTAATTAACATGCTAACGATGATAAGCAAACATACAAGCTTTAACATGCAGAAAACATAAAACAATGCCAAGCAATAGCCAACAAAGTCACCAGAAAACTAGAGAACACATTACGAGTGGAAGTAACAGGTAATATATGATCAATACCTTGAGCAACATCCCATATGGTAAATGACGAGCTCTCATAAGAGCCAGATGCCAAATATGTAAATACACGTCAAGGAAATCACATATAGCACTACTGAACAAAACTGAAGGTGAAAACAAAGGCTCTTTTTCAATACAAAAAAAACAGGGCCTTTGTTACTACTTGAGACAAAATCCTATATTATCCTTCCTAGTATATAGAAAGAAAATTGATGTCATTCGATAATACTATAGAGCACGTAAATTTATGTGGACTACTGCAACAAAATGCAAAAGGTAAACAAAAGCTAAAAAGTTTTCTCAAATTTTTTAATAATCATATGTAGATGACAGTGATAAATTGCAAGAAAGCCTATATTTTCATGCAGAGTCTCATCAATTTAACATAATTGAAAACCAGAACAGAGATTGTTTGGATATCTTCCATTGGGACTCCATGACAGTGCACTAATCTGTTCCCCATTATGACTTCGAAGAAAATCCACCAAAGTATATCGGACTCCAGAACCTCTAGAGAGAGTTCCCAAGAACGAAGAAGCACCAGATCTGACAGAGGCTGCACTTCCGGGGAAAGAAGCAGCCCAAATGCAAATTCCACCACTGAAATTAAATCCCACGCAATGAGAGAAAATCAGACTTACAATCATATAGCCCATCTAAATACATAAAATGTAGATATGCAGAAACTATGATACTTGCTTGCATGCTACTGAAAGTTGTCTTCCACCATTTGGCCTCCACTCAAGTACCTTGACCTCTCTCTGGGACTCATTAGCCAAAATGCACGGCTCCTTCCCCTCTGTTGAAGTATAAATTGTATTGGCAAGCCAACGAAGATAGCAGAGAAACAACTTATACAGTTGAAACCACTAACTAGTAAAGCATCTAACCTGAATCCTCAAAATCACGAACTATAACTTGATTTGGGCCAGATATAAATGCTATAATATGTTTATGTTGGTGCCAGCTGACTCCTTGAAGATCAACTTCTGGTAACAAGTTTACCTACAAGTTCAGTTAGTAAGGACCTAGATTTAAGAATCCTTTTACCACTTTCTCATCTAGAAGTCTTTATGCACTTTCTTCATAACTGTTGTCTCTCATATCAACCTTGTTGCTGCTTAACTACTAACAACAAGCTAAGCAATCAGAGCTAAACAAGGGTTGCTAATACACTGATAAGATAATGTAAACTAGTCATGGCAACATGGACTCAAGGCCATAACTCTACAGTTTCATGATACATGCTGGACATGGCATTTAAAACTTTATTAGCTTTCTGAATAATTAGGGTGAATTTGTAATTTATGTGTCATATCTACATTCAACGACTTTTGAGGGGCACATTTCTTGACAATAATGGGCGGCTGAAACGTGGCACAAACAGAGATGGTTCTTCAACAAATATTGGATGCCATGAAACAGAAGTCGAACCAAATATTGGGTTAGCATTACTGCTACTCCGCTCAGATTATTGGTTTGTCTTGCCCAATAAATCTCATACTCAACATGGTATTTGAATGCTTAATTAGATAATGCCTAACTCAACTCCCATTGTAAGGTAATGACTCTTCCAAAAGGGCCACATGCAAAAATACACACACAAACGGAAAAAAGTTCAACTGGGTGATTAGTAAATACAGAAAAGAAAATGCAACACACATGATTAGGATGGAAGAGAGGTGTGAGAGAGCGGTTGAGGATCCCCTGCAAAGTTTGTAGAAATCCCTTTGTTGGAGCTGTTGTTGCAACTTGTTGGTCGTCCTGCTCGGGGCTCGGTGGCCGCGCCAGCTGATCCGACTGAAACGGAACCGGACTGAATACCATTCCCTACACAAAATTTCACATACACCCCCAAATTCCAATGCCACATGAACACGATCAATAATGTACAATGTATTTAAGAACTGAATTTGAAAAAAGATTCACTACTCACAAGAATCTTTCCATAAGTGTCCTTGGCTACATCATCGGAGAGGCTCTCAGCAGTGACTGCAAATTATATGCATATAATATGAATATCAATTTACATATAAAACACGTAGAGAGAGAGAGAGAGAGAGAGAGAGAGGAGAGAGAGGAGAGAGAGAGAGAGAGGTTTGTTCATACTGAGGTCGCGATTGATTTCGCATATGGAGACAGAACCAGGATGAGGAAAGGAAGGCATTTCTTCCTTGTGTTGGACTTTGGCGACGACTAGGGTTTCGTCGTGCCTCTTCTGTGCTCACACTTCTTCCCACTTGTGAAAATGCTCAAGCTCAACTCAGGTCAGTTCCTCAATCGAATTTACCAAATTATATTGTAACGGGCGACTCTTTTCTGCTCTCCGAAGATTTTTTATTTTTATTTTCAAATAAATCCTCTGTGCGTAGCTTTCTAGCGGTTTTTAGATTTTAATTTTTAATCCCTCTATCGACATCTGCCCTCCCGCTCAATCTGTGCCGACTGTGAAATTTTATGTTTTTGAGATTTTTTTTAATAGGTTTATTTATTTATTTTTTGGCTAAAGTTAACAAGGTGAGGGGAAAACTCACACACATGTGGGCCTCATCATTTGACCTGTGGGCTCATGGGGTGATGGGGGCCTGCCTGGCCCGTTATGGGCTTTGAGATGCCCCGGCCCGCCTTGGGCTAGGCTAGGCTTGGGCTTGGGTGTCTGAAGCCCAGCCCGGCCCAATTAAGCTCAAGAAAGCTCGGCCCCGCCCGCCCACAAAAGCCTGGCCCGTTAGGCTCACATACATATGTAATTATGTATAAATAAGAGTTTATGTTTAGGATTATATCACTTAAATCACATAAATAATTTGTTTCATTTCATTTTCTTTTTTTACTCATTCCTAGTTTATAATTTGATGATTAGCACATTAATTTGTGTCAATTATTAATTCAACAATTATATATATATATATATATATATATATAAGATGAACAACGTATCACATCACCAAATATAATCATATTGTTGAGGCCCAAAAAATCCATGGTTGGGCCCGAATAAATTTCTAGCCCAAGACGATATATTATTGGAAAAAGATCCGATTTGGAGCACATGAAAGTGCACGAGTCATACTCCGCATGCCATGCTAAATAAAAAATCCGTCGAGCTAGGAATTGAGATTAAAATTATAAAATGCATTTAGCTCTGCAAATCCATGCCAATTATCCTATCAAGCGCCATATTTAAAAGCATGCCAAGCAACATGCCATGCCAAGCGGGAAATTATTATTTCACACCCAATAGCACTACAAGCTTAAGTGGGCCCAAGCCACTCAAATGCCTGGGGCTTGCTTGAGTGGGTTGTGGTGTGGATGGTAACGAATTGTCATGGGGCCCATTGATGGGCCGAGAAATGGAAGTCTCGGGTCGCTTGGGGGCCTCGGGACTCAAGCCCATTTTCTTAGGCTCAAACGTGGGTAAGCACAAGAGAGGAAATAGCCCAATTGCTTCAACTAGAGTAGCCCAACCAAAATAACCCATTACTTTAGATAGCCCATAAAGCCCAAATACTTGGTGAATTTAACCCACTTATTAGATGACTTGGCCTTCTATATTAAAGGGCCCATACCATTTGAATAAAAGGAGTCCAAGGCCTTCAGCACTTGGCTGAAGCAAAAGGCCACGAAGAAAGCCAAAGATTCACATGTGAGGGGCTGCTGGGAGAACAAGTTCCAAGTGCAAGCATTCAAGAAACCAAGGGGTATTGGCACGCAGGGGAAGATGCTATCCCTTAAACCAGCAGGCGCACCCATTTTCTTTCCTTCATCAAATTTGGCCGTGAAAAGAGGAGGAAAGAAGAGAAAGAGGATGGGTGAAAATGGAAGCTCTCCTCTGAAGCTGCTGAAGCCTCGAGCTCCCAAAAATCCCTGATTTTGTGGGATTGGGCAGAACTGATTTTTGCCTCCATGAGGTAAGTCAAGAAAGAGGAGAAGAAAGGAAGAGGAAAGCTTAGCTAGATTGAAAAGAAACCATTAGGGTTTCTTGGAGAAGACCCATTCCCAGCAGCTATAAATATGACCCCTTCTACCCAACACAACACAACCCACAACCTTCAGAGAGCAAGCTTTCTCTCTCACATGCAAACCCAGGAATTTTCGTGCTATCCTTCCTCATTTTCCTTTATTTCCCCTGTTTTGGCAGATTGACAGAAGCTTTGACAGAGTCATTGTCAAGCTGCCGGAAACTGCGAAAGTCACCCAAAACTCTTCACCATCCTTCTTCCTCTTCATCAAACCTCCTTAGAACCTCTCTCCCTCTCCATTAGAACCTTTGTACCTCATAGGAACCCACAGCTCTCTCTCCTAAAGTGCTAAACCCATGATAATTTTTGTTCCCATGTCATAAGTCACTCATGCCAAGCTAGAATATTTATCTGTAATTTGTTGTCATTTTCATCAATGAAGGTAACCAAGGAGTTTCCTAGGGCGTCATCACCCTTTCGAGACATCCTTGGGGCTTGATCTTCGAACCCAGACACAAGGGGACACTTGCATCAGATTGCTGTTTACAGCAGCCTAGCCCACTTGCTGCCGGAAGAAAAAAAGCCCCTACACATATCACGAAACATAATCGTACCACCAAATATAATCATGCTTTTTTTTAACACATCACCAAATATGTGCATATTTATTCATACCATCCTTTAAAAAAATATTTTTTGATACTTATTATTTTTAAAATTATTTCTTAAAACGTATTACGGTCTAATTATGTAATAACCTCAAAAATAATACTTGGTTGTATTATTTTTGTGGAAAATCTTATTAAGTTGTGTGACTTTATTGGTTGTTTTATGAATTTGGTTTGATATGAAAATATTGGAATTAAATGCGTTTAATCTCAAATTTTGACTAAAATGTCCTTATGATTAAGTTTATGTTTTTTTTTAATGAAGTAGGCCCATTTAGGCCCGGCCTAATGGGCTTTCTTAAGCTCGGGCCATGGGTCGGGCTTGGGCTTTGAATTTTCTAAAAAAATCTAGTCCGGACCGGCCCAGTATTTTCTCTCTCTTCTTTAAAGCCCAGCCTGGCCCATTGACGAGCCCTACACACATGTATGATTTTCAGCTGTTTTACCTCCTCCCTTTGATTTAACCCTCCGAACTAAAAAGTCAGCTAATTTTGCACTTGAATTTATTAAAACAACTAATTTAGCCCTTGCTATTAATTTTTTCAAATTTCATCCACTTTTCATTCAAAAAATCAAGTGATTTACTTTTATTATTATTATTATTATTATTAAAAACTAAAATAGTTAGGGGAAAAAAAAGTGATACTCTCTCTCCTCATTATTTGGGTTGGGTCCCAAGCAACAAACACCCTCAAAACCCAGCCTCCAATGTGAATTTTCCGGCGACACCCAGCACCCTCCCTCTAAAACCCAGAGCGCCACCGAAGAAGCCATGCCTCCAAAGTTCAACCCATCTCAGGTGGTCGATGTCTTAAGAACCCCAAATGCATGCAATTCAAAATTGGAACCGGCCAATTCCATAAAAACCCAAAATAAAAATATATAAAAAAAACTCAAAAACAACCTCTAAATACAGTATAATGGGTACTAATTGTTTGAACACAAAACTAGCAATATTTTGACACATTTGGATTTTGGTCTTTGTATAATGTTCATTCCTCAATTAATTATTCAGAGATTTCAGTGATATATATCTTTCGTTTGAAGTTATGAGTTACTTGTTGAAAAGCTTCGTGATTTAGAAACTTATAAAATGTTCTGTCAAGACCTTGAGGACGCTAACATTAAAATGTGATGAAACACAAAGTGCTAATGCGAAATAGCTAGAAATTACATGAGACGCTCAAAGAGAATGAGTCTTTGATAATAGAAAGAGTATAGCTCTGTTTGACATTACAATTGAAAATCTTAATAATTGATTATCCCCACAGAAGCCTACAGACCCTTATTAAGCTAAAACAAAAGCTAATGAAAGGACTCAACTATTAACTACGATACATGTATCATACTAGAAACCACATGGAACTGAATTTATTCCCTTGCACCACCCAAGACTTCTCAACTTTCCAATTACCCAATAATGGATCAGTCATTAAACATCTCCCTTAATGCACTGCATCATACTCCCCTCGTGAGAAGAAACTCGCCCTCGAGTTTGAATCGAATTCGCCAAGATATTCAGACATGTCTTGCACATTAAAAGTAGGATGGGTACAATAGTCGAAGGTAGCTCGATTTTGTAAGCATTGCTGCATTGTCATTGATCTTTTCCAAAATTCGACATGGACCAATTTTCTTTTCCTTCAATTTATTATAAGCGTCAGATGGAAAACGCTCTTTTTTAAATAAACCCACACAAGATCACCTTCACGAAATACCTTTACACGCCAATGAGCATTGGCAGCTTCTCTGTACTTCTCATTGCTTTCCTCGAGTTTCTTCTTCACATCCTCATGAACTCTTGCTATTGAAACAGAAAAATCTTCTGCTTTCTTGCTGGTTACTGTAGGATTAGAAATGGGAACAAGATCAAGATAGTGGCTTGGAGTTTTCCCATAGACAACCTCAAATGGAGTCTTTCCTGTAGAACGATTTACACTCGAGTTGTAGGCAAATTCTGCTTGAGCAAGTAGTGAATCCCATTGTTTTGGCTTCTTTGCTGACAAACTCCTGAGTAAATTGCCCAATGTTCTATTCACAACCTCAGTTTGCCCATCCGTTTGAGGGTGGTAGGCACTACTATAAAGCAAATTAGTACCAATTCTCTTCCACAGATGCGTCCAAAAATGGTTGAGAAATTTTGTATCCCTGTCCGAAACAATAGACTTTGGAACACCATGATGCTTAACCACCACTTTGAAATAAATATAAGCTATATAGGAAGCATCCATTGTTTTCTTGCATGGAATGAAATGAGCCATTTTAGATACACGATCAACAACCACAAAAATAGAATCATTACCTCGCTGGGTTCTTGGCAGACCAACTACAAAGTCCATGCTTATAAGTTATATCATGCCAAGGGGCTTCTGGAACGGGTAATGGCATGTATAACCCAGTATTCTGTTTCTTCCCTTTGCTGGTTTGGCATATACGACACCTATTCACATACTGCCATACTGGATGACATTTCAATATATTGCAGGCCAAAAATACCTGTCCCTTACAAGGGAAATTGTCTTATCATTTCCAAAATGTCCACCTAAACCGCCAGAATGCAGCGACACTTGAGCAAGGATGTTGGAAAACATGAACGACGAACTGCTAAAATATGAAAACTATGAGAGAATATTTGTTTGTGGGAATTTTCTATGTATTCTTCTCCTTGTAGGAGGTCATATTTATAATACAACGAAACCTGAATGGGCAAGTAAATAATAAATTTCTAAATCTATTTACAATAGGAAATCAAGAATTAAAGTAAATCAATTATAATTATAATAGGAATTCTTGGTGTGTAAGGAAAGTAAGTCAATATCCACAAGTCACGCCAACACTCCCCCTCACGTTGGTGCATAGATGTCGCCAATGCCCAATGATCCAGTGAATTGTGGAATGCTTTACTGGAAATCGCCTTTGTCAAAATATCCGCCAATTGATCCTCGGATTTCACAAAAGGAAACTGAAACACTTTAGCCTCAAGCTTCTGTTTGATGAAGTGTCGATCCACCTCAACATGTTTAGTACGATCATGCTGAACCGGATTCTGTGCAATGGCTATAGCAGCCTTGTTGTCACAAAAGAGATTCATTGTAGATGTAGGTTTATACCCAAGTTCAGTAAGCAACTTTCTTAACCAAAGAAGTTCACAAATCCCTTTAGTCATGCCTCTGAGATTCTAGGCTTCTGCACTGGATAAAGCTACTACATTCTGTTTCTTGCTCCTCCATGTCACCAAATTACCTCCCACGAATGTGAAGTAACCCGATGTGGATTTTCTATCTGTTACATTACCTGCCCAATCTGCATCTGAATAACCATCAATATTTAGATGACCATGCTTTGAGAACATAAGTCCTTTTCCAGGTGCAGACTTCAAATATCTAAGTATCCGAAGAACTGCATTCATGTGGTCTTCACTTGGAGAGTGTATAAATTGACTGACAACGCTCACTGCATAAGCAATGTCTGGTCGAGTATGTAACAAATAGATCAATCTTCCCACTAACCCTTGGTATCTTTCTTTATTAGTTGGAACTTGATCCGGATATTCTCCAAGATGATGATTCTGAACAATAGGAGTGTCCGCAGGTTTGCAATCTAGCATTCCTGTGTCTGTCAACAAGTCCAAGACATATTTCCTTTGAGAGAGAAATATGCCTTGTTGCGATCGAGCCACCTCAATTCCCAAGAAATACTTGAGTCCACCTAGATCCTTCATCTCAAACTCTGTAGCTAGATAGTCTTGTAGCTGTGATATTTCCTGTTTATCATTCCCAGTAATAATCATATCATCAACATAAATTATTAATGTTGTTACCTTCCCTTTCCAATGTTTCAAGAACAGAGTATGATCTGAGTTGCACTGTTTGAAACCATTGTTCTTCATTGCCATGGTGAACTGTCCAAACCATGCACGTGGTAACTGTTTCAACCCATATAATGCTTTTCGTAACCTGCAAATTGTTCCAGTCTGAGTAGTATTATAACTAGGAGGAATGTCCATGTACACCTCCTCCGTGAGTTCGCCATGTAGAAAAGCATTCTTTACATCAAACTGGTGTAGTGGCCAATCCAAATTAGCTGCAAGGGACAATAAGACTCTGACGGTGTTTAACTTTGCAACTGGAGCAAAGGTTTTTTCATAGTCTATACCAGAGGTCTTTGTGTACCCTTTTGCCACAAGTCTTGCCTTGTATCGCTCGATAGATCCATCTGCATTGTGTTTTATAGTAAACACCCATCTACATCCGATAGTCTTTTTTCCTCGTGGTATAGTCTCCAATGTCAAAGTCTGATTTTTCTCAAGAGCTTTCATCTCCTCTTTTATAGCTTGGACCCACTTAGGATCTTTCAATGCTTCAGAGACCTTGGTTGAAATATGGATAGCGGACAACTGATGCACAAAAGCCTTGAGTGGTTCAGACAGCTTCTCAGTGGACACATGATTTGCAATTGGATACTTGGATGTCTTGCCAATATCAGGTGAATAGCGGTTTGGTGGCTTCCCACGATTTTTCCTGAAAGGTAATTGATATCCAATAGTTTTATCCTCTAAATGCACAAGTCTAGTAGGAGTAGTTACCTCAAGGATATTCTCAGGAGATTGGTCTGTTGGTACTGTTGAGTTAGAGGGAGGGTCTTTATCTTGTTGTTTTGTATTGTCTGTAGGTGTGAGACTCGGATAAGAAATATCTTCGTATGGATCAGGTGGGTCAGGTAATTGATCGCTATGAATGGGCGATTGGTCGCTTTTCGGCAGAGAGTAATCTTGTGCTCCAGACTCGGGATGATCAATCATTTCTGTACATAGGAGAATTTCTTTGTTTTCCAAGTTGCTCCAATTCTGCTCTTCACTTCGTATCTCCCCTTGAAGCGTATAATTGGATGATGGGTCATGGAAGAACAACTCAGATTCCAGAAAGGTCACATCCAAAGTGACATAGGTATGTCGGGTAGGAAGGTGATAACAACGGTGGCCTTTCTGATGAGTGGCATAACCCACAAAAACACAACGAAGCGCACAGGGATCAAGTTTGCTACATTGATTTTTGTGGAGATGAACGAAAGCCACACATCCAAAGATTCAGGGTGTGAGTACCAAAACAGAGGGCAGAGGTCTGTGTTGCGCAAGCACCTGTAAGGGAGTTTTAAAGGTCAATACACCAGAAGGCATGCGGTTGATTAGGTGAATTGTAGTGACAATAGCATCATCCCAGTGATGGCGAGGAACATGAGCGCCAATCAGAAGTGCTCGGGCGGTTTCAAGAAGATGTCGATTCTTTTGTTCAGCAACATCATTTTGTTGCTGTGTCTGAGGACAAGTCGTCTCATGGATAATTCCATGTTGTTGGAAGTAAGTTTGAAAGTCATGATTGACAAATTCTCCACCATTGTCGGAGCGAAAAATCTGGATTTGAGCATTAAACTGAGTTTTCATCTGTTTGTGGAAGGACTGAAAACGGGAAAACACTTTGTTTTTATTATTCAGCAAATAAAGTCATGTCATATGTGTACAATCATCTATGAATGTGACAAACCATCGAACACCAAAAGGAGCAGTGATAGGTGAAGGTCCCTAGACATCAGAGTGAATTAACGTAAATGGAGTAGTACACTTGTTCGTACTCAACGGGTATGGCACACGGTGACTCTTGGCCAAAATACAAGTATCACATGTGAAGTCTGAGTCCTTGAAACCTGAGAATAAATCTGGTATAAGATGCTTCATATAACTAAAAGATGGATGTCCCAATCGACGGTGCCATAACCAGATTTGCTTTTGTTTGCTATCAAAGGGATGTGTCACACTGTTAGCCATGCCAGGACTGAAGTCATCGACATAATATACCCCCCCTCTCTTAGTACCACGACCAAGAATCTCCTTAGTGTGAATATCCTGAAGCAAACAAAAACTCGGGTAAATGAGTACACAACAATTCAATTGTTCAATAAGCTAACTAACGGACAACAATTTAGTGGACAAAGATGGAACAAGTAAAGTATTAGACAGTGTGAGAGAGGATGAGAGTGCAACAGTGCCAGCTCCTGTCGCAAGATAAGTAACGCCATTGGCATTTGCAATACAGGTTCGTCGAGGTTGTGTAGTATTCAGAAAATCATCAGGATCAAAAGTCATATGATCAGTTGCACCAGAATCAATTATCCAACTCCTGGAATCAATCTTATCAGAAGTATGGAATCCATAACTAGTACCATTACTGGTCATATTGCATTGTCCTCGATCTTTAAGAGTAGCCCACCAATCGGGGTAGCCATGCAATTTAAAACAAGTCTCACGAGTGTGTCTCGGATCACCATAATATGCGCAATCTAGTCCATGTGTCGGGGTCGTTAGTCGAGAAGTCATAATCTCTGTAGCAGAAGATGCATAGGATACAGGTTGAGTAGGAATTCGGATCGGGATCTGAGCCTGAGTCGGGGCTAGAGTTGGAGTCGAAATCGGGATCGAGGTCTGAATCATTGTCAAATTCGGGGTCGTGGTCATCATCGGAGTCAGGGGTCGGGGTCGTCGTCGTCATAGTCGAGGTCGGGGTCGGGGTCGTCAAAATAGGATCCTGATTCCAGATCGGGTTTGGGGTCATCAAAATAGGATCCTGATTCAGGATCAAATTCGGGGCCAAAGTCTGCGTCTGTAGGAGTTGAGCCATTTGGGCACTCAACTCGGCTATGGTTGGTTGAGAAGGAGAGAAGGAGTCGGTGGTGCTATCTCCATGAGGGTTGAAAAATCCATCAACCCCCATAGCGGCGGCGGGGGTTTGAAACTAAGGTTAGCAATTCCAAGATCGCCACTCTGATACCATGCTAAAATATGAAAACTATGAGTAAATATTTGTTTGTGGGAATTTTCTATGTATTCTTCTCCTTGTAGGAGGTCATATTTATAATACAACGAAACTTGAATGGGCAAGTAAATAATAAATTCCTAAATCTATTTACAATAGGAAATCAAGAATTAAAGTAAATCAATTATAATTATAATAGGAATTCTTGGTGTGTAAGGAAAGTAAGTCAATATCCACAAGTCACGCCAACACGAACCAGCAAGTCCCATTTAGTCTAAGAATACCCGAAACTTGGCATAAAAATAGAATAAAATACTCAAACCCGTTAATTCTAAGAAAACCCAAATTATGAGCAAAGATGAGAGAACACTCTCTTTGTTTTCAATTTCAATTATCAACAACCACTCCCTTGAGAAATATGAGCATACAAGTATTTAAAAACTTAATCTCTCATCTCATACATTGAACTAGCACCTAAATTAATTAACCCATTAATTCAAATACATTAAGCCCCATCAAAATAATTACGACTCTAGCTATTTCATTCCGAATACATGGAATTTATTAGAAGCCAAAACAAAACGTTCATGCATTGAACTTATTAATGCTTTTGATTCAAATGCCCCATAAACTTTAATGGCTCTTTATCTGCATCATTCTCCCCGGGTTGACAAAAATTTGTCTTCGAATTTATGCCTTCTTGGATTAAAATTATGATCATTGATTGTTGGTCTTCAAATAGAAATCTCCCACTCCAAAGAAATAAATATTTGAATATTCTCCAATTGTGTGAATTCTCCACGGCCAATCTCTTAATATAGATATTCTAAATTATGGTATCAACCAACCAATCTCTTAATATAGATATTCTAAATTATGGTATCAACCAAAGTGGTTGCACTACGATGACTGAAATTATCAACCCTCATGAAATCAATATATTCAACAACTTCAAAAGTATCATGAGGGTTAAGTGATGGAATCATTGACAATTGCAATATGAAGGTTGGCATAATTTTCCACAACTTCTTCAATGCATTCCATTTGTTTCAGTTTCATGTCAAAAACCTTCTCAACTGTAAAATAATAATCACAACAAATCTCGCAACAACCATCTGAACATCGATCAAATACTGGAGGGAAATCCAAATCTAATAAATGATTAAATGTATGATCACCACTAACCATTTTTTATAACACCTGATGTAGATTTGACTAACTACACAACTGGCGTGCAGTTCCTCCCCAGGATTTCAGTTCTGCAACTGAATCCCGCTCTGATACCAACTGATGAAACACAAAGTGTTGATGCGAAATAGCTAGAAATTACATGAGGCGCCGGTTTATATAGAAAACCGCCTACATAATTAGATTTTTCTAAGATCCCAAGAGATACGAAATCTTACTGGAGGGAACTATGTTCCTCATCATACTCGGACCACCAATGTGATAGAAAGACAATATTTTAGACGTTGATGATGTGTGTGTCTTTGTGTCTTTGAGATACACAGGCATATACACATCAATATCCAAAAATTTGCCTCTAAAATTTGACGAGGTAGCCACAGATTTGCATTCAAAGAGACAATTTTTTGGAAGTTGATGATGTGTGTGTGCTTGTGTCTTTCAGATACACAAACACACACACACATCAACATCCAAACAATTGCCTCTAAAATTTGACGACGGCAACCACAAATTTGCATTAAGAGAGAATTTTTTGGAAGTTGATGATGTGTGTGTGTTTGTGTCTTTCAGATACACAAACGCACACACACATCAACATCCAAACAATTGCCTCTAAAATTTGATGACGGCAGCCACAAATTTGCATTAAGAGAGAATTTTTTGGAAGTTGATGATGTGTGTGTGTTTGTGTCTTTCAGATACACAAACGCACACACACATCAACATTCAAACAATTGCCTCCTAAGAGGTGAGACAGAGCCAAGGGCAAGAAGAAGTTGGAACCCTAATTGAAAACTGAAACTGAAAGAATGCGTGAAAAAAACTCAATTTATAAAATAATATTCACATCAACGTCGATTATATTACTCTAACCGACGTGTAACAACTGAAATCTACGTCGGTTCTTAAAACACGGAAGACGTATAAAACAAATGAGGTTAAGACAAACAACGTTAGTCATTAAACTAAAGGCAATGTGGTTAAGACAAAAAAGGTCGGTCATTAAACTAAAGGCAACGAGGTTTAGACAAACAATGTTGGTTCCACATAAAAAAACGACGTGGTAACTTGTACTATCACTTCTTAAAAGTAAACTAGCGCCCAACTAACCACGTCGTTTTCGGAATACAAAAAGTCAAATGGCTGTATTACTAACCACGTCGGTTGATGTTATTTTATTGTCGTGGCAAGTACATACTAGGGTGGTTTTTATCACTACTGTTGTTGTATTGATCTTTAGGACACTATATAAACTTTTTGGTCACCAGACCTAAACTTTTACGTTCTCTCTAAAATTTTCAGTTTTCTCTCAGTTTCCCTCTCATTTCTGAAAAGCTGCGTTTTTTATTCTTAGTTTCCCTCTCTTTTACTTTCTTCCTCATCTTCGTCTCCAAAATTTGATTCCGAAGAAAACTTTCTTTGCAAGTCAAAGGTATTTTCTCACTCCATTTTTTTTTCCAGTTTCCCTATCATTTGAAGTTTTTATTTTATTTTAAAGAACGAGTCCCACTGATGTTTGAAACAAGACTCAGGTTTGAAAAGGCCAAATCTTTCACTATTCCCACTCATAGGCCATGTGAGGATGAAGGGTTTTTCTCGTATTTGACGTTTTTGTTGACACACCATGACGGTAATTAAATTTGTGCTATTTCAATAGCACAGCTGTTCATAATAACCGACGTGGTGTGTTAATAAATACGACGTTTGAAAGAGAAAAACCGTCGTCTGATTTGAAACGAACGTGGGAGAGGGAAAACTAGGCGGTTTTATTTATTTATGAACTAATAATACCACGACGGTTTTATTTAATTACCGTCGTTTTAAGTTAATGACCACGATGTATTAGCACATCCACATTTCTATAGATTAGCACGACGGTTTTGTTCTTTTGCCCTTGTCTGAACTTTCATTTTATGTCTGGATTTTACCTAACCGTCGTTGTTTTTCTTGCAGTTTGTATTTCTCTCTAAACATGGTTTTGAAATCTCAAAGTAAGGAGGCTCAAGCATCAAAAGGTCAAGGCAAGGACATTGCAGTTTCAAAGGCACAAATGGGTGAATCCAAATATGTTCCAAGCAATCCTGCAAAGAAGATTAGATTTACTTCATCCTCCAAGAAAGACCCAAGCTCTGCGACCGTTGGTTGTCGCGAATCTCACGGCCTGGTGCTCTGGGCCGAGGGGATGTGCGTCAACACGTGACGTCCTTCTTTTGGATGCGGTGCGGTTGTGCACAAGCGTGCCAGCACGGTCTACCGTGCGTTGAGATAATGATGAGGTTTGGGTAGAAGATGGTTTAAATGTTGTGCCTGTTTTGCGTTCGACTCCTAATCAAACGATTGTGGCCGAGAGAGGAACTGATCTCGGCCGTCAGGTTCATGGCCTGAGCTACAAGGCCGTTTAGTGGTGGTGTTGGTGACGGGTTTTAGGTGGTGCTCCGGCGCGTTGCTCAAAGAGCGACGGTCGTATGATATATGGGGTGAGTGAGACGATAACAGAGATGGTGCTCCGGCGCCTTGAAAATCAAGGGTTGTATGATATATTGATGAATGAATTTTCCTTACAATCTACCACTACTCCTAGGAAAGCAAATAAAGGTATTGAAAGTGCATTATAGGAAAATATAATTTGCTCCGTGGGAGGCTTTTGGTTTGGTGTTTGAACCCTTTGAATGTAGTCCTGGGCCTAGTATTTATAGGAGGAGTCCTGGAGGGACAATCGAGGCTGACAAGACCTGCGTGGTGGAGCCTGACCGGGGCAAGTGGGTAGTCAAATCGGCATTTGGGATCGTGAAGTATGGTGGCTTGGGGTTGAGAAGCATGGTGGTGTGACCCCCATAAATCTCGGTAAATCTCGGCCACCGCCCTGATCGTGGGTTCTGCCCCCTTGGCCATGGGAACTCATTTAATACCCTGGTCTGGTGGTTGGTGATCTGACCTTAAGTCGTAAGATTACTTGTGAGAATGTCTGTGCCTAACCACCCTGATTTCCATCACCAAATCCTGACTTCAGTCACTTCCCTTGTGCATTAAATGCTTCTTGCGACTAGTGGGTTTGCTGCGAAAGTCAGAGGCATTACTTCATTAAATGGGGCGTGGGACCTTGACGCCACGTGGCGATTTAACCATAGCTTCTTCGGCCGTGTCTTCTACAGCCTTCGGCTTCGGCCTTCAACACTGCGGTAGCGAGGCCGAGAGGATTTTGCCTTTGCAGTTTTCCTTTTGTTTCAGGAAGGCGAAATGCTCGACAAAACGGTAGGCGCCAGGGCCGAAAGGAAGTCCCCTCAATCAGCTTATGATCGTTATTTATTAGGCACAAACAACGACATTTGATGAAGTGATGAAATCGACTCGTGGTATCAACATAATGAGCCGCGTTGTGAAGAGGAAAATCCAGAAGATTAAGCCTATGGTTGAGTACAATAAAAGTGGCAAGGCTGCTATTGAGATGCAGAGTTACATTGGTGTTTTGGCACTCACTAGAGTCCCTCTTGTGGACAAGAAATAGACTCAATTGCCCATGGACCTGAAGGAGCAGATTTGGGAAGCTGTTCAAATGGCTGATGTTGTTGGGGGAAGGGGGCAAGAAGATGGTGCTGTCTTCTACCGCCAAAAAATGGAAGGATTTTAAGTCTACCTTAACTAGGCAGTTTATCCGTCCATTCGCAAGTGAGAAGAAGTTAAAAGAGCCCTCTCAACTTTATAACTTCATAGAGAAATTGCAATGGGCTGCCTTTGTAGCTTCAAGGTTATCCCCAGATTTTGAGGCTGTGCATTTTGAGCAGTCACAGAGAAGGGAGAAATGCAAGTACAACCATAGGTTGTCTCGAAAAGGCTACGTTGGTTTGGAGGATCAATTGGAAGAAACCATGCTCAGTGAAGAAATCGATCGATCTCTGCTATGGAAGAAGGCAAGAGAAGATAAACAGGGAAACATCCCTGATCCAAAGGTTACAGAGAAGACAAAATTAATCGTAAGTCTCACTCACTCTGTTCTAAACTTGTAAAACAGAGGTTTTAATTTTCATTTAGACGTCGATCTTTTTAGTAACTGTCGTTAGACATGAAACCCAACAACGGTTTTTATTTACTGCCTATTAAAAAAGATATAACGTCAGTATTTTTACACAACCGACATCTGTATTGAATTACAACAACGGTTTTTATTTAGCGCCTTTTAAAAAAGATATAATGTCAGTATTTTTACGCAACTGACGTCTGTATTGAATTACAACGACAGTTTTGTGTTTCTATATTAGGTTTTTTAAATTAAATTTTGAACTGTCTTCATATTCACAAGCACACACACTCTCTCTCCCTCCCTATTTCTCTGCAATTTATTTGTACACTATTTATGGATCAATGAATATTTTGGTTAAGTGTCTTTATTTCTGATGTCAAATAAACGACGGTTTTTTCATGGACTGACGTTTTAATGTATACAAAACGACGGTAGTTTTGGGCCGACGTATTAAATGATTTTCTGCATATATTTTTTAAATAAACCTTCATCTTAACCTCTTTACCACGACAGTTAATATTTTTATTAATTAATTTATTTAATCAGTTTTACTATCTATTCACTCACTAACATTCTCTCTCACTTTTAGGATGATTTGAAAAAACAAGTCTCCGAGGGCACTCTGATTGTCTCTGGGAGCAACGATGTTTTGACCTTGGCTTTGGGAACCCTTGAGCATGGTGGGAGAGTCAGAGGTGCTGGAGTTGGGGGTTTCCCAACTCAATTCTTCAATTTGCCGATATAGCAAAGAGTAAAATTTGTTGACAAATTGAAGGAAAGTGTTATGGAGGCAATGAGAGACGAAACCAAAAAGATGGAGGCCAGGGCAAAGGAAAGTGTTATGGAGGCAGTCAGAGCGAAGAGGGAAATTTTGTTGAAACAATATAGTCAACTAATTCCCAACTTTGATCCCAACTTGATCAGTAAAACTTCAATCTGGAACGTTATCTCACCGTTCAAAACATCTCTCAGACCACCTAAAAAATGCAGATGGGGATCAATTTTACTTGTTGCCTTATAATCCAGGGTTAGTCCACTTCTATACTTGGTCCCTTGTAATATATATTTTTTTTGTAGTATATTTAATCTATATGGATCATTTTGTGTAGGGGTCATTGGGTGTTAATAATTATGAGACCAGCTAAGGAGACTGTCTATTACATGGATTCATTTCCAAACCGCTCCGTTGACGAGGACATGAGAAATATAGTGAATACGTAAGTTTATTTCTGAAAATCTAAGATTTTTTATTTCTGCATTTGAATGATACGACGGCTTTTTCAAATACCGACGTTGTATTGAAAACACAACGACGGTATATTATAACCGATGTTTGAAATCATTTACAACGTCAGTATTTTCTTGAAACCGTCATCTTAATTGAAATACCATGTCGTTTGTGTTTTTCATTTTAGGACGTTTTAATTTTTTATGTTCAACTTTCATTTAAAAACAACTTTGGTTATACGTCGTTTTTCGTCGTCACCGACTTTAGAATGATACATAACGACGGTTCTTATTTTCCGACTTTTGAAATAAAATAAGACGTCATTTGTTTTACAAAACCATCGTCTTCACTTATTTACCACGACGGTTAATATTTTTTATGCTGATTTTTAGTTTTGTCATTAACACTTTTTGTTTTCTTGAAACAGTTCAATCAAAATGTATAACTCTCACATAGGCAAACAATAATCACGTAAATCACCCATATGAAAAAATCTACAAGGCACTCCTAGACAACCAACAAATGTAGAGTGTGGCTATTACGTGATGCGTTTCATGAGAGATATAATTCATGATCAAGGCCTAGCATTTGAGAAGAAGGTAAAATTTAAGATATAATTTCTTTATTTTAATACCACGACGTTTTATTTCAAAACCGTCATTTTAATATTTATAATACGTCGGTTTTTGTTCTTTATTTGCAGTTTGACAAGAAAAAGGAACCAGTTGAGTATACACAAGAACATATTGATGAAGTCAGGCTGGAATGGGCAGAATTCGTGAACAAGCAATTACAGAACAATAAGTGATATAATTTATTTTAAAAATGCTTAGGTTTATTTTAATTTATTGATAATGTATATAAACATATTTTTGGTAATTAATTGAACATTCATAAAAAAAATCAAATGAAATATTTTTTTGTTTTTTTTTTTTTTTTTTTTTTTTTAGATATTTATGATCGTTAAATGAAATAAAATGAAAATAAAATCATAAAAATTTAAATTAATTCCCAAAAACCGACGTCTCATTCTTATTTATACGTCTCATATCTATAAACAACCGCCGTCTTATTATAGTGGGAAAGAAAACATCGACGACATTTCTCAAAAACGCCATGTAAGGTAGCTATACACGACGGTTAATATATAAAACTGAAATCTACGAAAAAATTTGTATAGATATACTACCAACAGACAGGACGTGTTAAAGACATACAACGTCCGTTACAGGTTAAAATGTGACGTTGTATATCTAAACAATGTCATCATCAACATAATAATCAACGGTGTATATTCTACCCACGTCGGTTATTCATAAAAAGAGGATGTTGTAACTTACTAACCACGGCGGCGAGTGCATTGCGACTTATAATGTTTTATAGGACGACGTCATGTGTTATTTAACGTTGTTGTAAACGGATGCAACGTCGGTTATGTACATTTGTCATTTAATTTTTGTATGGCTTTTATATTTTATTCCTAATATTCATAATAATTTCAAAAAAAAATCCATAAAAAAAACTGACAACTACCATGCACTCATTGAAAGATTTTATCTCCCCTAAATCTTTAAAAAATTTAATTTTAAAAATATTTTTAATTGTATTTAATTACTAATATTCATAATATATTAAAAAAAATCCAAAAAATAAACCGACAAATTTTATGCACTCATTGAGACAATATCTTCCCCCTACATGCCTGAAAATTTTAATTTTAGATTTCAAAATTAGAAGTGATAACAAAAGTCAAAAGATTTAGAGACAAAGCACAATAGTCATTATACTTTCCATAACATAACCCTAAGGTTTATGTGATCCATTTGTGGTCATAAGATTTAAAATTATTTAATATGGATTTTAGCCTACGAATGTAGAAGGCATTGTTGTAAGGAGTCCGTAGCAATTTTCGGTTCATTTTTCTCATACTTGTGTTTTTATTTATTTAATTATTGTAAAATTTAGGGTTTAGGTTTTATTGAAACAATGCCGGTTTTCTCTCGCTCTTTTTGGTCAATTATGCGTGTTCGAATCCCAGGAAACACACACCAAATCTAATTATTTAATATTTTAGATATCGGTTTTTGTATGGGAGACGTCAAAACGCTTTACAACGGTATCGGTGTACCATAACCGTTGTTGTAAATTTGAAATAAAACGACGACTTGGTTTTATTTACTGTCGTCTTTAATAAATGCGGTACTTTGAAATTTTTCATCGGGATCTAAAATTTTCAAAATTTCCCTTTAACCCTAAAGTATTTCTCTCTCTCTTCAACGTAAATTTGTCTTAAAGTTTTCGTTCTCTCTCAAAGCATTGGGTATATTCTCTGAGCTCTCTTAAGCATTTGATATTTTCTCTAAGCTCTCTCTCTCTCTCTCTCTCTCTCTCTCTCTCTCTCTCTCTCAATATCCATGTAAGTATATTCTCTCAGCTTTCTCTCAATATTCTCTTAGTTTGTATATTCTCTCAGCTCTCTCTAAATATTCTGTTAGTTTGTATATTCTCTCAGCTTTAGTTTCTTAATATGGGTTCTTATATGTTTTGGGAGCTATAGGTTCTTGATTGGGAGCTATATATGGGTTCTTTTATGTTTTGATGTTTGCATTCTGTTAAGGGTTCTTTGAAAAGGAATGGGGATGGAAGAATTAGGCTTTGGTTTTTTGTAAACCACTACGATGGTTGGTGGAACCAACCTCCATCCAAATTTTTATTATACGTTAGCTTTTTATTTACTACCACCATCGTCGTTAGGCCACCATAACCCATACCTGGTTCTTCAAAAAGAACACAAATATCTTGTTAGGTTGCTTAAAGATGACGGTAAATAGACATGTCATCGTCTTAATCTATGTTACGCAACGATTATTTTGTAAAAACCGTCGTCTGATTCTTGTGGAATTTTTTTTTCTTTTCTCCACTTTGTTCTCTTCTCTGTCAATATAGTAGTGTTTCATTGCTGGTCTTTTCACTTTATTATATGTATGATTTTATAGTGTGTGAGATGGATAAGTCATGGATGCATGCGGATAGAAGATAGAAGGCATATGAGTTAGGTGTGGAAGGATTTTTGAATTTTGATAATGATTTAGGCGATATTGGATTTGATCCTTATGAGTTTGCCAATGTGATTGGGGATGGAGATCAACCATTGTATCCTGGTAACAGTAAGTACACGATGTTGTCGGCTTTGGTGAAGTTATATAATTTAAAAGCAAAACATGGGATGAGTGATTTTTGTTTTACAGAATTATTAATACTTCAAGGAGATTTGCTTCCAGAAGGAAATACACTACCTTCCTCTATGTACAAGGCAAAAAAGACATTGTCTGCTTTAGGGATGAGTTATGAGAAAATCCACGCATGTCCCAATGACTGCATCCGGTATTGGAAGGATTATGAAGATTCAACTAATTGTCCTACTTGTGGTGTCTCAAGGTGGAAGGAAGGCAAAGATTTAATCTTGAAAGAGGTTGTGCCAGCGAAGGTGGTGTGGTTTTTTTCCACCAATTCCAAGGTTTAAATGGATGTTTCAATCACATAAGACAGCTAAGAGTTTGACTTGGCATGCTGCTAGAAAATTAGTTTACGGTCAGATGTCTCATCTAGCGGATTCCCCGTCTTGGAAACTTCTTGATGATAAATGACCCGAGTTCGGTAATGAGCCGAGAAACTTGAGATTGGCTCTCTCATCTGATGGATTCAATCCCCACAGTTCTTTAAGTAGCAGATACAGTTGTTGGCCAGTTATTTTAGTTACATATAATCTCCCACCATGGCTATGCATGAAATGGAAGTTCATGATGTTGACCTTATTGATTTCTGGTCCTAAACAGCCTAGAAATTATATCAACGTTTACTTAGAGCCTTTGATTGATGATTTAAAATCTCTGTGAGATGGGATTAAAGGAGTGTATGATGCACATATAGGAGAATACTTTACACTCAAAGGTGTATTATTGTGGACAGTTAATGATTTTCCTGCCTATGGGAACTTATCTGATTGTTTTGTTAAAGGATATAAAGCTTGTCCAATATGCGGCGATGATACACCTAGTCACAGGTTGAAAAATGGCCACAAAATTTGTTACATTGGACATAGAAAATGGTTACCAATCAATCATCCATATCAGAGGCAGCGTGCATCTTTTAATGGGAAACCTGAATATGGCACGCCTCCTGAGCCATTAAACGGAGAAGAAGTGTTGCACATGGTTGAAGATATTAATTACATATGGGGCTTGAAAAATGGGGTAAGTGTTGGTGAGAATGATGGTGACAGAGTTTGTTAGAAGAATAAATCAAAATTCTTTGATCTCGAGTATTGGAAATACCTTCATGTGAGGCATGTCCTAGATGCTATTTATATTGAGAAGAATGTTTGCGATAGTATCATTGGTACATTGCTGGAGATCCCTGAAAAAAAATAACGATGGGATTGCTGCTCTGTGATACCAGAGAATATAATGATGTTATTGGTGATGATGTGCTAGGTGATACTAGAATTGAGTGTGAGCCATTTACTAGAGGGATACCAAATGTTGACACATTTGATGACCTAGTGGGTGAGTTTGGGAATGAAAATATTAGAGATGGGTGTGAAGATATATGGATTGATTGATTGTTGTAATGTATGACATTAGTTATTCAGTTAATTGTATGACATTAATTAATAACTCTATACATCATTTTAATTCTGATCACATTTTCATTATGCAGGCTTTGGGCACGACAAATCAAAAATTAAAAAAGCTGGGTTAAAGCTATAAAGTACGACGGTCCAGTAAAAAACTGGAAACACAGACGTCTAAAATAAAAACAACATTGGGTTTTAAAAAGGCAAAAGACCGTAAAACAAAAAAAACAGACATCTGAAACAAAAATCAAGTCGGTTTGCTTAAAATAAATTGTCGTCTAAAGTGCGAAATAAAGGCCGTTCAGTTCCATTAACTGTCGTGACAGATGTTTGAACGTTAGCTAGTCTAAAACAACTAACGTCTCCGAGCATACATACGTCAAGGAAGGTTAAACAAGCGACTTTTAAAAGGACAACCACGTCATTATGTAATCCAAACCGACGTGGTAAGCAATTACAACGTCAAGCAGGTGGATCTCTAGACGTAGTGAAATAATTAACCACGTCCTTTATTTTAATGCCACAGACGTTGAATATATAATCCACGTCGGTTATTTTCCTATCCACGCCTTCAATATTATTTATAACGTCATCCTTTGACAAAAACGACGTGGATACAATTTTGTACATCGATATTGAGTAATATTATGTCATTTTAATATTTTAGACATTGGTTATTCAGAAAAAGTGACGTCTAACTTTGTCAAAGGGCCTTCTTTGTATAATTTAAACGACGATTCTTGCAAGAAATAGACGTGGAATAAACTTAACACTTCGGTTTTCATTATATTCCGCGATGTGGATAATAACATTAGCGTTGGTGATGCTAGGTGCAGGACGTGGTTATGGCATGTTACTCTTTAAACGTCTGTTGGTTTGTGTGCACGTTGTCATTTATGTTTTAGACGTCGTTGTCTTTGTTTGTTTAACATAGTATATATTAACCACGTCGGTTTGTAGCTTATCCAAGTCTTTTTTCCTTCATTTAGGGATGTGGATAATTATCTGTATGTCAGTTCTTCTTTTGATCTTGACATATAACACTCTTTAGACGTCTTAGTTTTTATAAAATCGTCGTCTAATGTTGTCGAAGATTTCTTTTAAGGTAATTATATGTAATTACATGTCGGTTTGTAATAAATTTGGACATTGAATGCCTTAACGACGTCGGGTATTAATCGTAGTTATTTTTGTACAAAGATGGCGGTCGATTTCACGCTGATGGTGGAGATCATGTTGATCTGCCTTTGGTGAGGGTTAGGTGGGGGGTGGGAGGTTGTGCACATATTTATCCAACTTCCCCTCACGAATAAGTCATTCAATGATGTTGCGCAAGGCAACACAAGATTCGGTATCGTGGCTACTGAACTAATGGAAATGGCAGAAGACACCTGTGTTTGGCATAGGCTTGTTGGACGGTCTCCGGAGGGGAGGCTTGGGTATGATAGGTGCCTCATGTACCAAGACATTCTCATGGGAGGGTTGCTTCCATTGATCTGGTGGTGGTTGCCATGTCTGCCACGCTTGCTACTGCTGAAGGTATGTTGGTAGCTATCCTTCCTTTTGGGGTGCGGGGTACCTTGGTTATCTAGGGCGGGAATGGGAATAGAACGCTGAGGTGGGGCTAGGGTAGGTACCGAAGCAGGTGGAAGATCACCAAAGGTGCTACGTGTAAAGGTGGCTGGGCCACGCTTGGAGTTGAAATACTTGGCCTTGGCGTGAACGGCTGCCTGCTTCATTAGCTCTACATACGTGTTCCAAGGGTTACTATGGACCAGGTATCGGAAGTTGGACTTGCGGAGGCCACTCTTGAAAGCACCGAAGGTAGCGCGATCGTCAGTCTCTGGGTAACGAGAGTACTCATGGCTGGAGCGGGCTGCATACTCCTGAAGGGGTTCTTCCTCACCCTGCCGAAGCATGTACAAGTCGTCTGCAGAGTACAGGCGATTAGTCTGGATCATGAAATGGTCTAGGAAGGTCTACTTCAGAGTGTCAAATGAGTTGATGGTGCGGGGGTTCAGCTTGTAGAACCAATTCAGGGCCGCGCCGCTAAGGGTGGAAGGGAAGAGTGTGCCTTCGTCACTAAGGCCCGCGCAGCCGAGGGCAGACTGGAAGGAGTGGATATGGGTGAGAGGATCCTCCGTGCCAGTGTAGAAAACGATACGGAGTGGCTTAATGTCCTTCTCCTGGTGGTAATTGAGGATACATTCGGTAAAGGGCCCTGGTCGTGGCTTCGCCAAGAGGGGCTGGTGGCTACGCTGATGCTAATTCTCCAGGTGCTGGACCTTCTCAAAGAGAAGCCTCATGGCCGGGTCGGCATGAGGGAGGGTCTCAGGTGCTGAAGGCCTAGGGTGTGGATGAGCAGGGCTGGGGAAGGTTCCCACTCTTCGAACGCCTTAGTGTGATAAGACTCCCTGTATTGTATTTTGGATGGTAAGTTTCCTAGTTATCCGAGTCCCCTGCACCCTTTCCATCAGGTAGGTGGGTGGGCTTTGGTGGGGGGCCCAAGCGTGCCACCCTTGGGTCTTGGAGATTAACGGGGATAGGAATAGGGTCTTGCTGACGGTCTAAGAGATGGTCTCTACAATCTCTATAGACCTTCCTCGGTTCATGGGGTCGGTCTTTCGGTGGGGAGATGTGGAGGAGCCGCGACTTGGTCGTCTCTGGATGGAGGGGGACTTTACCCTTGCTGAGCCTAGACTGGACTGGGGCACTATGGTGGGAGTGCACCGGTTGATTTGGCTGGGTATGCTCAGCATCCTGGGTAAAGTCACGTTGGGAGGCCTGGGCCTGAGTCCTCTCCAAGTTACGCTTCGGCGTGCTGTAGTCATGTCCAGCTCGATATTTTGGTATAAAGATGTTCGTATTTCTTTGACATCTTGGTAACGATGGCGCGGAGGAGCTCTACTTCTGCTTGGAGATTGGTATCTGCTGAAGGTTTCCTTCGTGAGGTACCCCTACGGAGGGTATGGTGCTGAGTATCGTGACTATCCTCGATCGGCATAGCAGAGTGTGGAGTGAAGAAGAGGCGACGAGGCCTAACGGGAGAAGGAGCCAGCTGGGCTAGTAGAGAAAAATAGGATTCAAAAGTTGTTTCCCACAGACGGCGCCAAACTGTTGATGCTCTTTTTGAGAGATCAACTTAGAGGGAATGTGGATAGTCTTCAGCAGGGGGGAAGGTGAGGGCCTTCAGCAAGGGAGGAGCCTGCAGAAGACAAAGTAGGAGAAGCAGTCGTTAAGCTTCGGACATCGGTGTTGTGCCGGCCGAATGCTCTCCGATGCCTAAGTCAGCTGTGAGTGGTAAAGTTGGCAGAGTAACAGTAAAAGTAAGAGAGAAGTTACCCTTTTTACTTGGGTGCTGTTCCCTATTTATAGGGAAGTGAAAGTGGGAGGTTTGCACAAAGTTTCAATGTGGGACTTTGTGCAAGCCGCTGTGGTGGTGACACGTGTCGTGGAGATTAGGTTCAACAGTTGAGAGCTTCGGTAGGTGTTTGGCACCTCGGAAGAGTGTCTTCCTTCGGCAAGGGATGAGGCGTGTCTGCCTTGGTGCTGGTCGTTTTGTGGCTGGATATGCTTGGTTGATTATGGTGTAAACACTTCTAGACGACGGTGGTTTCCCGTCGTCTATTTCGATTTTTGCAGTAGTGGGTGCTCAAAGAGAAAGAGTCTTTGATAATAGAAAGAGCATAGCTATTTGACATTACAATTGAAATTCTTAATAATTGATCATCCCCACAGAAGCCTACAGACCCTTATTTAAGCTAAAACAAAAGCAATTGAAAGGAGTCAAGTATTAACTACGATACATGTATCATACTAGAAACCACATGCATCTGAATTTATTCCCCTGCACCACACAATACTTTTTGACTTTCTAATTACCCAATAATGGATCAGTCATTAACATCTCCCTTAATGCATTGCATCAAGATGTCAAATTAATGATGATGAAGATGTTAAGAAGGGCAAATAGTGACCATAGGAGAGAAAAAGTGGGTCTGGACTGGAATGGGTGGGTGGAGGAGAAAGGGGTGGGTTGTGGTAGTTGGTGGGATGGGGTTGTGGGGAAGAGGTTTGGGCTGGGTTTTCTTGTGAATTTTATAAAGATTTTTGCTATTTTTATTATTTTTTCTTTTGGTTTTATGTATTTAATTTTTATTTTATTTGAAAATACAAATGTACTCTTAGTATTAACAAAGAATTGGATGAATAATCTAAAATCTAATGGGGGTAATCGGCCATTTCAATTTATTCTAGTGTTAAATTGCCTGACTTTTTAGTTCAAGAGTTAAGCTCGATTGGGGTCCTAATTCGCTGCGGGGGGCCATGAAAGTTAATCATTTCAATTCATCAGTGTGATTAAATTGCCATACAACGCGCCATTTCAATTTATTCTAGTGTTAAATTGCCTGACTTTTTAGTTCAAGAGTTAAGCTCGATTGGGGTCCTAATTCGCTGCGGGGGGCCATGAAAGTTAATCATTTCAATTCATCAGTGTGATTAAATCCATCCCCCATACCAAACCCCACCCCCCCCCAAATACTAAAAATATGGATTTCTTATACCCAAGATCCTCTCATATATTAGGCCAACATAACCCAACCCAAACCTTTTTGTGACAGGGTTGGGTTGGGTTACTATGAAAGTTAATCATTTCAATTCATCAGTGTGAGTAAATTACCGTACCCCACCCCCTCCCCAATATATAGCAGTTTATGATTTTTAGACCCAATACCTGCTCATTATTAGACCAACATAATCCAACCCAAGCTTTTGGTGATGGGGTTGGGCGATTCGGTTGGGTTAACTCAAAATTAAGCTTACTTTTAAGTTTTGGTTCCAACCCATAATCCAACCTATATATAGCAGTTTATGAGTTTTTTAAACTCAAGACTCGCTCATTTTTATTAGATTGGATTACGTGTTGACCAGAAATTGTGCCCACCCCTGTGATGTACCATGGGGGTTTGAACTCGGACCATTTGGGAACACACTAGAGATCCAAGCCAATCTAACTAACACCTCATTGGTCTTAATGGGTTTATTAATAACTAGATTTGTTTTTATATTTCTCATTTTCTTTTTTGCTTTTATGACATGTTTACTTATCAAGAATGGGTATTGGAATGATTCCAATTCGCTCCTACTTTTCATGTCACTAACACATGGGTATAAAAATAAATTATGTAGGTTTCACCTTAAAATTCATAATCGAGTACCCTTAAAATCAAGAATGGGATCAAGTAGGGGAAGTAGTTGATCCGATTTCAATACTTTGATTCCCTTATCTAAATTCCCCAATTCATGGCTTTCCCATTCCTAGTAAGTAGATTATAGAATAACTAGTCCCTTGGCACACACTCACTCATGTGTGGCCAATTGGAATTTTTATGTTATAAATATAAATATTTTATTTTAAAATTTAAAACAGATAAATTAGGTGTAATTGTGTCCCAAGAAAATAGGACTCATGATCTTATTTTGTTTTTTTTAAATAAAATACTGTAAATTTTCCATATTACCCTATTTAATAAATATGTTCATTTCCTAGTATACTGCTTTTAACATGGCTTTATAAATAACAGAGATTTTTTTATAATTTTTTTCATACGTAAAAATTTTTTGTGTGCATGAAAAATGGGAAGGAAAATTGATTATAGTACCTTACATGCAATGATAAATATTTTTAAACCATTTGACTTGCAAAAAAGCCCAACATATGCACCATGTGACTTTCCTTTATAGATTTTTTGATAGATGAATGTGGCACATCAACCCTAAAAGTGAAGTTTGGTGTGATATTGTCAAAATCATTTTAGGACTAACAACATTTCATCCATCGTGGTTTAGGCGTCGTATCGAAATGAGCCCTGAGTTTAGGGGTGTACGTTGGTTTGAAACCAATACAATTTAGTCAATTCGCATCTGATCCAATCACATTAGATGTTTAAATCCAATCCAATCCAATCCAATTGAGATATTAGATTGGATTGGATTGGATGATCGGTTTTAATATTAAAAATGACAATAATGAAATATTAAACATTTATCTTTATGTTTAATATAATCAAACATATTAATAGACATAAATGTAAAATATAAATGAAATATTAAAGAAAATTTTTTTGATTATATAATATATTAAACACAACTCCATTAAATGACTTAAAATATTCATAATATTTTCAACGACAAATACCTACAAGAGCAAAATAAACATAAAACTAACTAGATTTGATTTGATTGGATTTTCATAAGCAAATGCGCCATCTGATCCAATCATGTTGGTTTTGAAAATTACGGATCTAATCCAATCCACCAAATCTTCGAAACCAATTAAAATTGGATTGAATTGGATTGTATACCTAGGGTTTCAATTCATCCATTTTATAACTAACATTCCAAATTTGACTAATTCACACCGCCCATTAGATTGATCTTCTGGTCTGACATTAAATGCAGGTGTGGCAGCTACGAGACCCACCACATATATTGATGGCCCAATCCAAATAGTCCACGTGAAGGGCATTTTAGAAAAGGAAAAAAAAAACTGTGTTTAGAGTTGACCAAGGATTTGAAGTCGCTATCCCCTTTAACCCAACATCAATTCGACAATTTCATACCACAAAAAACACACATCAATTCCAGAGGAAACTTCTCACAGAGTGTGCCCTACCTTCTGTTGCAAAGAAGAAGATCAAAAAGCAATTCGATTCCTGGAATGGATGAAGAGGCGTAATGTGTTGGTGTGGCAAGGCTGCTACAATTTGAACCTCTTGGACAAATTCAAATCTTGGGATTCGATTTTTCATCCATGGAAAGGTATGTGAGGGTAAGAAGGGTTTTGGGTTTTGGGTTCTAGGTTCTGGGTATAGGTTGATCCGAAAATGTTTGACCCATCAAAGGCTGTGATTCATGGGTTTCTAAAATCAGTGAATAAGCTCGAGAAATCAGTGGTAAACCAATAATCAAAATACTCAAACCAATCAACACACCCATTGACATAATAGTTACCTCTTAGTTCACCATTGTGGTGCATTTAAATAGAAAATTGCATGTCAAAAGCCACAAATCAATTTCCCAAATATAGAAGACACAACTCAAACTTTCCACATACAAAAGCCTAACTTTAAAAAAAAAATGAAACAGGGGGGAAGAACTTCAAAAACAAACTACAACAACCAAATAGAACGGGGTCTGGAAACCCCTAACAGATCATCTGCCAAAGCCTCCACAGTCCAGGGAGGCGCAGAGTCAAACCACTGTATGCCTAAGTCCATATTATAATTGCCATTCGCAAGCCTATCAACTACATAATTTCTTTCTCTGTACACATTTTGGATAGCACAATGACTAATCTTCTTCATTAAATCCCAGCAGCCATATAACAGACCAGTAAGAGGATGAGTACCAGCTGTCGCAGGATTCATAATAAGGGTCACAACCAGCGCAGAGTCCATTTCAATGAAAATATTTGAAATCCAAAGAATAGACCCTATAACTCCGCTTCCATAATCTGACCTTTCCCCAAATTTACCAAGAACCCACCAATCCATTCACCAGTAGAGTTTCAAATCACTCCTCCAACACCAATATCACTTGTAATTGTCTTGCACATAACATCAACATTCAATTTAAAATCACCATTCCTTGGAGGATCCCAAGCAAGAGCCACCTGTATTTTAGGAAATTTAAATTTCCTGTTCTTCGCAGCTGAGCGCTAATCCTTCATAGCCAAATAAACAGTCCACCTAGGATTATGAGGAAGCCCCCCATCTTCTGTAAAAATACGATGGTCATGCCATTTCCAAATGAACTAGCAAGTAAATATAAAAATAGTGTGCTAAGGAACTCCTTCTCCCCAAGTGGCCTTAGAGCAAAGGTTGCCTATACACCAGGTTTTAACAGGAGCATTAGCAAGGAGGAACACTTGGGTAGGAACTCTAATAGTTTTCCAAACCTCTTGAGTTATGGGGCAATCTCTTAGGAGGTGGATTATAGATTCAGAAGGCCAATCACATATCTTGCAGGAGGAATCTATAGTAAGTTGTCTTCTGACTCTTTGCTCATTAGTTAATATTCTCTCATGTAAGATCAGCCAAAATAAAATTTTAAGTTTTAGAGGTACATGTAGCTTCCACAAAATGTCCAAACCAGGGTCATATTTCTTACCATCATGAAACAACAGATCATAAGCTGATTTCACTGAGAAAACTCTACTAGAAGCAGCACTTCAAATCTAAGTGTTGAACCCAAGTATAATTTAGATGGATAACACGATATGTATTTAATTGTGGGTATGAGTTTCTAGGAGAGAGCCCCTTATTACAAGAGTCCCCTCCTTATTTCTAAGGGGGGGTGTGTTTGATAATGGAAAGTATTACAAGTCGACCAGCTCGGCTCCGAGCTGAGCTGTATGCGTCCCATCCTGTCTTGCCCGGGGGGCAGTTAGGTGGGGCCCGTCCATGTCTTTGGTTCATGATGGCCTGTGCATTCTATCCCTTACGGACGGGGAGGGGGGGGGGGGGGGGGGGGGGGGGGGTATGGTATTGCAGGGAGGCAGGGCGGGGGGGTCTAATTTATTTTTTATGGTGGTTTGGTGCGTGGTCTTGTTGGGATGGTTGGTCTTGTCATGGGCGGCATGGGCGATTCAGTATATTGTGGCTTTTGATAGGGCAGTGCTTAGGAGCCGAGGCCGAGCTCGTAGGTGATTTTAACACTGTTCTAAGCGGGCAGCTTGGCTCCGTAAATACCGAGCGTCAACAAGTCCCCCAACTCTTCGGGAAAGTTCCCTTGGGTGGGGAGTTGTCTGTTTTTTTACCGAGCTGTCCGATTTGGGAAACATCTTGGAAGAGTCAAGGTGTGCAATAGTTGAGTGGAGAGGCGAGCATTTTTCTGGTCGGTCGGCAGTGGCCGAGTGCTCGGTCAGCCTGGTGAGTCCCCTAACTCCCCATAGAAGGGCTGGCTTGCCTCGGGTATGCAACACAGTGCGGACACATGTCGGATGCTCGGGATGCGTGGCATTTATTGTTGGTGTCATGATGAGTCCGGGGAATCGGAGTGGGTGGGACGTTTGGGTTCGCGTCGATTAGGAAATACGAGGTGTTACTGCCTCGTGTCGTGATTCAGAGGTGGTAGCGGGATTGATCGGACGGTGTTTGGAGAGTGGGCTGGGGTATGAGATGTGAACGTTTTTTCATTTTCGCCTCTCTGAAATTTCTTCAGCTAATGTCCTCGTGTGAGCTTTGTGCTGTGAGGTCTGAGTTAGTGCTTGCAAAGAAGGAGCCAGGGGAGGTCCGCATTTGAGCCAGGTGAGGGTCCCTCTATCTCTGTTTGTTTTAATTACTGTGGTGATGATGTCTGGGGGGGGAAAGATAAGAGTGAGTTCAGTAGGGGTAGTATAAATTTCGGGGCGTTGGATGAGGCCTAGCATCAGTTGGGTGACAGGCAAGTGGTGGGGATAGGGGTTGAGGAAGAACCTTCAGTGGTTGAGGTGACGAGCTCGTCAGAAGGGCGAGAGGGGGATGAAAATGTAGAGGGTGATCCTGATGCCGAGGCTTAAGTTGATGCAGGAGAAGAGCCTGAGGACACTGACAGTGCTCGGGTAGATCTGGATAGGGTGCCTGTGAGTGAGAGTACGACACGAAGTGTGGGAGGGGCATCGTGCTCATACAGGCAGGGTTTGACCATGCACCCGTACTTTTACGAAGAATGGGAGTGGTTGTCGGATATAGTGCCGATGCATATGACCCATGAGCTACTAGAGAGGATTAGGCAAGAGTATTAGGTGCCGAGGGATGTGGTCTTCGCGCTGTCGCAACAGGATAACCGACCGAGCCGACGGCCAAGGGGGTGGGTGACGCTGTACTGGTAGTTGTTTAAGAATGGTTTGCGCCTACTGCTGCATCCGTTCGTGCAGAGGTGGATGGCCTTCCTCGGCGTCACCCCGCATCAGATGAACCCGAATCTGTTGAGGACTATATTGTGTATGTTCGTGTTGTGGAAGAGGCACCATAGGATCGAGCCAAGCACAAACATCTTGAGGTGTTGCTATGGGTTAAGGAAGAGCCCAAAGCAAGCTGGGTTCTTCTATCTGCAAGCATTGCAGGGGAAGTTGCTGGAGAATAACAGCAGTTCGTAGAAGTCGTGGAAAGATCACTGGTTTTTTGCGACTGGGTGTTGGGAAGTGGCCTCGGGGGGTGGAGAGGCCGAGGGCTTTGGTGGGGAGGCGATTTAGGGAGAAAGGTGGGGTCTTTTGACAATGGTCGGCCAGCTGGGGTCTTTTTGTTTTGTTTGTTTTTTTTTTGTTCTTGTGTGCCGAGAGTTTGGACTAACCGGGTTCTGTTTGGAAATGGCAGTGGATTGGGAGAGTGGGGAGTTGTCCGAGGGTGAGGAGGGACAACTTGAGGTGATACATGCTCTGGCGCCTAGTGCACGTGACGCAGCTGAGCTATTGTCCATCAGCTCGTTGAGAAGGTTCGGTTTACTATATCCGATCTTGGAAGGTAAGGTGATCTCGGCCTCGTGTCTAGGTGTTTTGTTTGTGTAAGGGCTGCACTGACACGTTGTGTTGTGTAGCAATGGGTATTAACAGGAACGATCTGAAGGCTCAGCAATTGTTGGAGAAGTTTCTTAAGAAGGGAGCCAGATTGTCGCCCCCGGCTCGATCAAAGAACGAGGCTGTGGAACCCGTTGCATCAATGGGGCAGGCCGAGGGCCGATCGTTGTGCAATCGTGGGGGCAGGATCGTGGGAAAAAGGCCATTGTCAGAGGAGGGGGTGCCACCGATGTCGAAGAGGCCGAGGACCGAGGAGGGCAGGAGGGAGCGATCGTCCCCTCGTCGACCACACATTCGAAGAGGATGAAGGACTTCTTAGACACGACGAGATTGGTGCTCTCGGGTGAGATGTCGTGGCAAGGTCTGGTGGGTAACGAGAGCACCTACGCCACCTCTACCGCTATGGCGTTCAAGCAAAGTGTGAGAGTTTTTTTTTTTTTTTTTTTTTTTTTTTTTGGTCCGGTAGTTCCCGGCCCGGATTTGTAGAGTTCTTGTTTCAATTGCTCACTCGTGTTGGTGCATGCACTATTTTCGCATTACGGGGCGGTCAGGTGCGTCATGATCCATCGTGAGAAGGACGTGGCCAGAGTTGCCTAGCTCCGGCTGGTGCCTATGGAGAATGTGTGAAGGGTTGAGCTCTGTACCTGTTTTTAACCTGGACTTTACTTTAGTAGTGGGGTCCGATTGGCCTTTCAAGCTGTAGAAAAAAAAAAAAAAAAAAAAAAAAAATAAAAAAATATTTTGTTTTTAATTTTGAAGTGTGTTTGACATTTTGTGACAGTATTTTATTTTAAGTGTTGGTACTTTACCTTTGTGTGTTGCGTTTACTTTATTTGCTTTTGTTGGTTTGTGTTTGAATTGTGACTTTTGTCCAAGTGTGTGATTTGTTGTGTGAGCGAGGCTGATCGAACAATACGATTTTAAGAAGCAAAAGATAACAAAAAAGTTTGAACACAAAAAGGGGGCGAGCGATCGGCTGCTACCCTTGTCGAGTGCTCGTCATAACAACAAGCGATAGTAATAAAACTAATAAAGGGGAAAATCTCTAGGGGTAGTACTGGCGGAGGTGTTCGGCGTTCCACGGGTGAGGGAGTGATTGTCCGCTGTGCGTAGTGAGGGTGTATGTGTCGGGTCTGACAATGGCGACCACTTTGTACGGTCCTTCCCAGTTGGCCCCCAAAGTGCTTGCCGATCGGTCTCGGGTGGCGAGTTGTAGGGCGCGTAGGACAAGGTCCCCGGGGCGGAAAGTTTGAGGTTTAACTTTTTTATTGTAGTACCGCGCTGCTCGTTGCTGATATGTGGTGAGTGTTATTTTAGCGTGAGTCCTCCTATCCTCTACAAGGTCGAGGTCGAGGTTACGCTGCTCGGTGTTCTGCTGAGGGTCGAAATGCGCCACACGATGGGTCGGTCAGCCAATTTCGACTGGTATAACGGCCTCAGAACCATAGGCTAGAGAGAAAGGGATCTCGCCCGTTGAGGAGTGCTGGGTGGTGCGATAGGCCCATAGGACCTCAGGGAGGAGTTCGGCCCAGTCGCCTTTTTTGTTGCCGAGTTTCTTTTTTAGGGTGCATTTGATGATTTTGTTAATGGCCTCGACTTGGCCATTGGCCTGTGGATGTGCTGGCGAGGAGAAGCTGAAGGCTATGTTAAAATTTAAGCAAATTCTCATAACCGTGTGTTGTGGAACTGGCGGCCATTGTCCGTGATGAGGATGCGGTGTAGCCCAAACCTGCAGATGATGTTTTTCCACCCAAAGACCCGGACACGGGCCTCGATGATAGTGGCGAGAGGTTCGGCCTCGACCTATTTAGTGAAGTAGTCGACTGCGACGATGGCGAATTTTGTTTGTCCTTTCCTTCAGGCATGGGCCCGATCAGGTTTAGGCCCCATTGGGTGAAGGGCCATGGTTGTGAGTGGCTCTGGGGATTGGTGTATGATGTTAGAAAAAAGCTGGCATGGTAGGCACTTGCGAGTGATGAGGAGGGCATAGGCAAGGAGATCCCCTGTCCTTGCGAGAGAGAAAGAGGATAGCGAGAGAGAAGGGAAGAAGAGGGAAAAAAAAGTATGGAGTGGGTCTTTTGTTTTGCTGTTTTGGATTATGATGAAGCGAGAGAATAGGGAAGAGGAAGAAGGGAAAGAGATGGAAAGACGGAGAGATGGAAGAAGAAGAAAAAAAACACAGATAGAGAGAGATAGAAGAGGAAGAAGAGGAAAAAAAAAAGCAAACAGGGAGAGGTGGGTGAATGCCCAAAAGAGAGAGAGAAGGCAGATTGCGTGAAAGAACTTTGGGGAGATTTATATTCTAACTCTGAAGTGGAAATTAATAAAAGTTTATGGGGAGATTTATCAGATAAATGCAAGAGTGATAACAAACTCTCAAAGTGGAAGTTGATGAAATAGTGCAGCAAGTTGATAAAGACTGGATGCCCTCAGCTCAGGCAGAAGCCACTAAACTAACTAAACTAGTAAAAGACTGGATCAATTGGCTTTTATTCTATTGCCCCAATTTCTATGAAATAAAGGATGTTCATTGAATGAATTAACTTGAGCCTACTTTGCTAACAGAAGAGAGATAAGGGAAAGACAGACGTCAAAAAGCAATCCTTTCAACTCACTTTGGTATTACTATAATGCATAAATGACAATTAAAACTCTCAAATAACTTGAGATTTTCATACCTTTCATTGGAGAAGAAGAAGAAAGGTAGTTGATGCTTGATGGTTTGGTTTGGTTTGGATCTAGAGAGAAAGAGAGAGCTTATGTTTCTCTTGAGAGAAAAATAGAGTGAGTCGCAGCGTGAGGACTCAGATAGGAGGGCTTCAATTCAAGGTAGGTTAATTTTAGAATTAAAATTACAAAAATGCCCTTGCTCTTAACGGGTTAACGGGTGATTTGCAAATGATATTGACCCGACCCATTAAGCTCAACCCAAATACTGTTATTTTTGTGTGAATTCGTGTTGTGTTATCAGGTCGTGTCCGATATTGCTGGGTCTAACTACGATGGTGTTTTCAAAATACCGTCGTCTTTCATTCTTTTGAATAATATCAGTATGATACTCTCTCTCTCTCTCTCTCTCTCTCTCTCTCTCTCTCTCTCTCTCTACATTTGCATTTATCTGTGTAATCTTTGTTGTTGGAAGAATTTTGGTAGTCATAATAATGTGTTATCTTTTTTTGTATTTTACTCTTAATAAGTCGATGGTTTCTTCATATCTACGTCGTTTGAATTATCACACCACGACGGTAATGAACTACCGATGTGATAAAATTCTTAATACGACAGGTAGTTCTTATCTAGCGACGTGTGAAAATATTGGTGTTTTCAAATAATCGTCATTTTGGTTATTTGAAAATCTAAAATATTTTGACTTGTAGGTTTTATTCTTTTGGTTCTCTGTAACCATGGTTCTAAAGGTCAACACAAGGAGGGTAGTGGGAAAAAGGAGGTTAGTTTGAAAAAAAAAAGACTCAAAGAAAGGAGCTAGAAGTTTCAAAAGCTCAATTAAGGAAGACAAATCGACTGCAACCAGGTCCACTAAGAAGATGAGATTTGTTTCATTTGTTGCAAAACAAACAAATAGCACAATTCCATTTGATGAGGAGGCAAAGTCAAATCGTGGTATAAACACGAGACGAGTTGTGAAGAGAAAAATCCAAAAATAAAACCTGTTGTTGAGTACAATAAAAGAGGGAGACCACATGGCAAGACAGCTGTTGAGATGCAATCGTACATTGGGGTGTTAGCATGCACGAGAGTCCCTCTTGTTAATTTGAAATGGACTGAATTGCCCAATGATACAAAGGAGCACATTTGGGAAGCTATTGAGGTATAAAAGCATTCAATTGTCATTTTCCATTACTTTCTGTCCCCATGTTTTGGATTTAATATATTTAGATCTCTTTCTCTATATGTAGATGGCATATGTTGTAGGACAAGGGGGCAAGAAGATGGTGTTATCCTCTATAGCAAAGAAATGAAAGGATTTCAAGTCTACATTAACTAGGCAGTATATTCTTCCATTCATAAGTGATAAGGAGAAGTTAAAAGAACCCCCTAAACTATATCCATTCACAGAGAAATCAGATTGGGCTGCCTTTGTAGCTTCAAGGTTATCTGAAGAATTTGAGGTAGTCTCTTCATTTCTATCTTATTAAAAATTCAAATGATATGCAATCCATCCATTTCACCGTGACCCCAATGTAGGAACCGACGTCTAAAGCTTAACACACATGATTGTCATTTAGTTGCAAGCATCGTACTTAATAATCAAACAATGACGATATCGTACAACTGTTACTATTGTATATTCACGACGGAATTGTTCATAGAAGCGACATTTCATTAACGACCTAATGACTTAAGATGTAAATATTTCTGATTATGAGATAGATTAAGACGTGAGCCGAAATTAGGTTAGCAGCATACTAACTTACTAACTGTAGTTAGCGCATGAGGGTTACTATTATATGCGAATCATTATTGTACTTAATTTACTTACTCGATGTGAATTGACTTAGGTGTGGTTAACTTACCTAAATTAAACATTTAAAATAAAATAAAATACACATTTAAAATTTTAAAAAATATTGAGCATTTAAAATTTAAACCCTAAACCCTAAACCTCCCCCCTCCCATCCCCCATCCTTCCACTTCCGTCTCCCCCATCCTCCTTCCCCACCCTTCCCCTGCTCCCCTTCCCTTTCTTCCCCTTCGTCTCCCTGACCCCTCCACCTCTGATCTCTTTGTCCCCACCCTCAACTATTTCTCTCTCTCTCTCTCTCTCTCTCTCTCTCTCTCTCTCTCTCTCTCTCTCTCTCTCTCCCGCAGCCCCCATCGACCATAGATCCCCAATTCCTCGACCCAACCCCCACATACTTGCCATCATCCAATTCTCCCTTACCATCCTTGCAAAACATAGTCATTTCCAATGTTCAACTCAAAATCACTAGATACCCACAAAAAATACAACAAATCAAGATGGCTTCTCTTGTTGAAATTACAATTTTAAGCACCTTTCAAAGCTTCAGACCACCAAAACACACTAGAATGGCAACTAGTCTATACCAAAATGGACAAACTTGCAGACTTTGATGCCTAAATATTCAAAAATAATTATCTTTATCGAGGATGGGGATAAACCGACAAGGAACAACACTATCCTTAGCTGGAATGGAGTTGTCCTCGTTTTCTTTAAACCCAAAGAGATAACATCAAACAAAAAGAAGATATACAAATTCTTCGAGATCAACAAACAAAACCGATATGATTCCCAAAACCAAAACCAAAACGTTTGAAACAAAACACGAGTTACTGAATTGACCGATTAGTGGAATGAGTCTTCTTCTTCTTCCCCAGCTGAGACAAAGCGATCTCTCTACTACGGTCTAAGAACCAGAGGAAAAGTCATCGTCTCACCGATCTCGATGGTTTCCATATCTAATCTCCGAGACATCTTCTGTGGTCTAATGGGTTGGGAGCAACATGGTTGACGTGCATGTGGGGCTAAATTGACGGTAGGTCCTCAATTGGTGGTTTTTAAAAAGTTTGAGTCTTTAATTTATTGAAAAAGTGGTTAAAGGGCGAAATGGACAATATGCAACTCATTTAGGGGGTAAAACAGCAAAAAATCCGAGTTATAATGAAAGAGTTGTGATTTAAAGAAGTTCACTGGCAATTTCAACATTTTAGAAAAATTTGGTTTAATTTCCAACAAAAAACGAAAATTTTGGTTTAAATGTCACACTATGTCACACTCCTAGCGCCCCCGGACCCACCTTTCTATCTATCTCTCTCTCTCTCTCTCTCTGATTCTCCCTCAACGCTGTAGTAGCCGTCAATTTCTCGCTGGCGTTTGTCCCCCGTCCAGGCACCAATGGCCGCCATTTTTGTCCCAAAATGTTCCCCTGCATTTCCTCTACCTATTCCATCAAAATTAAGCCCATCCTACCGCAGTGGAATACGGTGGCTTGTTCGAAAGAAATCCCAGAAATAGCCGCCGATTTCGAGCTATTTTCTGTGGCGGTTGCCATCGCCACCTATAGGGTTTTGATCCCTGCCCTCGAAGGAAGCTAATCCACTAAAGAGCCCCCTCATTGGTCCACCGGTGATGGAGAATCGAAGCTGGAGATTTTTCACAGCCACCGAAGCTTTTCAGGCGAGATTTCGGAAAATCCGGCCACCATCGACCCGGACCCAGGTGTTTGTACAAATAATCTCACGGGAGAATATTCGCTTCTAGATCCGTCAACCTTCGATCTTCCTTCTCTCTTTTCCTCGATTTCTGTAAAACAGATTGGAGTAAATAGACCACACCCGGGGGGTGTTGGCCAAAGGCCCTCCGATGCCTAAGTTAGTTCGAGTGTTTGTAGAAAAACAATAGCTAAGCAAAGGGTACGGAGTAGTGTTTATGTAGGGTGTGAACCGGCGGCCGAAGCCGTGTGTGGTGGTCGGAGCCGTGTGGAGAAAATATGGAGAGTGAAGAGGGAGAAAGAGCTTCGGGTATTTTCTCGGGTATAAGGAGTGGGTTTAGATGTACCTTGAATGATGAATGAGGTCATCTATTTATAGGAGCCTCCGGGCTAGGGTTTCGTAGAGAATATGCTGAGTTTATTCTCTACCCAAATTCGTAGGGATCGAGTCGGACTGAGATAATATCTGATTTAATGATATTATCTCCTTTTATGGAGATAATATCTTAATTAAATGATATTATCTCTTTTTATGGAGATAATATCTGAGATAATGACATTATCTTCTCTTTATTAGGATAATATCTTAATTAATGATATTATCTTATTAAATAAAGATAATATCATGTTAATTAAGATATTTATCCCAATTAATTAATTGGCCATATAAACTGGTTCAATTAATTAATTAAAAGAAATAATCTTCTTTTCCACGTGGCGCGCTGCGATTGGAGACGAAAATATTTGTTCCCACAAAAGCCCCCTAGCTTCTGCATGGCGCTTGTGTGGCATGTAGGAGATGAAATTATTTTTATATTTTTTTTCGGGCTCTCCAACTGTGTCTGGGCTTTATTATGTGAGTTGGACTCCTTTGCAGATCAGATTTCCAATTGGTGTAGGCTTTTGACTGTTGTTGGAGTTGGATTCCCAGTAGGAATGAGCTTGCGATCCCTCCTTGACCTGGGTTGTCCAACCTGTATAAATACAGGGCTTTTCTTCACTCTTTCTCACATCACAAACTTAACTTCTCTACCTTCTAGCTTGAGAAAGATCTTAGAGAATTTGTACTGCTTTGATGAAGAGAGGAATTGCTGTGCATCCAGAGTAAGTCGAGCTCGTAAAAATATATATGCACATATATATTTTTTTCTAATTTTTGGCAACAAGGAGGTGGTCCAACCGTGGACTCCTAGCTATGGTCGCAGCCTCATGGTTGATGAATTTTCGCAAGCCTATGGACAAGGGCTGGAGGCTTGATTGAAGACGGAGGGTAGCTTACTAGGCCAGCATGCGCCAGGGCCTGGAGCTGATCTGAGCTGGTCTTGCGCACATTGGGCTCAAAGAGAGAAAAAAGGAGGCGCTGGGCTTTGGAGCAGGAGCAGAGAGGCGCTGGGCTGCTCGACGTGGGCCTGCGCTATGCAGGCGGGCCTTGCACGCAGGGCTCGAGGCGTGTCGGGCTTGGACCTGGGCCGGATTCGAGCTGGTGAGATGGGCTCGAGCTGCTAGGTGGGCTGCAATAGAGCTGGGCCATGCGCGCTGGGCTGCTCGAGCTGGGCCACTTCCTTTTTTTTTTTTTTTTTTTGGTTTTTTTTTTTTTTTTGACAACGTGACCTTGCGTGGATGCGAATGATCCGAATGCCAGAATCATCACCTTCCGTCCCTTTTACTTCTCTGTGGGCTTCAAATTCCCACTGTCAAAGCTTTTCAAGGAGGTATTCTGCACCATGGAGCCGTTTCTTCATGTTGGAGCTGACAGTATGAGAGTTCTTCTATTTTTTTGAAGTGAGGTGCTTAAAGGGGTATGCCCAACTTCGCACCTGCAATGTCAAGCTGTTTGACAGTCTTAGTCAGGGAGATCACGTGTGGCATGATGATGTGTTGGAAGTCAGCGGATGGTGGGAAGGCGATGTTGGTGATGGTCCCCTTGTTCCCCTCACCTATTGCAATTCTACGTCTTTTTGCAGTTTTTTCTTCTATCTGCTGTCTTTTTGTTTGAATTTCTTGAAGCGTAGCTGACTAACTTCTGTCTTCTGCTTATAGCGGACGACATTAGCAAGAAATTGGAACTTGACCCTGACACGGCTAAGGTCCGCCGCGCTTTGAACATCCCCCAAAAGTTTCGTGAGTGGCATTGGCTGTTGAGCGAGTATCGGGAGGAAGACGGTGGTCTGCCCCTTGCCGAGGATGTCGAAAGATGGAAGCAGAATGGTCCAGACCTTGATGATCTGTTTGCTGAACAAGAGGCATGCTCTGCTGAACCCCCATAAAAAAGGAAGGCTGAAGTCAAGTCTCCGAGAACTCAAGCTACCTCTTCACGGGCGAGGAACGCATCTTCATTGAGGAAGAAGCCAAAGCTCCCAGTAGGAGTTGTTCCCGTCTCATCTGCCAGGGTCAAGCATCTTGTTGGCGCAGACAGTAAGAAGATTGGCGGTATGCGCAACATAAGGGATGCTCCCTTAAGCCTCTTGCTGACGAGCTTAGAGATCATGATCTGCTCCGCGAAGTGGTCCGTGCGCGATCTAGCTCACCTGTTGAAAACAAAAGAGATGTGGATGTTCCTCCCCGAAGTTCGGGTCGTTTGCACCAGTCGAAGAGTGGAGGTCGATGTGGGAGGTCTGCTCATCTATCCAACCGTCATGATCCAACTATTGAGTCACGAGTAGTCAAGCGTGGAGTTGATTCGACGTCGCAAATTCCTTTGGAAGTGAGGTTGGCAGAGGCTAGGAAAGCAAGAGAGTCATCTGCCCGGACGAAAGGTTCTTCTGCAACGTCAGCAGCTGATCCAAAGGTGGACAAATCTAGCCCTGCAGGGGATGCAGGCGTGTCTGATATGCTAAAGATGCAATTTCTATCAAGTCCATCCTCTTGTGCTGAGCTGGTTGACCAAGTCCGTCAGGCTGGCGATCTTGGTGCTTTCTCAAGTCTTTCCTTGGAAAAACAAAGGGAAGCGACACTTCATATGCTTCAAAATGGAGTAGTTTTTGCTGCTGAGACCATTTGGAACTTGTCTGTTGTTGCCCCCTTTTCTGCTCAGCTCAGCGAGTTGGAGAAGAAGAATGCCGAGTTAGTTTGCAAACTTTCCGCCGAGCAGACCCGTTATGAGAAGAAGACGTCTGATTTGCGGGCGATGATATCTGAGTTGAAGAGTTCCCCTGCTAAGAAGGATTCCGAGCTTAACTCCTCTGCTGCTGACTTGGCAAGTTGAAACGATGCTTACCTCCACCTTGAGCGCAAGAATGCCGACATCTCTCATAGCTATGACAAGCTTTTAGCTAGATTTCACGCCTATCATGAGTCTGCTGAGGAATCCAAGTCCGAAGTTGCCATGGACGCGTACAAGTTGGGCTACTGGACTGCACAAAAGGATATGATCCCTTCTACGCCATTGGAGATGAAGACATCGAGATGCTCTATCCAGACTTGCCCCTTGCGAAAAGTGAGAAGGCTAATGTTGTGAACACCGAAAGAGCTGAAGAGTAGGTGGCTAAAGAGGCGGTAGCTGAGGAGGATGGAGCAGAGGAGGATGCAGCCGATGGGGTGGTGGCAGACGTCATAGATCAGGCATGTGGAGCTGCTGAAAGCGTGGCTGATCAGGCGGACACTGAAGAGGCTGTAGATCAGGGATCTCCTGCTGGTGTTTCGGAGTAGACGAATACTTCTTTATTTCTTTTCAGCTTTTGTAGTCTGCTTTTGTTTAGAATAATTGGTCTTGTTTGACCATCTTCTTTTTGTTTGAATTTGGCCGGTTGGTCGCTTTGCTATGAAAATTTCAGTCTTTATTTTTCAACTTCAATTTGCATATTGTCTTGTGAATTGCTTGAGTAACCGGCTAGTGTCTTGATTGCACATCTCCCTTTGGAGATTCATGAGTGCCAGGGTTCCCCTTGAAGGACTTCGGACGTGTTCTGCATATCTCTTAGGATAGCTCCCCTTAGGAAGTTGGCGAGTGCCAAGGCCCCCCTTAATGGGCTCCGGGCGTGTTTTGCATATCCCTTAGGATGGCTTGGTCGTCGCCTTGCGTCTCCCGAAGGACGCTGCTTATGGGCAACTGTGTGACCATCCTGCCTCCCTTAGGAAACAGATAGGAACCTGGATACTTCCTGCAGGAGGCATGGAGACCTCATTTTAAGAAATTCCTGGCACACCCTGCGTCTCCCTTAGGACGCTTTTTAGTGGGTTGCGTCTCCAAACGGACGCTTTTAGTCGTCGCCCTGCGTCTCCCTTAGGACGCTCCTTATGGGCAATTGTATGACTATCCTGCCTCCCTTAGGAAACGGATAGGAACTTGGATACTTCCCGCAGGAGGCATGGCGACCTCCTTTTAAGAAATTCCTGGCGCACCCTGCGTCTCCCTTAGGACGCTTTTTTAGTGGGATGCGCCTCCAAACGGACGCTTTTAGTCGTCACCCTGCGTCTCCCTTAGGACGCTCCTTATGGGCAACTATATGACTATCCTGCTCCCCTTAGGGAACGGATAGGAACCTGGATACCTCCCTTAGGAAATTCCTGGCACACCCTGCGTCTCCCTTAGGACGCTTTTTATGGGCTGCGTCTTCCGAAGGACGCTTCTGGTCGTTGCCCTGCGTCTCCGAAGGACGTTGCTTATGGACAACAGTTGTGTTTTGTGGGTAGATGAGACATTTGGAATGAGAAACTGAACTTATATTGATATTCATAAGATTACCGTCCTTTATTCGAAAATGGAAATCACTGAGTACAAAAACTTGGAACTTCTAGCAGTCAGGAGGAAGCATTATGGATAATACTTTGGGAGATGGTAGGCATTCCATTGCCATGGTATTTCCTTCCCATCCATGGTGTCCAGCGTGTAGCTTCCTCTGCCCCCGGACCGGCTGATCACATAAGGGCCTTCCCAATTGGGTTTTATTTTCTTAGACCCTTGTCTTTGTGCAGTGATGAAGGCCTTTCTTAGCACAAGGTCGCCAGGTTGAAGCTGTCTGATCTTGGTTCTTTTGTCGTAGTAGGACTTCAACCGCTGTTGATAGGAGGCGACTCGGACAATGGCCTTCTCGCGCTTGCCTTCAAGTAAGTCAAGGTTGAGTCTCATCTGCTCGGAGTTCTGCTCTATACTGCCGACTTCAATGCCTATAGAGGGGACAGTGACGTGAGGAGGAATGATCGCTTCAGTTCCATAGGCAAGGGAAAATGGGGTTTCGCCAGTCGACCTTAGTTTGGTGGTGCGATAAGCCCATAGTACTCCGGGGAGTTCATCCACCCATTTCCCTTCGGCGCCTTCTAGTCTTTTCTTCAAGCAGTCTAATATGACTTTGTTGGATGCCTCGGCCAGCCCATTTCCTTGTGGATACCTTGGAGTGGACAGGTGTTGCTTGATCTTGTATTTCGCAAAGAAGGCGGTGATCTGCTTGCCAATGAACTGTGAGCCATTGTCAGTGACCAACGATTGTGGGCAGCCGAACCGGCGGATGATATTTCTCCAGATGAATCGCTCCACATCGGCTTCTTTAGTAGAGGATAGAGCTTCGGCCTCGATCCATTTAGTAAAGTAGTTGGTGGCGACGATCATCATTTCTTTCTTGGCGGGCGCCGGTGGCAAGGGACCCACTAAGTCGATGGCCCATTACATGAATGGCCATGGACTGTTTTACGGATGGTAAACTTCGGCAGGCAGATTAGGGATCGGCTTGTATCGTTGGCAATGATCACATTTTTGACATATTCAGCGGAGTCGTGGCGCATGGTAGGCCAGAAATAGCCTACGTTTAGAGTTTTCTGGGCAAGTGACCTGGCCCTCAAGTGGTTACCACACTCGCCGTCGTGAATTTTGCAGAGGACTTCAAGTGTTTGAGGGTACTTTATGCAGGTGAGATGAGGGCTGGAGTATGATCTACGGATGAGCTTGATGCCGTGCATATAGTATCTCGCGGCCTTCTGCTGGACCTTCCCAGCTTCGAACTTATCCGTTGGCAGGTTTCCATTCACTAAGTAGTTGATGATGGGGTCTTGCCAGCTGGGGTCCTCATCAATCTGTATTCAGTCGATCGACTCTATTTCTTCGATGCTTGGCCGGTCAAGGTGTTCAACTGGGATGGAGCTTCTGAACTAGGTGTCCAGTTCTGATCCTAGGCCCGCCAATGCATCTGCATGAGTGTTCTATGCCCGTGGAACTTGTTGGATGGTGAAAGTAGGGAATTCTTTCAAAAGTCCTTGGACTTTGTCGAGGTACTGGACCATTCTTGGATGCTTTGCCATGTACTCGCCTGAGGCTTGATTCGTGATCAGTTGGGGAGTCTGAGTAGATGGCCAGTCTCTTGATCGACAGTTCTTTCGCTAGGCGTAGTCCTGCAAGCAGTGCCTCATATTCTGCCTCGTTGTTTGAAGCAGAAAAGCCTAGTGTGATAGCTTGTTCCAAAAGGTTCCGTCTGGGGTGATTATGACGACTCCTGCTCCCGCTCCTTTGTGATTTGATGCTCCGTCTACATGCAACTGCCACATGTCGTTAGGTAGGTTCGAATCGGTGGGGGAGGTGTCGTCCGCTTTTTCCTTGCTTTTCGTGACCATCTTCTCTTCTTCGGCTGTCGGAGTAAACTCTACAACAAAATCTGCTAAAGCTTGGGCTTTTATAGCAGTCTTCTGCCGATAGAGGAGGTTGTATTGACTGAGTTCGATAGCCCATTTCATGAGTCGCTGAGAAGCGTCGGGGCTGTGAAGGATCGATCTCAAAGGAAATTCTGTTATGACAATAATCCGGTGTGCTTGATAGTAGAGCCTTAGTTTTCTCGCAGAACCACAAGCGAAAAAATGAGCTTCTCCATTTTCGGATAGCGAGTCTCTACATCGAGGAGAGCTTTTGAAGCGTAGAATACCGGATGTTGTGCCCCCAGCTCTTCTCAGATGAGAGCTGAGCTGACAGTTGAGTCGAACACCTCTAGGTAGATGTACACGTCTTCGCCTGGTATCGGCTTTGAGAGCAATGGAGGTGAAATGAGGTAAGTTTTCAAGTTTTGAAAAGCTACTTCACACTCGTCATCCCACTTGTCTTTGTGTCCCTTCTTCAAGGCTTTGAAAAATGGCCTGAATTTGTCGGTAGATCTAGAGAGGAATCGGTTGAGAGCTGTCGCCCTACTCGTTAGACTTTGTATCTCCTTTGTTATGGCAGGTGACTTCATGTTGAGTATAGCCTTTATTTGATTTGGATGTGCCTCAATTCCTCTTTGGGTGACTAAGTATCCAAGGAATCGACCGGACGAGACTCCAAATGTGCATTTGCTCGAGTTCAACTTCATGTTGTATTTTCGAAGTAGGATGAATGCCTCGGCAAGATTCTCGATGTGGTCTGCTCGTTCGAGAGCTTTTACTAGCATGTCGTCTACGTAGACCTCCATAGTCTTGCCGATTTACTCCTTGAAAATTTTGTTCACCAGCCTTTGGTAGGTTGCCCAAGCATTCTTCAGCCCAAAGGGCATGACCTTGTAGCAGTAGGTACCTCTTTCGATGATGAAAGAGGTCTTTGCCTTGTCGTCTTCATGCGTCATGATCTGGTTGTAGCTGGAGTAGGCGTCCATGAAGCTTAGCAGTTGTTTGCCGGAAGTTGAATCGACGAGCTGGTCAATTCTCAGCAGTGGAAAGTTATCTTTAGGACATGCCTTGTTGAGGTCAGTATAGTCGACGCACACTCTCCACATGCCTTTATCTTTCTTTGCTACTAGAACAACGTTCGCCAGCCATTCTGCGTATGAGACTTCTTCAATGAAACAAGCAGCGAGAAGCTTGTCGATCTCGACTTCAATGATGGCGACCCACTCGGGGGTGAAGTTGCGTCTCTTCTGCGCTACAGACTTGATGGCTGGGTTGACGTGTAGGCAATGGCAGATGATCTGGGGATCAATGCCAGGCATGTCAGATGGTGACCATGCAAATTCATCTTTGTTGTTACGGAGGAAGGCTACAAGCTATGCCTTTTCCTCTTGGCTTAGGCTCGAGCCGATCCGTGCTGTTCTCTCTGGCTTGTCAGGATCAAGGGGTACTAGCTCAACGTCCTCCTCGGGCTTCCATCCTTCTTCAAGATAGGCCTCCGGACGGATTCCCTGGACTTGGTCCTGATTCTTTGATTGCTATTAGGGAGTAGTTATTCCCTTTCCTTTTTGGCCTGCTCGGCTGTCAGGAACGGGATCTGCTTTCTCCTCTGCTTGTTCTACTCCCTTTAGATATGCCTGATTCACAAGGAGGAACTGTGTTTGCTTGCCTTTCTTCAGCCCTTGAGCTGAGCATTTCCTCGCCATTGCCTGATTGCTGTTGATTTGGCCGATCCCACCCCAAGGAATTGGGTAGCGAATCTTCTGATGCGTGGCGGAGGTGATGGCGTTGATCTTGCTGATCCATGGTCTGCCTAGAATGCCATTGTAGGGTGAGACTTCATCAATGACCATGAACGTTTGTGAGCTGATTACAGGTGGGGCGTAGACGTCGAGCTATATTGTGCCTACGGTAACTGTTGTTGCTCCATTGAAGCCAGTCAGCGACTTGGCTGATTTATTGATCTTTGCCTCTAAGCCCATCTGTTGGATAACTGTCAATTGTAGGATGTTGGCTGCACTGCCCTCGTCTGCATGGATTCGGTCGACCATGGCCTGAGCGATTTGAGTGCTGATGACAAGAGCGTCATTGTGTGGTAGATCAAGGCCAATTAGATCTTTCTTTTGGAAGCCGATTACAGGATCGTCTTCTGCTAGCGGAAGGTCGTTTGAGACTTGGGAGATCATAGTGGCTTGTTTGATCTTCCTTTTTTTTTCCTTGCTGGTCAGCCCAGATTCCTCGAAGTCGGCTAGGATTGTGTTAATCCTTATGACCTTTTGGGGCGGCTCCTTGGTGGTGTCGCGGTCCTCTATCTGCTGGATGGCCTGCTTAGCGATGAATTCCGTGCAGTGACCTTCCCTCACGAGTTCTTCGAGGTGTGCTTTCCAAGCGAAGTAGTTGTTCGTAGTGTGTCCATGCGTCCCATGGAAGGCACAGTATTTGCTAGTATCCCTCCTGTCTGGATCTCCTTTCAAGGGTGGCGGTCTTCTTACCCAAGGTTTGTTTTTCACTTGGGCTAGGATTTGATGTATAGGGATGGTGAACTTGGTGTAGTTCTCTCCTGCCTTAGCGTCCCCTTGTGGGTGTGACCTGCGCTTGTCCTTATTCTTGTTGCTAAATCCATCGCTTCTTTGGCCCGCCCGCTTGGTCGGCCAATCTCCCTGCTCAGTGTACTTCTTTGCGGCAATTCGATCGTAATCCCAGAGCGCGTAGCGTTCTGCGGTCGCGAAGACCTCTGCTAAAGTCTGGCTGGGAGTGATAGTCAGCTCGCGGTATAACTCGTGTTTTGCTGGAAGACCTTTCTTGAAGGCAGATGATGCGATTTGGTCGTCGCACCCTACGATGTTGGCCTTTTCTGCTTTGAACCTCTTGATGTAATCTCGAATGGATTCGTCGGGCTTCTTGCGCAGGTTGAACAGATGATCTGGGTTCTTCTTGATCGTCCGATAAGAAGTGTATTCTTTAGTGAAGACATAGGCAAGCTCCTTGAAACTGTTGATCGACCCAGATGGCAGGGTGTGGAACCAGTCCTGAGCTGCTCCTCGCAAGGTCATTGCAAACGCCTTGCACATCAGTGCGTCGTCGGCCTTGTGGAGGATCATGACACTTTTGAAGTGTTTTAGGTGGCTCTCGGGATCAGAATCTCCCTTGAAATGCGTAAACGAAGGTGTTGAGAATCGCTTCGGGGGAGCAGCCTGCTCGATTTCAGGGGTGAAAGGAGTAGAGATCGCCTGGTCCATCTCCTTACGTAGTGCATCCTTGAGGTTCCCGCCAATCTTCAAGTCTCGAAGTCGGTCATTCACAAGCTTCTCAACGTCTTCCGCGCACATTGCTGGTCGATCACGTTGGCGACTTTTGCGATTCGGGCGACGCTGATTGACCTCCTCGTTGATCCCTGAGGGTCGGTCCTCTCGTCCACGCTGCCTAGGAGGCGTGTTGGTGGATTGCGTTTGCAAGGGATTTTCTGCTGCTTGACGACGAGAATTGGTTCTCCGAGAATGGGCAGTGGAGTGCCTCTCTTCATGATCCTCACTGCGAGGGTTACCAGGTTGACCTCCCTGGGGGCCTAGCCTTTCATGAATATTTCTCTGCGAGTGGGCAGCGAAGCGCCTCTCTTCACGATCCTCATTGTAAGGTTACCGGGTTGACCTCCTGGGGGCCTAGCCTTTCATAAATATTTCTCTGCGAGTGGGCAGCGGAGCGCCTCTCTTCACGATCCTCATTGCGGTGATTGCCAGTTTAACCTCCCTGGGAGCCTAGCCTTTGAAGTACATTTCCCTGCGGGCCTAGGCGAGCACGGATGTTGGTAATTTTTAACAACAATATTTAAACCTTGCAAGTGCACAAATCAAATGATAGTATAGTAAGCAAGCAAGGGTCATTCCCACAGAGATTGTAATCTAGAGAGATGTTTATCAATGTCACGCAACGAAAACACAAGGACTTCCACACACACGCCAACACCAAGGGGGGTTTGATTTGATTTTGTGAATAAAACAAAATAAGGAAAACAAAACAAAACAGAATTTAAATTAGAGTTTAAGAGAAATTGGTTTATAATCAATCAAGAACAATAGCTAGGACTCACTATCCACCTCTAACCAATCAATCAATCCATAAACAACAATAAATAATCAATTTCTAGCAAGCATATGATGACGACACTCACAACAAGATCATGGCATTTGACTCGAGTTGTATGATTCTCTCTTAAGTGCATGTAAAGTGTATGGCATTTACATCAATACGTGTATTCTTAATTGAAATCTAGTATGGCATTTACTCAAATTAACAATCAAGAATCCATTAAGATCAAAGAGAATATGAGTGTCACAAAAACCCTAAAACATGGCATTTGTTATTAGGAATTCAAGAATCGATTTCTCATAACTAGTTCTTAACCCAATTATTCGTTGCAAACAAGAACACATTCAATATGGCAATTGACCTATGTTCTACAACAATTTAATTCCAATACATGCTTCAAAGTTAGCTACTCAAAGAAACAAATATCAGAATTCACATAACATAGAGAAACCGAAATCATCACGCTTGTAGAAACTGAAAATCCATTCAAACTTGTTTATAGAATTGAAATCATGTTTAGGGCTTCAAGATTAAGCCCTAACTAACAAGAAATTAGTTACTCATGCTCTTGGATGAACTCAAAAATAAATACATAGGAACTGAAACTTAAAAGAAGAAAGGAAAAGAAAGAACTCGTTGGCAGCTTTCTCCTCTTATGCGGTTGATCCCTTTTGGACGTGAATCCTGTATCGGGGCCTTGGCTGGCCTTTTATATCACTTATATCAAAATTATAAACCCTAAAATTGACTGAGAGTCGTCCAAGAAGTCTTGGTAAACAAGGAATCCAAATAGGAAAGTAAAAATCACAATTCCTAACTCCACAGGGAAATACAGCTCAGCCCAATTGTCACACGATTTGGGGATCTTCGGCCTTGTAGAAAAATCATTAAAAATATATTTTAGAAGGATAAATGTCTTATCTTTCCAACCATATATAGCACGTAACTTGAAAAATTCGGGAAGGCTTCCGTTTCTTCACATTCACGTAACATGTACGAAACTGTCTTGTCTGCACTTGGGCTAACTTTACTTGTAATACTGTACCAATTGGCTTGGTAGAAAATTCTAGAAAAATCACAGATTGAACTTCAAGATGTTAGCTTTCATCTCTAATTGGCCTTGTGCTAAAATTCCTCCAAAAAGTTGATTTTTCCTTAAAAACCTTCTAAGAGCACAGAAAAGCTGAAAATCAGAAAAGTAAAGTAATAAGCCCTTTTTAAATCTAATTGTCCTACAAAACCTAAGTAAAAAGAGTACATAAATGAGTATATTTATGGACTTATCAACGGACGTCAAGTCGTGGGCCGAGCCTTTCTCGCACGTTGCTTTGTGTGTGGCTTGCAGATGCTCGCGACATGTCGGCAAGCTGATCACGTGGTTGTGCATCCCCTTGTCTGCTCACTCCTGCTCGACCTGCTTGGTGCCTATTGAGCTGCCCACTGGTGCGTTCATCTATTCTTCTCTCTTCGTCTGGTTGTCCAAGGCCAAGATTTTGAGCCACGCTATTTGATTGAGGAGCTGCCTCATAAGAGCGTTTTGGTCGTCCATTCTCTGAGCTAGCTGGTCAACTCTCATGTTGAGATCTGCTTGACTTTTTGGATTGGGAGGAGAGAAGCGTGTGGAGTCCAATTGCACACGGGCTAGGGTTTCATTGGAGGTGTACCCGAGAGCATGCGTCGAGCGTGGAGGCAATGGAGGGAATGCTTGAAGTTGCTCCAAGACTGGGCCTAAGTCGGTGGTGGTAACAAGCCCACCTTGATGGGAGGTTTCACCATGTTCGGTGGCAGTGCCACGGAGGTTGCTAGGTCTGGCCGTGGGTCCGGTAGGTGGCGCAGTGGCGAGAGGTGGTGGTGCCACCATGTCGATCGTGGGATCGTGGGTGGAGTGGCTTTGGGCCGTCGCGGATTTAGCCATCGCGGTGGTTTTGCTCCTCGTGCGCTTGCTTCCAACCATGGTTGTTTGGAAGGCTTCGGTGGATTGGAAAATAGGAGGAACGAATTCCTTGAGCACGTGTTGAGTATAACTCGTGCTCTCAATGAAAGCACCAAATGTTTGTGCAAATAATCTCACGGGAGAATATTCGCTTCTAGATCCTTCAACCTTCGATCTTCCTTCTCTCTCTTCCTCGATTCCTGTAAAACAGATTGGACCCGGGGGGGTGTTGGCCAAAGGCCCTCCGATGCCTAAGTTAGTTCGAGTGTTTGTAGAAAAACAATAGCTAAGCAAAGGGTACGGAGTAGTGTTTATGTAGGGTGTGAACCGGGCGGCCGGAGCCGTGTGTGGTGGTCGGAGCCGTGTGGAGAAAATATGGAGAGTGGAGAGGGAGAAAGAGCTTCGGTTATTTTTCTCGGGTATAAGGAGTGGGTTTAGATGTACCTTGAATGATGAATGAGGTCATCTATTTATAGGAGCCTCGGGGCTAGGGTTTCGTAGAGAATATGCTGAGTTTATTCTCTACCCAAATTCGTAGGGATCGAGTCGGACTGAGATAATATCTGATTTAATGATATTATCTCCTTTTATAGAGATAATATCTTAATTAAATGATATTATCTCTTTTTATGGAGATAATATCTGAGATAATGACATTATCTTCTCTTTATTAGGATAATATCTTAATTAATGATATTATCTTATTAAATAAAGATAATATCATGTTAATTAAGATATTTATCCCAATTAATTAATTGGCTAGATAAACTGGTTCAATTAATTAATTAAAAGAGATAATCTTCTTTTCCACATGGCGCGCTGCGATTGGAGGCGAAAATATCTGCTCCCACACCAGGTATAAAGTTTGATCCTCTCATCGTACTTGACATTTTGACAGAGGTGACGACCGGCGATTTTGAGTTTCGCCGGTGCCGGATTTTTAGTTTGATCCTCTCAAGGGTATAGGTAATTAGGATTGTTATGATAGCATGGGACTTTAACGAAAAGTTAGGATCAAGCTCTGGTGCTGATGCTGCTGCGGCTGTTGTCGACTTGTAGTTGTTGTCGTTATCTTGTTATTGTAGCAAGTTGCTTTATGTCGTTGTAGTTGTTTGTTTGTGCCTTCATTTTAATTGTAAAAGTAAACAATGAAAACTTATTGTCTTCCTTTTGGATTTTGGTTTTTAAGTGGCAGTTTCTCGTTAGGTGTTATTCATAATTGTTTCAAATTAAAATAATTTTCTTATTTATTTATTTTTTCTTCACTTTTGTGAAGAAAAAGTTGATGAAACCAATCTGAAACTTCTTATGATTTTCTTGCAGATATTACTCCCCACGGTAGTAATGTTGCTGTTAATAGCTATAAGGATGCGTGTTGATACTCAGATTCACCTGTCGCAGCCGTAAGTGGCGACAAAGTCTGGCTAATTTTTGTGTTTCATTTATGTTTGTAGTATAGTGTGCGTGTGTGCATTGCAGGAGGTGTGTGTGTGGTTTTTACTTGATTTGGTACTACATATTTAAGGATGTTTCGCTTTGGGCAATATTCTCCCAATACTTAATAAATTTGAAGGAAATAAGGAAACAAATGAAATTAAAACCCTACATGGATTTGGGCAAGGTTTTTGTGTGGAATTTCTCATTTTGTGAGAAGTATTGGTGCTAAGTTTAATGAGACTTGACCAGGTATATCCAGAAAGGGATGTTTGTGGAAGTGGGCAAAGGAATATCACCTCACTTTGAACAAGTTTTGGAATTACTTTGAATAAGGAAGAGTTTCTGGCTTTTGCACCAGACACCGAAGAAACAAGGTCAATGATTAACATAATATCGGTTAAATTTCCCCTCTTGAAGGTACCCATTCTTATCTATTGCCTGATTTTGTTACTTTTGGTATGTAGTTGTGTGTTCATGCACATGCTAGGCACATTCTTTTTCTTTAGCACATCTGAGCTTTGACACCTCTTCTCTATTTTGAAATTTTTTTTAAAAAGCATTGAAGTCTTTGTCACATATGAGATTTGTTAACCACCCTGCATAGAATGGATGATATTGGTGTGGGACTCTAGTTACCCTCAATTAGATATCAAGAGTGTATTGTCTTCATTCAAGCAAACTATTGAAAAAGAAGATGTTTTGTTAATGTTCCCATCCTGCTTTGATTTTCTTAAATGGTGTCCATTTGCATGGGGGGGCTTCATCTTTGGATTATGATTTTGGGGCTAACAAAATTCATTAGTGCAGTATTGTGGGCGAGACATGGTCAATTAGGCTCTGTTTTTTGTGTTGTTGTCTTTTTCCTAATTAAAAAAAATTTAGGGTTAACCTCTTGGCTTTCTCGCACTTTCTCGGCCTTTTGGTTAAGACAAGTGTAGTATATGTTCTTATTAGTAGTTTCAGATGATTGACTCAATGGCCATTAATTATTAGGCATGGAATGTGTTGCTTTTTATTTATTAGAAAAATCTTATTTTCTGCCCCTTCCTTTTAACTGTACGTATTAGTTGCAAAGTTTTGAGCTTTGTATTCGTATATGGTTCTCTTTGTTTCACAATGTGTCTTTTCATTTCCTTCACAAGGGTTTTCATGGCTCAAGCTAAATAAAGTCCATTTCATACTTACAGAATGTTTCTAGAGTTTACAAAGATGAACAGGAGCTGGAAACCTATATAGGCTCAGATCTCTATGGTATCGGCAATCAAATAATGTAAGTCGTACTTTTGTATCACAGTATGGATCTTAGGGAAATTTCCTTGAAATGAATTCGATTATAGTTGGGACTGGAGAAGTATGAAAGACTAGTGGAGAAATGCAAATGACCAAAATTGGTTCTTTTGACGGTTTTCTAGTACTGGTCAAACGTTTCCTGCCTAATATCTGCACTCTAATTACTTTACAAATTAAAATTTGTTTTGCTTTTGTTTTTATTTTATATTTTATAATTATTTAATTTATTTTTTTAAAGTAGTTATCTGTGACTTATGCTTATAGTTTAAGACTCTTACTATACTGTATTTCTTATGTGATGGCCATTGTGTGATCACTGGATGGCTATTTTTTGAACAACGCAAGTCTGTTTGATTCTGTGAGAAGTCACATTATCAAATTTAGCTGTGTCACTGAATAAACTGAACTATTTGTTTAGGAATTGCTCGAATAAAAAATCAGAGCAGTAGTATTTCATGACCAAGGTCCCCAATCTTCTGATTATAGCATACGTCTCAATCACACATGGGCTTTCTCAGGATTTCCTGACGTTAAATCTATCATGGACACAAATGGTCCCTAACTTAATGACTTGGAACTGGGCGTAGATACTGTACCAAAAATGCAATACAGCTTCAGCGGTTTCTTAACTGTATGGTTGCTTCGTACCTTCGCCACTTATTGATTTTTGATATCTTTCATTTGTTACTTTAGTTGATGTATGGAGCTTTGTCATAACTATATTTATATTTTCGAAAAAGTTTTCTGTTCTCCTGTGTTCCCAAAATTTGTCTCTACAAAAAGTTGGTCTAGTTAAAAGTAATTTAATAATCATTCTTTTAACATTTGTATAAGTAGATCATTGGTGCTGGTTTTCTGAATCTGAATGTTAGGGTGAAAATCCAACTGATTAGTGGCACAGACATAGACAGTCTTTTTCCTGGCTTCTTCCTTAACTCATTCATCTATATGCCGGTGGAAAAAAAATATCCCTTATAGAATATTGATTTTTTAAATTTTGTTATGTAAATCCCACAATAGAAATAATAGCACATGCTGTCTCTAGTAACATATAAATTGTTAGCACGTGGTATATTTTTAGAGTCTTTCTATATGTTGTTCCAAAAGAATCATAATTTTGAGCCAAGTGTAATTTGTGTCATACTAAAAGTTTGGTTCCAAGTATGATATTTTTTTCCCCAAACATAGGGCTTACTCATGTTGGTCGGATAGGGTTTATTTATACCAATACTGGCATCTGATATTGTTGTTGCTTGTCCCTTCTCAGACGTCATCCTCAGGCTTCCAACCCTTTTTAGGGGAGTCTTCCGGGCGGATTCCCTCACCTTGATCCTGGCTCTTTAACTGCTATTGTGAGGCAGCAACTCCCTTCCCTTTCGGGATTACTTGTCTGCTAAGGGCGCTTCCTGCCTCGTGGGTAGCTTGGATTACTGGTGTGAACTGTAGCTGCTTGCTCTTCTTGAGCCCTTGCGCTGTGTATCTCCTTACTATGGCTTGGTCACTATTGATCTGCCCAATCCCGCCCCTAGGGATGGGGGAGCGGATCTTCTGATGCAGAGCAAATGTGATGGCCTCGATTTTGTTGATCCACGGTCGGCCCAAAATTCCGTTGTAGGGGGAGACCTCGTTGATGACCATGAAGGTTTGCAAGCAGACCACTGGGGGTGAGTGGACGTCAAGGTCGATCGTTCCAACAGTGATTGACGTGGCCCCATTGAAGCCGGTGAGCGATCTAGCAAGTTTGCTAATCTTGGGCTCTAACCCCATCTATTGGATAACAGATAGTTGCAGGATGTTGGTTGCGCTGCCATCATCTACATGAACTCACTCGATCACAGCTTGCTCAATTTGGATGCAAATGACTAGGGCGTCATTATGTGGCAGGTCAAGCCCAATCAAGTTCTTCTGGAAGCCGATGATGGGTGTATCCATAATGGCTGGTACTCCCGTTGTGACTTGGGAGACATAAGTTGCCTGAGCGATCTTTCTCTTAAACTCCTTGGTGGTCAGCTCGGACTCTTGAGAGTCAGCTAGAATGGTGTTGATTCGAATGACCTTTTGGGGAGGTTCCTTGGAGGTGCATCACGATCCTCGATCTGCTGGATGGCCTTCTTTGCAACAAATTCTGTGCAATGGCCTTCTCTGACCAGCTCCTCAAGGTGCCTTTTCCAAGCATTGCAGTTGTTGGTGTAATGACCGTGCTCCCCGTGGAATGCACAGTATTTACTGGTGTCCTTCTTAGAGGGGTCTCCCTTCATGAGTGGTGGTCTCCTCACCCACGGCTTGTCCTTCACCTAAGCTAGGATCTGGTGGATTAGGATAGCGAACTCAGTGAAGGTCCCTGTTTCTGAGCTTCCCTCTTGGGGCCGCGATCTGTGCTTATCCTGGGCTTTTTGCTCGAACTTGTTGCTCTTTTGGCTTGCCTGCTTCGTCGGGTGGTCAACTTGCTTGCTGGCTTATTTGCGGCGATACGATCATCGTCCCAAAGTGCGTAGCGCTCTGCCGTCGCGAACACTTCCGCCAGGGTTTGGCTTGGAGTTATGGCCAGCTCCCGGTATAGCTCGTGCTCGGCTGGCTAGCCCTCCTTGAAAGCTAAGGATGCAACTTGGTCATTGCATCCTATGATGTTAGCCTTCTCAGCCTTAAACTGTCTCAGGTAGTCTGGTAGAGACTCGTCTGGCTTCTTGCGCAGATTGAACAGATGGTCCGCATGCTTTTTGACCTTCTTGTAGGAGGTGTACTCATTTGTGAAAATGAGGGCGAACTCCTTGAAGTTGCCTATCAACTCAGACGGTAGAGTGTGGAACTAATCTTGAGCTGCTCCTTGCAGAGTCATCGCGAACACTTTGCACATCAGGGCGTCGTCTTCCTTGTACATGATCATGGCGCTCTAGAAGTGCCTCAAACGGCTCTCAGGGTCAGAGTCCCCCTTGAATGGAGTGATGGATGGCGTTGTAAACCGCTTCGGCGGCGGAGCTCGTTCTACCTGGTCGGTAAAGGGCGAGCAGTCAATTCGATCAATTTCCTCGCACAAGGCCTCCTCCATCCTTCCTTTAAGTCGGAGACCTCGGAGTTGGTCCTTTACTAGTTTCTCGACATCCTCTGCTCACAAAGTTGGAGTCTCGGGCCAACATCTTCGGTGCCTCGAGCGCGACTGGCTAACTTCTTCCTCGGTTCCCAAGGGTCGATCCCCTTGGGTGCCCTGCCCGTGGGGTAGATTAGGAGATTGAGCTTGTGAGGATTCCTCTGCAGCTTGTCACCGCGTGTTGGTCCTCGAGCGGGCTGGTGGGCGTCAATAGTCATCCTCTGCTCGCAAGGAAGGTCATTCAGGTCGACGTCTTCGGTGCCTCGAGCGTGATTGGCTAACTTCTTCTCCAGCTCCCAAGGGTCGATCCCCTTGGTTGCCCTGCCCATAGGGCAGGAGAGAAGGTTGAGTTTGGTAAGATCCCTCCACAGCTTGTCGTCGCGTGTTGGACCTCGAGCGGGCTGGTGGGCGTTGATCATTGTGCTCATCGCGCAACAGCTCACGAACTCGAGCTCCTTGTGAACCCAAGCGAGCATGGACATTGGACTGTGGGCCTAGCCTCTCGAGGACATTGGTCCTGGGACCTAACCTCGAACGGCTTAGAGTATGGCTCGCAGCTGTCTGCGTCTCGTCTGCACGATCTCGCTCTCTCCCCTACCGGTTTACCCTTGTCTGAAACTACTCGCTAGCAAACTGCTCGTCAGCATGCTTGTGTGCCCTCCTCTCCTCGTCACGGGGTCCAAGGTTGGAGCCATGATTCAAGTTGGTCTGCCTGAGTCGCTGGCCAATCAGGTTGTTTTGATCATCGACCTTCTGTGTGAGTTGATCAACCCGTGAGTTAAGGTCCACCTGACTGCGCGGGTCAAGTAAAGTGGTGTGCATCGGGCCCAACGGCATGTGGGGTAGGGCTCCATTAGACGCGCACACAGGTGCATATGTCAAGTGTGATCGCAGAGGAGGGACATAATGGATCTGCTCCAAGACTGGGACGACGTCAAAGTAGCCGTGGGGCTGTGCAGCAAGTCCGGTAGTTAAGTGGTGTGGCTGCTGCTGTGCTCCGAAGACAGGACAACGAGGCAAAGCAGCTCCGGTAATCGGCGCTAGCGACTGCAAGGCTATGGAGGTCCCAGGGTCATGTGGCGGCTGCTCTGCAATTCCAGCAGCTGAAGGCGGCTGTAAAGCACTAGAAGACGGCTGCAAGGCGTCGACAACCACGATTCCATGCGGTTGCATTGAGGTTTCCACCACGAAACCATGAGATGGGCCCGTTGTGGTGGCGTTACTCTTCGTACGTCTTGTATCAACCATGGTTGTTTGAAAAAATGTGTGAAAGATGGATTTGGAGCACGCTTTGAATATTATCTCATGCTCTCAATGAAAGCACCAATTTGTGGGAGCAATTTTCGTCCCACTAAAATATTCGCCTAAGATTCCTTCGTCTTCTCCGCTTCTCTTTCTCCCTACAAAACAGATCAGAGTAAAAGGACCACACCCGGGGCTAGAGTTTCAGAAGGAATTCAGACGTACCCCAATCCTCGTGCGTAGCCAAGTATTTATAGGGGGCCTCGGCGAGGTTGGTGGGGTTGGTGAAGTTTGTGTGGTTGGTGAGGTTGGTGTATTTAGGGATTAGGGATTTAACCAAATCCCTAATTAAGGCGATGATCAAATACATCCAATTTGAATTATGTAACCTCCCAATTAGGTTAGGTAACCCCCAATTGGCTCAAATAATTCCCAAATTGATTGGCCTAATTATTTGACCTAGGGTGAGATATTTTGCTTCCACAGCATCCCTAACAATTTTCTGTGGGGTTTTTTTTTGGTAGTTTGATTTCTTCTACAGTTTGCAGTTTCTTTTGCGATTATTACGGTTTGCACTATGGATAATCTTTTCAAGTACAGTGATAAGACAGTTGTGTTCATTCACTTCTTTGGACTAAGTGCAATTATGCTGTCAGTTGCTTGTATAAATTAGAAACTGAATAATGGGTTTCACAATGTGTCCTTTCATTTCTTTCGCAAGGGCTTTCATGGCTCAAGCTAAATAAAGTCCATTTCATACTTACAGAATGTTTCTAGAGTTTACAAAGATGAATAGGAGCTGGAAATCTATATAGACTCAGATCTCTATGTTACCTGTAATCAAATAATGTAAGTCGTACTTTTGTATCAAAATATGGATCTGAGGGAAATTTCCTTGAAATGAATTTCGATTATAGTTGGTATTGGGAGAGTATGAAAGACTAGTGGAGAAATGCAAATTACCAAAATTGTTTATTTTGATGGTTTTCTTGTGGTGGTCAAACATTTCCTGCCCAATATCCTGCAGATTATGATCTCTTGGACTACATGACTAGTTATTTATGCATGCTTGATTCATGTGAATATTATAGTTTTCGTCTTTTAAATGTGGGTTTGGCTTCCTGAAATTATCTGTGTGATCCCAACGTCTTCATGAATTGAATGTGGATAACTGATAATTGAACCAATTTAAGGAACCGATAAATTGTCTTAATGCTACTTATACAGTTGATGGAGAATTTCAGGATTTTTAGACTGAGAATTTCGGGCTTTTTTGCAAGTGGCATCACTGTTTCCAAAGGTGATTCTAGTGAGCTCCGGCCACCTATGGCCATGATTCTTATTGGAAAAGGTGCACCTCCTCCCTATACATTTCCCATAAGTTAGTCGATGTCGTTAGTGGCTGTCATTGCTGCCACGAGCTTGAGAAGCTCCTACCACTTTTTGTCTAGGGTCCGAGAGTAAAAGTTGCTCCCCTTGAAGAGATTGTGCTAGTGGTATATTGCTTGTGCTAATTTGGCCACTCCTCAAGCCACCAATTGCTACTGAAGGTGTGTGAACCACTTAGTGGTGCCCCACTTTGCTTTGTAATTGTCCCTACATCGTTCGAAGCACGATGATAAGCTTGGATTGGCAAGATTTCGTCGTTTGATAGGTGAACGAAGTTTCGCCTACTAGGCATTGATTGATCTGGACGGTCCCAGCTTCTGATATTTGGTTCCCTGTATCGTTTGGAGTGTGTAGGAACTTACAAATCTAGAATTGGAGGTTTGAATCTTCCGGATCGACTATTCTAAGGTTAGGGTTGTTGATTGTGTGATCGGATGATGATCGGCCATCGCTTCGTAGCCAAAATCTTGGGACTTATTTAGTGGACAGTTTGCGTTTATATATATTTTGTATTCTTGTTTAAGTGGGAATTGTTTTGAGACACTTAAGGCTTTGTGATTTGAGTATGATGTTTTGATTTACGTTTTGAAATGCTTCCAATGTTTTGGGTGTTATGTAGGTATGAATTTGCTTTTTTAAGAATATTGTTGTTTTAGTTTGAGCTCGTGTTCTACCTATTGAGTACTGCGATAGTTCTATTTAATAAATTTCGAGGTGAATGTTTTCTAATGCTTAATAATATTTGAAATAGCTGTTAGCTTATCGATTGATTAGAGGATTGGTTTGGTTTTCTTGTGCTTGATCCCATGGAACGGGTACGTAGGCAACCTAGAGTCGACCTAGGCGCAGCCACCAAGTTAGGCTTTTATTAGTATGTTTAATTTGTCAGAATGATTTGACTGCATAGGTGGTTGGTCAGTTTCCCCGCTCTAGTTGCCTTTAGAGCATGTGCCTGTGCTCTAAACACAATTGTTCGACCAAGATTTCCCCATCCACCTGCCCGATTTGACTGCATAGGTGGTTGGCCAATTTTCCTGTTTCCCGTTGGCTTTAGTTATCTGTGTGTACCTATGCTTAGTACACAAGTGTCTGACAATGATTTCCCCAGCCACCTACCTGATTTAGCTACACAAGTGATTGGCCAGTTTCCCCGCCTCAATTGCCTTTAGATATTTGCTTGTATTTGTGCTCAATAGATAGTTGTCTGACAAAGATTTCCCCAGCCACCTGCCCAATTTGACTGCAAAGGTGGTTGGCCTGTTTCCCCATTCCCAATTGCCTTTAGATATTTGCGTGTACCTGTGCTCAGTACACAGTTGTCCGACCAAGATTTCCCCAGCCATCTACCTGATTTGATTGCACAGGTGGTTGGCAAATTTCCCCATTCTAGTTGCCTTTAGAAGTTTGCATGACACGTGCTCAACACACAGTTGTTCAACTAAGATTTCTTCGCCACCTGCCCGATTTGATTGCACAGATCGTTGGCCAATTTCCCCGTTTCCCCTTGCCATTAGATATCTGCATGTACCTATGCTTAGTACACGTGTCCGACAGTGATTTCCATAGCCACCTGCCCGATTTGACGGCATAGGTGGTTGGCCAATTTCACCGTTCCCAGTTGCCTTTAGATATTTGAGTGTACCTATGATCAGTACACAATTGTCGGACAATGATTTCCCCAGCCACTTGCTTGATTTGACTGCACAGGTGGTCAGCCAGTTTCCCTTTTCCCCAGTTGCCATTAGATATTTGCGTGTACCTGTGCTCAGTACACAGTTCTCCGACTAGGATTTCCCCTCCACCTACCCGATTTGACTGCGCAAGTGGTTGGCCAGTTTCCTCGTTCTTGTTGCCTTTAGATGTTTGCTTGTACCTGTGCTTAGTACACAGTTGTCCGACCAAGATTTCCCCAGCCACCTCCCGATTTAACTGCATGATGGTTGGCCAATTTCCTTGTGTTGCACTGCCTTTAGATATCTGCGTCTACCTATGCTTAGTACACAGCTGTTCGACCAAGATTTCCCCAGCCACTTGCCTGATTTGACTGCACAGGTGGCTGACCAGCTTCCCCGTTCTACTTGCCTTTAGATGTTTGCACGTAGTTGTGTTCAGTACACAGTTGTTCGACCAAGATTTCCCCAGCCACCTACCAGATTTCACTACATAGCTGGTTGGCCTGTGCTCAGTACACAGTTGTCCGACCAAGATTTTCCCAGCCACCTGCCCGATTTAAATGCACAGATGGTTGGCTAGTGTTCCCATTCTCGTTGCCTTTTGATGTTTGCATGACCTGTGCTAAGTACACAGTTGTCCGACCAACATTTCCCTAGCCACCTGCTCAATTTGACTACACAGGTGGTTGACCAGTTTCCCCCGTTCCCAGTTGCCTTTAGATGTTTGCATGTACCTCAGCTTCGTACACAGGCATCCGACAATGATTTCCTAAACCACTTGCCCAATTTGACTGCACAGGTGGTTGGCCAATTTCTCCGTACCCAGTTGCTTTTAAATATTTCTGTGTACCTGTGCTCAGTACACAGTTTTCTGACAATGATTTCCCCAGCCACCTGCTTGATTTGACTGCACAGGTGGTTGGCCAGCTTCCTCGTTCCCAGTTGCCTTTTGATGTTTGCGTGTACCTGTGCTCATTTCACAGTTGTCTGACAATGATTTCGACAGCCACCTGCCCGATTTGATGGCACAGGTGGTTGGCCAGTTTCCCCTTTCCCAGTTGCCTTTAGAGATTTGGGTGAACCTTTGCTCAGTACACAGTTGTCCGACCAAGATTTCCCCATCCATCTACCCGATTTGACTGCACAGGTGGTTGGCTAATTTCTCCGTTTCCAGTTGCCCTTAGATATTTGAGTGTACCTGTGCCCAGTACACAGTTATTTCAGCAGCCACCTACCCGATTTGACTGCGTAGGTGGTTGGCCAGTTTCCTCGTTCTCGGTTGCCTTCAAATATTTGCTCATACCTGTGCTTAGTACACAGTTGTCCGACCAAGATTTTCCTAGCCATCTGCCCGATTTGACTGCACAAGTGGTTGGCCAATTTCCCCGTTCCTAGTTGCCCTTAGATATTTGCATGTACCTGTGCCTAGTACACTGTTGTCCGACCAACATTTCCCCAACTACCTGCCCGATGTGACTGCACAGGTGGTTGCCCAATGTTCTCGTTCTAGTTGCCTTTAGATGTTTGCATGACCTATTCTAAGTACACAATTGTTCAACCAAGATTTCCCAGCCACCTGCTCAATTTGACTGCACAGGTGGTTAGCTAGTTTCCCCGTTCCCAGTTGCCTTTAAATATCTGCCTGTACCTAGGCTTGGTGCACAGGTGTCAGACAATGATTTACCCAGCCACCTCCTGGATTTGACTGCACAGGTCGTTGGCCAGTTTCACCATTCCCAATTGCCTTTGGATATTAGCGTGTACCTGTGCTCTGCACACAGTTGTCCGACCAAGATTTACCCAGCCACCAGCCCGATTGTGCTCAGTACACAGTTGTCCGACCAAGATTTCCCCAGCCAACGGCGTGGTTTGACTGCACTGGTGGTTGGCCAATTTCCCCATTCTTGTTGCCTTTAGATGTTCCCATGTACCTGTGCTTAGTACATAGTTGCCCGACCAAGATTTCTCTAGCCACCTGCCCGGTTTGACTACACAGGTGGTTGGCCAGTTTTCCCGTTCTAGTTGCCTTTAGATGTTTGCCTGTACTTGTGCTCAGTACACCGTTGTCTGACCAAGATTTCCCCATTCACCTACCCGATTTGACTATACAATTTCTTGGCCAGTTTCCCTATTCCCAGTTGGCTTTTCGTATTTTCGTGTACCTGTGCTCATTTAACAATTGTCCGACCAACATTTCCCCATCCACCTGCCCGATTTGACTGTACAGGTGGTTGGCCAATTTCCCAATTTCCCGTTGCCTTTCGATATCTGCTTGTACCAATGCTTACTACGCAGGTGCCCAACAATGATTTCCCTAGCCACTTGCCTGATTTGAATGCACAGGTGGTTGGCCAGTTTCCCCCGTTCCCAATTTGCTTTAGATATTTGCATGTAATTGTTCTCAGTACAAAGTTGTCCGGCAAAGATTTCCCCAGCCACCTGCCCGATTTGACTGCACAGGTGGTTGGCCAATTTCCCCGTTCTAGTTGCCTTTTGATGTTTGCATGTACCTGTAGTTGTCTGACCAAGATTTCCCCAGCCACCTGCCCGATTTTACTCCACAGGTGGTTGGCCAATTTTCCAATTCCCCGCTGCCTTTAGATATCTGTGTGTATCTCTTCTTAGTACACAGATGTCCGACGATGATTTCCCCAGCCACCTGCCCGATTTAATTGCACAGGTGGTTGACTAGTTTCCCTATTCCTAGTTGCATTTAGATATTTGCGTGTACCTGTGCTCCGTACACAGTTGTCCAACGAAGATTTCCCTAGCCACCTGCCTGATTTGACTACACAGGTGGTTGGGCAGTTTCCCTGTTCTAGTTACCTTTAGATGTTTGCATGTACCTGTGCTTAGTACACAATTGTCTGACCAAGATTTCCTGACCCACCTGCCCGATATGTCTACACAGGTAGTTGGCCATTTTCCCCCTTCCCCGGTTACCTTCTGATATTTGCAGGTAGTTATGTTTAGTCTGTCTGACCAAGATTTCCTAAACAACCTGCCTAATTTAACTGCACAGCTAGTTCGCCAATTTCCCTGTTTCCTTTTGCCTTTAGATATCTGCGTGTACCTTTGCTTCATGCACAGGTGGTTGGCATATACATGCTTTTAGTATGCAGGTGTCTGCAGACTAGGATTTCCCAAGCCACTTGCCCGATTTGTCTGCTTAGATATTTAGCCAGTTTTCTCGTTAGCCAGTTGCGTTCAGATGTTTGCATGTACTTGAGCTTAGTACATAGTTGTCCGACCAAGATATCCCCAGCCACCTACCCATTTTGTTCGCCTAGATGGTTTGCCAGTTTTCCCGTTCGCTAGTTATCTTCAGATGTTTGCATGTACCTGAGCATAGTATACAGGTGTTCGACCATGATTTCCTTAGCCACTTACCTGATTTGATTGGACAGGTGGTTTGCAAGGATTTGCCTATCCATGGGTCCGATTTGTTTGCACAGGTGGTTGGCTAGTTCCCTCATTCCCAGTTGCCTTACGATGTTTGCATGTACCTATGCTTCGTATACAGTTGTCCAACCAATATTTCCTTATCCACCTGCCCAATTTGATAGCACAGGTGGTTGGCCAATTTCCCTATTCTCAGTTACCTTTAGAAGTTTGCATGTACTTATGCTTAGTGTACAGTTGTCCAACCAAGATTTCCTCAGCCACTTGCCTGACATGTCTGCAAAGGTGGTTGGCCAGTTTCCCCTTCCCTAGTTACCTTCTAATGTTTGCAGGTAGCTGTGTTTAGTGTAGAGCTGCCTAATGAGGATTGCTCTACCCACCTGCTCGATTTGTCTGCACAGGTGGTTGGCCAGTTTCCCTGTTCCCAATTACCTTTAGATGTTTTCATGTACTTGTGCTTAGTGTATAGTTGTCCAACCAAGATTTCCTCAGCCACCTGCCTGACATGTCTGCAGAAGTGGTTGCCTAGTTTCCCCCTTCCCTAGTTACCTTTCGATGTTTGCAGGTAATTGTGTTTAGTGTAAAGCTGTCTAACGAGTATTGCCCTACCCACCTGCCCCATTTGTCTGCACAGGTGGTTGGCCAGTTTCCATTTCCCCCAATTTTCTTCAAACGTTTGCCTATTCATGTTTTTAGTATAGAGGTGTCTAACCTATATTTCCCCAGTCACCAGCCCGATTTGTCTGCACAAGTGGTTGGACAGTTTCTCGTTTCTTTGCATGTACCTGTGTCGAGTATACAAGTGGCTGACCAGGATACCCAAACCCAGCCACCTCCCCGACATATTTGCTTATATGGTTAGCTAGTTTCCCCATTCGCCAGTTGCCTTCAGATGTTTGCATGTACCTGCGTTTAGTATGCAGGGATCCGACCATGATTTCCCCAGCCACCTATCTGATTTGTCTGCACAGGTGGTTGGCCAGTTTTTCTGTTCCTAGTTACCTATCCATTGCTTAGTATACAATTGTCTAACCAAGATTTCCTCTGCCACCTCCCTGACATGTCTGCACAGGTGGTTGGCCAGTTTCCCCCTTCCCCAGTTACATTTCGATGTTTACAGGTAGTTGTGTTTAGTGTAGAATTGTCTAATGACGATTGCCCTACCCATCTGCCGGATTTGTTTGCACAGGTGGTTGGCCAGTTTCCCTTTCCTCTGTTGCCTTAAAATATTTTTCTATTCATGTTCTTAGTATACATGTGTTTGACATGGATTTCCCCAATCACCTGCCCGATTTGTCTGCATAGGTGGTTGGACGGTTTCCCGCTTACCTAGTTTCCTTCAAATGTTTGCATGTACCTGTGTTTAGTATACAAGTGGCCGACTAGGATTTCCCAAGCCACCTACCAATTTGTTTGACTAGGTGGTTAGCCAGTTTTCTTGTTTGCCAATTGCCTTCAGATCTTTGTATGTACATGTGCTTAGTACACAAGTGTCTGACCATGATTTCACTACACAGGTGGTCAGCTAGGATTTGCCTATCCACCTCCTAGATTTGTTTGCACGGGTGGTTCGCAAGTTTCCTTGTTCTTAGTTGCCTTTAAATCTTTTCATGTGCCTATGTTTAGTTTACAGGTGTCCGGCCAAGATTTGCCTATCCACCTGCCCGATTTGGCTGCACATGTGGTTGGCCTGTTTATCCCTTCCCAGTTTCCTTCAAATGTTTGCATGTACCTTTGTTTAGTATACAGGCGGTCGACTGGGATTTCCCAAGCCACCTGCTCGATTTGTCTGCCTAGGTGGTTAGCTAGTTTCCTCGTTTTCCAGTTGACTTCAAATGTTTGCATGTATCTGAGCATAGTACATAGGTGTCCGACCATGATTTCCCTAGCCACCTGCCCGATTTGACTGCACAGGTGGTTGGCTAGTTTTCCTAACCTACCTGTGCTTACTATACAGTTGTTCGACCAATATTTCCTCATCCACTTGCCTAATTTTTCCGCACAAGTGGTTGGCCATTTACATTTTAAACATAAACAAAATTTAACAAAAATATTTTGAATTCAAATATTTATGCTTGGAAAGCAATAGCCATAAATAATTCTTTCAAAATCAATCAATGAAACTTTAATTGCATAAAACCCATTTATAAGAAAAAAGTCAACTCACTGAGCATCCAAGCTAGCCTGACCCTTTGAGGGTCCTTCTTGTAGGTTCAATGAAGCCCGAGTACCTATTTAAGCAATTCAAAAGATTTAATTAATAAAATAGCTCAACCAAATATATTTAAACAAAAACCCTGACCCCCGGCCTTAAAAGTGCGTGTACATAACTTAAGAAAGTTCCTAGGCCCATTTTGAACATTTCTGACAGGTGGAATAGTCTGAAAAGACCCGAGGTCCAATAAGCGATTAATTTCCCAAAATGGTCAACCTGATACCCCGTGGGGTCCACGACCTCCAATTACCAATTCAAGAGTTCCTATAGGTTTAACACACTTTACTAAACATACCCTGCAAGTTTTGGTCCACATCAAACGATCTGATTGCCCACGATCGATCGCACAATTGGGCAGTTACCATTTAACGTAAACTTTGAAATATTGAATCGAAGTATCCGGGACTCCGATTCTCGTTTTGCGAGTTTCTACACGATTCTAGAGGTGTCTAGATTAACATATTTGGAAATGAAGTCGATCCAACGGTCCGAACATATCGAACCCAGATAACACTTAAAATGGGATATTCAATCGACGATCAAACGGTAACCAAATTGAAATCCAAGCATACCGTTGTGCTAAGGACGACGTGGGGAAAATTCTAGGATGAAAACCCAACCTTGACACCCTGCTGATGCGTCGCCACCGTTGGCGGGTGTATTAAGTAATTTTTCAGCTATCGAAAAACTCCAAACCGCCAGCCAATAATCATTCCACCTTTAAAGCTCTCGAACGAATGTTTCTGTCTCTTGAAAAACCAAGAAATTCTTGGTTTGGATTCGATGGTTTTGGGGTGAAATCAAGTCAGGTCTTCAAGGGAAAACACAAAGGAAATTCAGCCCTCGAAAACAACTGTTTTAAAGCTGCCCGATTTTGGATTTGGGGCTAGAAACTGGCATAGATGCGTAGAGGAGTGAAAGACGAAGAGAATGTGACCAATTTCGTGGCCGGAGACGGCCGAATGTGGCCGAAATCGTTGCCGAAAGCCACAGAGATCCTGGCTATTTCTAAGAGAGAGAGAGAGAGAGAGAGAGAGAGAGAGAGGTTTATGTTTTTTAAAAAACTGACTACGCAAAAATTACGATTATGCCACTGAATTTCTTTTAATCGTAACTTCTTCATTACAACTTTGATTTTAGCCCACTACAATTGTACTACTATATTAAATATTGATGCAGGATGAAACTGCATAGTTTGTGGTTGACATTAATGTGTGGTGTTGATATTCTTTTGGGCATCGACCTTTGGCATTGACAGTGTTCTAACTAGGATGACTTGAGCATGAAGGGTCACGTACCAATGACCTTAGGTTTCAATACCTTAAACCTGCTGAGGGGTTACACTGACCGACTAGTCCGAGGCCCTTAAACAGCTTAGAATAGCCTCTGGGGTGTAGCCATTAAAATGGACACTTTCGCTACTTTACTCGGCGTGGTAAGAGTAGTTGGTCTAATGGATCAGTCATCACATGAAGTTACTAGGATCCCAAAATATTGTTTATGAAAAGCTATGTGAGCATGCCAAGTGTTTCAAACTAATAGTCTAATAATTGTTTTGTTGTGCATTGGTTTTAATGCTTTGGTGTACGATATTAAAAAGAATTACATTAACATAATTATTTTTAAACCCGGCGGGGGTACCCCCTATTGGGTAAATGATCGTATGCGATGCTCACCCCTACTTTTGGTGTAGATTATGTTCAAGTCGACTACCTAGACCTTGACTAGGTTCGTGGCTCGACATCTGAGACTTGGCAATTCTTCTTGTGCTTCATGTTACTTGCAGGTCAAGAAAATCATCTTTTGTCTCCTTGTGAAAGATGTTGTAATTGGTTTGGTGGACCTTGTACCACTCTTGGATTGTACTATGTTTGTTTAGGGTTGTGTTTGTACCACTCTTGTGCTTCTTGTAACTGTTGGGTTGGTAATGATGTAAATATTTGTATCTAACTATGTTGTTTTATTTTCCGCTGTGATTGAAATACTCTAATCCAACTCATACCATAAAAATATATATTGGGAAATAGCTCTAAATGCCACCCTTTTTATAATTTTAACTAAAAATACCACGCCTCCCCAATTTTTTTGCAACTATCACCTATAAATATATATTTATTGTCCATTTATTGCAGATATATCACTTGTTCAGAAATTTTGTTTTCTCTTAACTCACTCAGCTCTCTCTCTCTACCGCAACTCTCTGTCTCTCTCTTTGCTCTCTTTCTCTAGCACAGCTCTTCCTCTCTCCATCTCTCTCTCTAGCTTCACACTCGCTCTCTCTCTCTCTCTCTCTCTCTCCCCCCCCCCTATTCTCTCTCTCGCTCTCTGTTCTGAATCGTGAACCCCTCCCTCAACCCCATATTTTAGGTATGGCTTCTGAATAGCTGCTTGCAACCTTGAAGCTATACTGGATCACCGACCTCGAATAGGTAGTGTTGATGGTTATTTTCTTAATATATGTGGGATTATGTGAAATGGGTTTTATTTTGATTGCTTGGGTTTGTGTTAAATTAGTTTTGGCTTTAATTGCTTTCGGTTAGGTTTTTTGAATCTTCATGCTCATCCATATGGGTTTTTACCAATTGCATTTAGATTGCTCTGAATATGTGAATCTTGAAACTTGGGATTTTCCATTTGATGTAGTAGATCTGTATAGTGTGATTGTGATGAATCCTTGTTCACTACTGCGTTAGTGTTGTATTGCTATTGTGTTCCTGTTTTTTTGTTGTCGTATTGCTATTATGATGCTGTTATATTGCTATTATATTGCTGTTATATTGTTGTTCTATTGCCATTGTATTGCCTGGTTATTGTGGTTGTATTATGTTAATGAAATGTTGTTTTGTCATGGCCAGAAATGGAGACAGTTGTTATTCTGGTTTGCTAAAATGGAAAATGGGTCACCTCAAAGAAGATGTGCAAATATGAAGGGGGTGACTCAAAAGGCTTAATAGTTCCACGGACCATCACATTTGTTGAACTGTTGGACCATGTACATCATATTGGTAATACAAACAGCAGGGAAGACAAGGTTTGCTTAAAGTTCTCAGTTTTGAGGACGATGATGATGTCAAAATTTTTATGAAGTACAATTCTGAGGTAACACCTTTAAACTAGCTCCTTTACTCGTGAGTATAGAAGATAAAGGACTGACAAATGATGTAGTTGATAGTATGCATATCATGACAGATAGTAGTCAGATCGGTCGTTCTTCAGTTGCCATTGTTGAAAGCAATGAAGCAACTTGGAATAATACAAATGTCACTGATGTGGGAGGTGATGTTGGGACAGATTTTATGGACATGATTGATTTTAGCGAGGTGGAGGAGATGCATGGTGGTGATAATGGTACTGAAGAAATGAAGCGTTAGTGTACTCTGCTCCTCCTATTTTGGGCCGCTTGAACACATCTGCCCAATTGCCAATAATGCGTTTAGGAGGAGAATCTAAACCCACTCGTGAACATTATTGGAGTCAAATGGGTGAACAGAACCGGTACAATCTGGGCGATGTAAATGATGGAGAAGCATATTTAGACACAGGGTATTCGCAAAGTGATTGGAATCCGAAAATTACAATTGGACAAATTTTCTCTAGTAAGGGAGCATTGTTGACGGAGTTACGGTTGGCGGCATTGAGAGGCCACTTTGAATTTAAGGTGCAATTCTCTTGCACTAAGAGGTTGCTTGTGGTTTGTTGTCAACCTCCATGCGCATGGCGTGTCCGAGCATCGAGAATTGGAGAATACAACTTCATGATTGTGAGGTGTACAACTGTCCATGAATGTGATTTGAGGTTCATAAATGACAACCTTCCATGGGACGCACGGGCACACTATGAATAACTGCTTTACTTGGAAAGTGCACTTCGAAGAATTCGTGAGAGAATGTCACTGCACATAATTCATTGCGAAGCAGGCCATCCAGAAAATTGATTACCGCGATACCTCTAAGGGGCCACCCTAGAACATCATAAGGATTCAAACAATCCTAGTCGACTCCGAGGAGTCTGGGCTGACTAGCAAAGAAAAGATGAGGAAGATCAAATAGGCCACTGTGATCTCCCGCAGAAGACAAGCTTTAGGCCCCATTTCAATGCGGACCCTAAACCTTGATGGAGTGAAATGCCGTTAGTCCATAATTTTATCACGTGGGAATTGCAAATACTCATGTTCATCAATTTTCCCTTTGATTTTTGTGATCCTTTAATCATGTTTTTCTTCACATAATTTTGGGATTCATGTTGAATAATTGATTTTCTAATATTGCATGATTGTTGTGGTTACCTTGAGTGGTATACAGTCTCACATGGCTTGAGTTGTAAAAGTTGAAGTTTTATGTGTAAATTTTTATTTATTTTAATACAATCAATATTGGGGTTCTCACACACACTTTTCAAAGTGTCATGATGGTTCGAATATGAGACTACTGGTTTGTAAGTCAAGGCCCTTTTCATTGGGCTAGATCTTGTTGGCTTATATGTGTAGAGTTTCTCTCTTCGTAATTGTTAAAGTTGAAGTTTTATATGTGCAAATTTTTATTTATTTATTTATTTATTTTAATATAATTAATATTGGGGTTCTCACACACACTGTTCAAGGTGTCATGATGACTTGAATCTGAGACTACTAAGTCAAGGTTATTTTCATTGTGCTAGACCTTGTTGGCTTATATGTTAGAGTTTCTCTCTCTTCGTAAGATGCATTTTGAACAGGGAACAAAACCCCTATGATTTAAAGAATTAAACACATTAAATTAAAAGGAGATTTTGGAAAAGGCCAAAGGTCAGAGAAATAGCTTAATAGAAGCCAAAATATTTTGTATTTGGACAAGAATGCCCTTATGTAGTTTTGGATTGCCTAAGGAATCCTTTTGCTTTTTGCTAGCCGTATGAAACCAAAAAGTTTCTTCTTTTCAACTAATATCGTATGGAGCCAAAATATTCTTCATATGCTAGGATGATCCTTCACGTGGAAGATGAGGACTTGATTATGCTTCAATCATGTTGTCTATATTGTCACATCCTGAGATCGGCTCCGCCGTAGCATGATATTGTCCGCTTTGGGCCCCCCTCTCTGCCCTCACGGTTTTGTTTCTAGGAACTCATGAGCAACTTCCCAATGAGTCACCCATCTTGGGATTGCTCTAGCCCCAACTCGCTTAACTTCGGAGTTCCTATGACTCTGAAGCCAATGAGCTCCCAAAAGGCCTCGTACTAGATGGAGGCAGGCATGTACATATAAGGCACAGCACTCCTTCTTCGTTGGTCAATGTGGGATGTTACAATCCACCCCCCTTAGGGGCCCGACGTCCTCGTCGACATACTCGCACCACACGGCAAAGTGGCTCTGATACCAAATTGTCACATCCCGGGATCGGCTCCACCGTACCATGATATTGTCTGCTTTGGGCCCTTCTCTCTACCCTCACGGTTTTGTTTCTAGGAACTTACGAGCATCTTCCCAGTGGGTCACCCATCCTGGGATTGCTCTAGCCCCAACTCGTTTAACTTCGAAGTTCCTATGACTCCGAATCCAGTGAGCTCCCAAAAGGCCTCGTGCTAGATGGAGGCGGGCATGTACATATAAGGCACATCACCCCGTCTCCGTTGGTCGATGTGGGATGTTACATATATTGTGTAGCTATTGTTCTCCTAAGCTATTCCAATATGAGTTGTCGTTGTCTTCTGCTTTAATTTGTGCTGCTATCTGACTATAGATCTCATCAAAACCTTTTGCTCCTGTTGTGCTTATCCTGAATTCATATGTGTCATTTGGTCTCCTGGATGTAGATTCTAAATAAATTTTAATGAAATTGGATTGGTACAAGAGGTTCAGACGATCATCATTGAACAATTGTTGCTCCGCTATTATTGCTTATCTATATTTTTGAATGTCCTGCTTGGTAAGAATCCTTGTTTTTACTGATTCTGCTAGACTAAGCAATTCATTATGAGAATTAATAATACTATGTTGTGCTCTGTCTAGGTAAATATTATCCTCAAACCATTCTGGGGGTATGCTGGTGAAATATAATTTTACACTTTTCCATAGAGGAATATAGAAACTTATGACTTAATTTTGAGGAAAACGAAGCTAAATGATCACTATTTTCAATATAAAGTTGACATAAATAACCATATTCTGCTAAAAATGTTGGAGTAACTGTGATAGTTTTTTGTTTATGCTTTAAATGCAGTTCTTCAATCAAGTTAATACTAGCTAAGTAAATAGTATAATGAGAACAGCTTTTGGTAATAATTTTTATACTAGGATGTGGATTACTTTTTAAATTAAAAAGAAAAGCTTGAATGTATAGTTGAAGAGATGTGTTTTACTCATACTCTAATCTAATCATATGACTCTTAACATCTTGTGGTAAAAATCTATACCTTTCTCTAGCTAAAGTTTGAAGAAAATATGGATTTTTAGTTTTTTGCTCAGGGGAAAATTATCTATTATGCTCAAGTAAGTTGGGCTCATTAGCCTCTTTTCTTGTAGATTTTGACATCTTAAATTAATGATTCGAAAATTCTTTACTATTGTATCATACTCCTTTTTCTCTTCATGTTTTTCCTGCATAAAAGAAAGTTGTTGTTTTGCTCTTTTATAATCATAATTATATGCTAAAAACTCTTGCTCAAGGGGTCGAATAATTTTTCATGCCCTCTTCTCATGCTTTCAGTATTAGTTCTAATATTCCAAAAGTTGTCTAAAATAACTTTTTTTTAATCTGCTAATGATGCTTGAGTACGATATTTTAAAGTAGAATTTGTAACTTCTTGTACTGAAATTCCATTATAAATTAAGTATTCACTACTGGTCTTGCTTGGCTACTTATGCTTAATGGATTACCACCTTATGATGGTATACCAGTATTTTTACTGCCAGAGGATGATGGTTCAAAATATTGCATACTTGTTAACGAATAATGCGGGATAAGATATCTGCTAAAGTATTATCCATACCTTTAATATGCTCAAATATCGGTCTACATCCATTTCCTGTAATTGTAGTAATTTTCGGGATGATTGTTTATTAGTAGTAATTTTATTATAATGAGAAACAATATTCTGACAATCTATTCTGATAGTAAATATTTCATTATGTAAAAACAATGAAAATGCCTCAAGGGAGTTAATGACTCCTACAAACTTTTTCTTCATATTTTGATTCTTCCTTATGTTTCTTTTGATATTAAATTCCTCCCCATCCTATTGATGATACATCTGTCTCAACTATTTGTAATTATTATCTAATGGTAATGCTAAAGGTTTAAGTTGAGTTATATCTTGTTTGATGCTTCGAACTAATTTAATATCTTCACTATTGAAATAATTTTTACCTATTTTTACTAGTTTTACTATGCAATGCTACAATCTTTCTTCCTAAATCATGGATAAAACTTCTAGCATAGTTTAATAAACCTAAAGATGCTTGCAATTTCTTTTTATCTTTTAATTTATTTGGAAATTCTAACACTTTTTTAGCTATGTGCTCTTGTAATTGTATAGTTTTTGACTTAATATACATACCTAAAAATTCTATGTCTTGTTTTTCTGACTTAATATACATACCTAGAAATAAATTTCTTAATTTATTTGCAATTGCTTCTAAACTTCTATGTCTTGTTTCCTATAATTGGATACTCGTGATCAAATATTATATCATTATATTCTAGATTATTTTGTTCATCTATCTTTTCTTCACTTATTTCTTTTCATTCTTCCATATTATATTTAAAATTTTGTTCTTCTATGTTAATACTATTATAATACTCTAATATATTACTTTGATCAGTTGTGGTTATTCATTTCTTAAAAAATGTAATGTCTGGAGGTGTATATAAAAATACTCCTTGTAAACTTTTTAAGAAATTTAATCCTAAGATAAAAGGATATGATCCTACTGGGGATATAAAGGTTAAGGGTAAATTAAACTGTTGTCTTTCTATCCTAATTGGTATATTATTAATACAATGTGTTAAGTATACAGGTCTGGTATCAAACTGTATAATTTTTACTGGTCTAGCTATTTGTGCCTAAATTGTTATGGCACTAACTCTTCCTTTATTACGTTTTTTGTGCTTCCTGTATCTATCATAGGTGTTTTTTGAATTTTCTTTTCTTTTGACAATTCCAACTCACAATTAATTGGTATTAGCGAACTAGTCTTTTGTTTCTCTATACTTGGGCAATTATTCTTTTGATTATTGTTGTCTACTATTTCAACTGTATTTATTTCTATTGGTCTATTATTAAAACAATGTTTACAATAAATTATTGTCTTAGTGTATTATTTTTCTACCACTATTTTCTTACATTGATTACATTCTTGAGGCCATCCTAAATTAACATATTTAAATTCTTCATGCTCTATTTGTTCTTCAAACATACACATATATTCATCTAATTCACTATCGGAATTACTAGAGTAATCTGATTTTGATTCTAAGTCTAAGGCATTAACACTATAAATACTTTCATTATCAATTAGATTATCATCAAGACTATAAATTGATTCTAAGTCTTTGGCATTAACACTATAAATACTTTCATTATCAATTAGATTATCATCAAGACTACAAATTGATTCTAAGTCTTCATCATCTTCTAATTGAAATTGCTCAGTTAATTGTATTTTTTCTCTAGGTTGTTTTCCTAATTTGGGACACTTAGGTCTAATATGTCCTACTTTACCACAAAGATAACATTTACATGTACTTTTATTGGGTACTTTATATTTTCTAATCCATGGTGTATTTGTTCTTTTCCTAAGTTGTTTAGGGATATATTTTCTTCTCCTAAAAGTTTTTGAAGGTTGAATTCTAAAATCTTTATATTGTTGTTTATAAGGTCTATATTTTCTATAACTCTTTTTATATGACTTTTTCTGCTTAAATTTTCTATGACATCTGTGGTAACCAAATTAAGCCAAAACCCTAGGTCAAATAATTCATTCCATTTGGGGATTATTTGACCTAATTGGGAATTAATAAACCTAATTGGGAGTTACTCAATTTAATTGGGGGTTACCCAATTAAATTGAAGACTACCTAATTGGGTTGAGAATTGATTCCTAATTCCTACCCCGATTCTCAATTAAATGAGGAGTTACCTAATTGAAATAGGATTTGATTTGATACCTACCACAATTAGGGATTTGATTTACCCTAATAAATCAAATCCCTAATTAATCAAATCAATTCCATAAAGGGGAGGAATAATTCCATTCCATCTACGGAATTATTCCTCTGAAACCCTAGCCTCCAAGACCATTATAAAAGCATAGCCACACACAATGGTGAAGGTACGTCTAAATTCCTACTGAAACTCTGCAGAAATCATTTCTCACAAACCCTAGCCACCACTTTCTTTCTCTCCCTTACACAAGGCTCCGGCCACCACACACGGCTCCGGCCACCCGGTTTTCCTTGAAATACCTTACCTAACTTAGGCATCGGAGGGCCTTTGGCCAACACCCCCCGGGTGTGGTCCTTTTACTCCGATCTGTTTTGCAGAGAGAAAGAGAAGCGGAGAAGACGAAGGAATCTTTGACGAATATTCTCGTGGGGAAAATCATTCCCTCCAAATTGGTGCTTTCATTGAGAGCACGAGTTATACTCAACGCGTGCTCAAGGAATCCGTTCCTCCTATTTTCCAATCCACCGAAGCCTTCCAAACAACCATGGTTGGAAGCATGAAGACGAGAGGCAAAACCGCCGCGATGGCTAAATCCGCGACGGCCCAAAGCCACTCCGCCCACGATCCCGCGATCGACATGGTGGCCCCACCACCTCTCACCACCGCACCGGCCACCGCCGCCGAACATGGTGGAACCTCCTATCAAGGTGGGCTTGTTACCACCGCTGACTTAGGCCCGATCTTGGAGCAACTTCAAGCGATCCCTCCATTGCCTCCACGCTCGACACATGCTCCCGCGCACACCTCCAATGAAACCCTAGCCCGTGTGCAATTGGGCTCCACACACTTCTCTCCTCCTGATCCACGAAGTCAAGCAGACCTTAGTCTGAGAGTTGACCAGCTAGCTCAGAGAATGGACGACCAAAGCGATCTGATGAGGCAACTCCTCCACCAAATCAGCTTGGCTCAAAACCTTGGCCTTGGACAACTAGGCGAAGAGAGAAGGATGGACGAACGCACCGGCAGGCAACTCAACGGGTACCCAGCAGGTCAAGCAGGAGTAGGCAGACAAGGCGAGGGACAACAACTTGATCGGCCTACCGACATGTCACAAGCATCCGCGAGCCCCACTCGGAGCAGATTAAGTTCGAGGAACAACGTGCGCGAGAGGCTAGGCCCACGACTTGACGTCCACGCCCGCTTGGGACCGCAGGGAAATGTACTTCAAAGGCTACGCCCCCAGGGAGGACAATCAGACAACCATCGCAACGAGGATCGTGAAGAAAGACGCTCAGCTGTCCACTCGCAGACGAACATTCACGAGAGGCTACGTCCCCAGGGTGGTCAACCGGATAATCCTCACAATGAGGACCGCGAAGAAAGACGCTCTGCTGCTCACTCACGAAGAGACGGCTCTCGTCGACCAACTACGGAGAATCTCTCGCAAGCGCAGTCCACCAACACTCCGCCTAGGCAGCGCAGACGAGAAGGTCGACACTCGCAGACCCAGGAGGAGGTCAGTCAACGTCGCCCGAATCGCGATGGTCGCCAACGTGATCGACCAACAATGTGCATAGAGGACGTCGAGAAGCTTATGAATGACCGACTTCGAGATCTGAAGACTGGTGGGAACCTCGACGATGCACTACGCAAGGAGATCGACCAGGCAAACTCCACACCTTTCACTGCCGAAATCGAGCAGGCTGCTCCCCCGAAGCGATTCTCCACGCCTTCGTTTACACACTTCAAAGGGGACTCCGATCCCGAGAGTCACCTAAAACACTTCAAAAGTGTCATGATCCTCCACAAGGCCGACGACGCGTTGATGTGCAAGGTATTCGTAGTGACCTTGCGAGGAGCAGCCCAAGATTGGTTCCACACCCTGCCATCTGGGTCGATCAACAGCTTCAAGGAGTTGGCTTACGTCTTCACCAAAGAGTACACCTCTTACCGGACGATCAAGAAGAACCCTGACCACCTGTACAACCTGCGCAAGAAGTCCGACGAATCCCTTCGAGATTACATCAAGAGATTCAAAGCAGAAAAGGCCAACATTGTAGGATGTGACGACCGGATCGCATCATCTGCTTTCAAGAAAGGCCTCCCAGCTGAACACGACTTGTACCGCGAGCTGACTATCACTCCCAGCCAGACTCTGGCAGAGGTCTACGCGACCGCGGAACGCTACGCGCTTTGGGATGACGATCGAATCGCCGCAAAAAAGTCTACTAAGCAGGAAGATCAACCGAATAAGCGGGCAGGTCAAAGAAGCGATGGATTTAGCAACAAGAACAAGGATAGGCGCAGGTCACACCCACAAGGAGACGCTACAGCAGGAGAGAACTACACCAAGTTCACCATCCCCATACATCAAATCTTAGCCCAAGTGAAAAACAAACCTTGGGTAAGAAGACCGCCACCCTTGAAAGGAGATCCAGACAAGAGGGATACAAGCAAATACTGTGCCTTCCATGGGACACACGGGCACACTACCAATAACTGCCTCGCTTGGAAAGCACACCTTGAAGAACTCGTGAAAGAGGGTCACTGCACGGAGTTCATCGCGAAGCAGGCCATCCAGCGGATTGAAGATCGAGACACCGCCAAGGAACCGCCCCAGAAGGTCATAAGGATTAACACAATCCTGCAACTGGCTGTCATCCAGCAGATGGGCTTGGAGGCAAAGATCAACAAATCAGCCAGATCGCTGACCGGCTTCAATGGCGCAACAACGGTTACCGTGGGCACAATAGACCTTGACGTCTACTCCCCACCTGTAGTCTGCTTGCAAACGTTCATGGTCATTAATGAGGTCTCACCCTACAACGGCATTCTGGGCAGGCCATGGATCGGCATGATCAACGCCATCACCTCTGCCACACATCAGAAAATTCGGTACCCAATCCCTGGGGGCGGTGTTGGACAAATCAACAGCGATCAGGCAATGGCGAGGAAGTGCTCCGCCCAAGGGCTGAAGAAAAGCAAGCAAGCGCAGTTCCTCCCAGTAAGCCAGGCAGATCTGAAGGAGGTGGAACAATCGAACCATGCTATCTTATAGCAATCAAAGCGTCAGGACCAAGCCGAGGAAATCCGTCCAGAGGTCTTTCCTGAAGAAGGATGGAAGCCCGAGGAGGACATCGAGTTAATACCCTTTGATCCTGACCAGCCAGACAAAAAAGCGCGGATCGGCTCGCGCCTAAGCCCAGACGAGAAGGTGGAACTTACCACTTTCCTCCAGAACAACAAAGATATGTTCGCATGGTCGCCGTCAGACATGCCTGGTATCGACCCGAACATCATATGTCACCGACTCCACGTCAACCCTGCCTGCAAACCAGTGGCGCAGAAGAGGCGCAACTTCGCACCCGAGCGGGTTGCCATCATCGAAGCCGAGATTGATAAACTCCTAGCCGCCGGCTTCATTGAAGAGGTCTCCTACTCGGAGTGGCTCGCTAATGTTGTTCTAGTGGCAAAACAAGAGAAGGGAAAGTGGAGAGTCTGCGTCGATTACACCGACCTCAACAAAGCGTGCCCAAAAGACAACTTTCCATTGCCAAGAATCGACCAACTAGTGGATTCCACTTCTGGCAATCAGCTACTTAGCTTCATGGACGCCTACTTCGGCTACAACCAAATCTTGATGCACGAGGATGACAAGGCGAAAACTTCTTTCATCATCGAGAGAGGGACCTACTGCTACAAGGTCATGCCTTTTGGGCTGAAAAACGCCGGAGCAACCTACCAAAGACTGGTGAACAAAATCTTCAAGGAGCAGATCGGCAAAACTATGGAGGTGTACGTGGACGACATGCTGGTCAAGGCCCCAAAACGTGCAGATCACCTCAAAAACCTCGTTGAGGCATTCGGCCTGCTCCGCCAGTATCGCATGAAGTTGAACCCAAGTAAATGCACATTTGGTGTATCCTCCGGCCGATTCTTGGGATACTTTGTCACACAACGAGGTATCGAGGCACACCCACGTCAGATCAAAGCTATTCTCGAGATGAAGTCGCCTTCCACAGTGAAGGAAATACAAAGTCTGACGGGCAGAGCAACGGCCCTCAACTGGTTCCTCTCAAGATCAACCGACAAGTGCAAACCATTCTTCAAAGCTTTGAAGAAAGGACAAAGAGACAAATGGGATGAGGAGTGCGAAGTAGCTTTCCAGAGTCTGAAGGCTTATCTCACTTCACCTCCCCTGCTTTCAAAGCCAGTCCCTGGTGAGGACTTGTTCATGTACCTGGCAGTGTCCAACTCAGCTGTCAGCTCAGCTCTCATCAGAGAAGAGCTGGGGGCCCAACATCCGGTATTCTACACGTCAAAAGCTCTCCTCGATGCAGAGACTTGTTACCCAAAATTGGAGAAACTCATTTTGGCTCTTGTAGTTTCCGCGAGAAAGCTACGACCCTACTACCAAGCTCATCGAGTCATCGTCATGACCGACTTTCCTTTGAGATCAATCCTTCATAGCCCTGATGCTTCTCAGCGACTCATGAAGTGGGCTATAGAGCTAAGCCAATATGACCTCCTCTACCGGCCAAAAGCTGCAATAAAAGCCCAGGCTTTAGCTGACTTCGTAGCGGAGTTCACCCCATCGGCCGAAGAAGAGAAAATGGTCAACGAAAAGAAGGAAAGTTCAAAAGCAGACGGGACCCCCGCTGAACCTAGCCAACCTAGAGACACGTGGCAGTTGCGGGTAGACGGAGCGTCAAACCAGAAAGGAGCTGGAGCGGGTGTCGTCATCATCACCCCAGACGGAACCTTGTTGGAGCAAGCTATCACGCTTGGATTCCCGGCCTCGAACAACGAGGCAGAATACGAGGCATTGCTCGCCGGCCTGCGCTTGGCAAAGGAACTCGCAATCAAGAAGCTAGCCATTTACTCAGATTCCCAGCTGATCACGAATCAAGCGTCAGGTGAATACATGGCGAAGCACCCAAGGATGATCTTGTACCTTGACAAAGTCCAGGAGTTGTTGAAGGCGTTTCCTACCTTCACCATCCAACAAGTACCCCGGGCAGAGAACGCACATGCAGATGCGCTAGCCAGTCTAGGGTCAGCGTTGGATACCCAGTTCAGACGCTCCATCCCAGTCGAACACCTTGACCGGCCAAGCATTGAAGAGGTAGAGCCAATCGACACCATGCGAATTGACGAAGACCCCAGCTGGCAAGACCCCATCATTGACTACTTAGTGAATGGAAACCTACCCGCGGACAAGTCCGAGGCTAGAAAGGTCCAGCAGAAGGCCGCGAGATACTACATGCACGACAACAAGCTCATCCGCAGATCATACTCCGGCCCTCACCTTACCTGCATAAAATACCCTCAAACACTTGAGGTCCTCTGCAAAATTCACGACGGCGAGTGTGGCAACCACTCTGGGGGCAGGTCACTCGCCCAGAAGGCTCTAAACATAGGCTACTTCTGGCCTACCATGCGCCACGACTCCGCTGAATATGTCAAAAAGTGTGATCGTTGCCAACGATACAAGCCGATTCCTAATTGGCCTGCCGAAGTTTACCATCCGCAAAACAGTCCATGGCCATTCATGCAATGGGCCATCGACTTAGTGGGTCCCTTGCCACCGGCGCCCGCCAAGAAAGAAATGATGATCGTCGCCACCGACTACTTCACTAAATGGATCGAGGCCGAAGCTCTATCCTCTACTAAAGAAGCCGATGTGGAGCGATTCATCTGGAGAAACATCATATGCCGATTTGGCTGCCCACAATCGCTGGTCACTGATAATGGCTCACAGTTCATTGGCAAGCATATCACCGCCTTCTTTGCGAAATACAAGATCAAACAACACCTGTCAACTCCGAGGTATCCACAAGGAAATGGGCAGGCCGAGGCATCCAACAAAGTCATATTGGACTGCTTGAAGAAGAGGCTAGAAGGCGCCGAAGGAAAATGGGTGGATGAACTCCCCGGAGTACTATGGGCTTATCGCACCACCAAGCGAAGGTCAACTGGTGAAACCCCATTCTCCCTCGCCTATGGGACGGAAGCAATCATCCCTCCTCACATCACAGTCCCCTCTATAACCTCGAGGTGGGCAGTGTTGACCAGAACTCCAAGCAAATGAGGCTCAACCTTGACCTACTTGAGGGCGAACGTGAGAAGACCATTATCCGAGTCGCCTCCTACCAGCAGCAGTTGAAGTCTTACTACGACAAAAGAGCTAAGGTCAGACAGTTTCAACCAGGCGACCTCGTGCTAAGAAAGGCTTTCATCACCGCACCAAGACAAGGGTCGAAAAAGATGAATCCCAACTGGGAAGGCCCTTATGTGATCAGCCGGTCCGGGGGCAGAGGAAGCTACACATTGGACACCATGGATGGGAAGCAAATACCACGACAATGGAATGTTCACCATCTCCGAAAGTATTATCCATAACCTCATGACTACTAGAAGTTTCAAGTTTTGTACTCAGTTATTTTCATTTTCGAATAAAGGACTGTAATCTTATGAATATCAATATAAGTTCAGTTTCTCATTCCAAAATGTCTTATCTGCCTACAAAACACAAACAGTTGCCCATAAGCAGCGTCCTAAGGGAGACGCAGGGCGACGACCAAAGCGTCCTTCGGGAGACGCAGCCCGTAAAAAGCGTCCTAAGGGAGACGCAGGGTGCGCCAGGAATTTCTTAAAAGGAGGTCTCCATGCCTTCTGCGGGAAGTATCCAGGTTCCTATCCGTTTCCTAAGGGAGGCAGGATAGACACGCAGTTGCCCATAAGCAGCGTCCTAAGGGAGACGCAGGGCGACGACCAAAGCGTCCTTCGGGAGACGCAGCCCGTAAAAAGCGTCCTAAGGGAGACGCAGGGTGCGCCAGGAATTTCTTAAAAGGAGGTCTCCATGCCTTCTGCGGGAAGTATCCAGGTTCCTATCCGTTTCCTAAGGGAGGCAGGATAGACACACAGTTGCCCATAAGCAGCGTCCTTCGGGAGACGCAGGGCGACGACCAGGGCATCCTAAGGGATGTCCAGAATACGCCCGGAGCCTCTTAAGGGGGGCCCTGGCACTCGCCAACTTCCTAAGGGAAACCATCCTAAGGGATGTGCAGGACACGCCCGGAGCCTCTTAAGGGGGGGCCCAGGCACTTGCCAATTTCCTAAGGGAAACCATCCTAAGGGATGTGCAGGACACGCCCGGAGCCTCTTAAGGGGGGCCCAGGCACTTGCCAACTTCCTAAGGGAAACCATCCTAAGGGATGTGCAGGACACGCCCGGAGTCCCTCAAGGGGGACCTTGGCACTCGCCAACTTCCTAAGGGAAACCATCCTAAGGGATGTGCAGGACACGCCCGGAGCCTCTTAAGGGGGGCCCAGGCACTTGCCAACTTCCTAAGGGAAACCATCCTAAGGGATGTGCAGGACACGCCCGGAGTCCCTCAAGGGGGACCCTGGCACTCGCCAACTTCCTAAGGGAAACCATCCTAAGGGATGTGCAGGACACGCCCGGAGCCTCTTAAAGGAGGCCCTGGCACTCGCCACTTCCTAAGGGAAACCATCCTAAGGGATGTGCAGGACACGCCCGGAGTCCCTCAAGGGGGACCCTGGCACTCGCCAACTTTCTAAGGGAAACCACCTAAGGGATGTGCAGAACAAGCCCGGAGCCTCTTAAGGGGGGCCCTGGCACTCGCTAACTTCCTAAGTGAAACCATCCTAAGGGATGTGCAGAACACGCCGGGAGTCCCTCAAGAGGGATCCTGGCACTCGCCAACTTCCTAAGGGAAACCATCATGAGGGATGTACAAAAACGCCCGGAGTCCCTCAAGGGGGACCCTGGCACTCACCAACCTTCCTACTATCTACACAAGCAAAATGTTTAACCCTGGCGGATGATGATGAAACAGCTCTCACTTGAGTCTTCTCAGCCTAAGGGATCCTTGGCTTCTTCCTCAACGGGGACACATCTTTCGCCAGCGAATTCGCAGCTTCATTTCTTGAAGACTTGACGTCAACCTCCTTTTTTGAAGGGGAGTCCGGCAGAACACTCCTCTTGCCCAGCCAGCAGATCATCCAAGTCTGGACCATTATGCTTCCATCTCTCAATATCCTGGGCAAGGGGCAGACCACCAACTTCCTCTGGATACCCACTTAGCTGACGAGGCCTGCAACGCACGAGGCCCAACATGCTTCAGCCCAGGCCTGCGATGATAGGCAGCAGCTGGTCCATCTGCGCAAACATGCCCCACCACAGTTGCCGCCTACTGCCAACCGTCACATGTCACGATGACAACTAGCCGGACTTCTCCCAGCTAACCTTCGCAAAAAATAAGAAAAGACGAAGAAAAAGAAATATACGTGCTCGACTTACTTTGGGATGCACGACGACTCCTCTCTTCGACAAGCAGTACAAATTCTCCAAGATCTCTCTCAAGCTAGAAAGTAGAGAAGTTAAGTTTGCGATGTGAAGAAGAGTGAAGAGAAGCCATGCATTTACACATGTTGGGCATCCTAGGTCAAGAAGGAATCGCAAGCCTATTCCTATTGGGAACCCAACTCCAAGAACAGTCAAAGGCTCACTCCAATTGGGAACCCAATCTGCAAAAGGAGTCCAAATCCAAGAAGGAAGCCCAGTTACAGCTGGACAGCCCAACAGATAATTCACATCTCCTACATGCCACCACGCGCCATGCAGAAGCTGGGGGGCATTTGTGGTAACCAAATTAAGCCAAAACCCTAGGTCAAATAATTCATTCCATTTGGGGATTATTTGACCTAATTGGGAATTAATAAACCTAATTGGGAGTTACTCAATTTAATTGGGGGTTACCCAATTAAATTGAAGACTACCTAATTGGGTTGAGAATTGATTCCTAATTCCTACCCCGATTCTCAATTAAATGAGGAGTTACCTAATTGAAATAGGATTTGATTTGATACCTACCACAATTAGGGATTTGATTTACCCTAATAAATCAAATCCCTAATTAATCAAATCAATTCCATAAAGGGGAGGAATAATTCCATTCCATCTACGGAATTATTCCTCTGAAACCCTAGCCTCCAAGACCATTATAAAAGCATAGCCACACACAATGGTGAAGGTACGTCTAAATTCCTACTGAAACTCTGCAGAAATCATTTCTCACAAACCCTAGCCACCACTTTCTTTCTCTCCCTTACACAAGGCTTCGGCCACCACACACGGCTCCGGCCACCCGGTTTTCCTTGAAATACCTTACCTAACTTAGGCATCGGAGGGCCTTTGGCCAACACCCCCCGGGTGTGGTCCTTTTACTCCGATCTGTTTTGCAGAGAGAAAGAGAAGCGGAGAAGACGAAGGAATCTTTGACGAATATTCTCGTGGGGAAAATCATTCCCTCCAACATCCATATTGTTTAGGTAAATCTATATTTTTACAACTCATGTAAAACTGTTTTCCAATTTGTCTTTTTGCTTTTATTTGACTACATTCTAATCGAAATATATCATATATATGTTGTATTCTTGCTCCTATGGATACATCTAGTTTCCTAGGGTGTTTTTGCCATTCATTCCAAATTCTTTCTCCTATTGGTCCTTTAATTTTTGTCATATAAGTATCTAACAAATTAAGATAATCAATTCTACCTGTTCTACCTAAATACTTAAAAAAGTCTGAAGCATATTCACTAATATATTGCAAATAACAAATTTGTAGTTGTTCTAAATTTCTTATGGCTCTAATTTGTTCTTGTTCATTTCTACCATCTAATCTGTTTATGATCTAAAAATTCATATTTAATTAATTTAACAAAAGCATCTATGTTAAACATTTCTTTTGCTGCTTGATGTTCTCTTGGATTTTTAGCTTTCCATGCTTGGAAGTAATCAAAAACCATTCCATCTAAAGTATGTACAAAGTAATCTAACATATCTTTATTATTACTAAAATTTGACATTAATGTTGTATGTATAGATCCTTTTTCCCATCTTTCTATTGTTTTTTCCCAATCTTGTGGGTCTACATGATCTAAGTTTAATATATTTCATGCGAAACTAATTTGTTCAATTCCTTTATAAGGGTGTAGAGGCCCAAACAATTAAGGGAAGCCCAACCCAATCTTATTCCAGGCCCGATGCTTTGGCTTACTGTAGAGAAGCCTACCTGAAACAAACATGCCATGCTAAAAGATACTATAATTTGGCACGTAGGAGGTCACAGTAAACATATGAAATTCACCTTGTTACTCATATCCCAAGCCCATTTAACTCATTGCTCAGTCAAGCATATTTAAACAGGTCGAAGCCATTACAACATAACAAGCCCATGCACGAGCACGCAACTAACACACATAAAACAAGCAACTCTCTCTCACTGTTGAATCACCCACAAGCTTAAGTGGGCCCAAGCCACATTCGTGCTCGGGGCTTGCTGAGTGGGTTGTGGTATAGATGGTTACAAGGATTCATGAGGCCCATAAAAGGTTCAAGAAATGGAGGTTTTGGTGTGCCAAAATCCAAGCCCATTTCTACTGAGCCCATTATGGGTAAGCAGAGAGAGTCTCCCTCAGCATTTATTACCCAAATCGCTCAACATTTATTATCCAACTCCCAGTTTCTTCTTTGAGCACTGAACCATTTTAGCAGTTGTAAAACCAAGCTTCAACACCTATTACCCAATTTCCAATTTTTAACCTTACAGCACCAAGACCGCTGGGTTTAGCGGCGACTACTTGCCAACCCCCAGCTGCCCAACACTAAAATCTCAGTCATAAACTGATTTACTGCATCACCAACTGAAAGCCGTTCATTATTACGTACTTAAGCTTCAGCTGCTATAAAAGGAAGCAATGGCTTACCCAGAAGGAGACAACAAGAACAAACAAAAACCACCAGCTAGAGCAAGCCATAATCTCACTGCTGGAAACATTCGAGCTAAATCTCACTGCCGGAAACACTCGAGCTTAACCCCGGATGCCATCTCTCCCCTTGTTTCCAGAAACCCTCATCTTCTTCTCCCAAAAGCCACTTTTCTCCTGTTTCTAGAAACCATCACCTATCTTCTTTTTCCAGAAATCAGAAGCCATTCTAAGCTCTAAAATAGCCTTAATCCAAAACCTTGTTTCAACTCAAGAAGATGCTCTTGCTAAACTTGTGGAGACTTAGCTCCCACACCACAAGCCACTCACGCCAAGCTAAAATCTCAGTTCAAAACAATCATTATCAATTTGGTGAGAAGAAACCAAAGAATTCCCTAAGTACATTCTTTCGAAGTATTTTTGGGCCTAATTCTTGAACTCAAAAGGGGGTACTTTCTCCTTACAGTGATCCAAGCCCATAAATAATTGCTGAAACAAAATAAGCCCCCACAAAGGGATTCTATTTTTCTTATTCCAAATGTTTCTTGTTGAAAGCACTCCCACTCCTAAAAGTTCCTTCATTATTTTCTTTGTATGGTTCATTAGTTTGCCTAAGATTTTGTTGGTCTGTTCTACTTGCAGGAGCTATAGATGGTCCAGTTGAACTATATGGATCTTCTATTGGCACGCACTAATTCTACTTCAATTAACATATTTTGATATTCTTTTTCTCCTAAAATATGTTCTAATCCTATATTTAAAATTAAATCTTTCATTTCTTTATCTGATAATCTATGTAATCCTAAATCATAAGTCTTATATTTTTCTATATATTCTTCTTCATCTAAATTATCTATGTCATCTATGAGTTTATCAACTATATTTTCAAAATTATGCTCAATCATATTTATTTTTAAATTATCAAATGCACTATGCCAAAAATTGGCTTTAGCAACACTACATTGGCATCAGTAAAATTGAAAATCGAGGCTTTAAGTACATTAGGCATCCCTTTTATAAATTAAGATGCTAAAAGGTAAAAAGACATCAGCACAAATATTTTGTTTTCGTTAGCGATGCCTTGATGCCAATTTAGCATCTTCTGTTCTAACGACTGATGCCTAAAGTGTTTCTTTTTTTTCTTTTTCTTTTTTGTAAAGTGGGGGCTTTTTTTTGGGAAGCACTGATGCTGAAAGTATAGTCAACGCTCCAGCAAAAAAATTTCACGCTTCTTCTCCTTTTTTCAGACTCCCTTGCAACCTGGCTCCTCTCCCTCGCATTTTTTTCAATCCCTCCCAAACTCGCTCGCCATTTTTCGACTTCTATCTCTTGAAAAAAATAAAACTCACAATTTTTTTGGATCTCCTCCATCTCCTTCTTCTCTTTCCTCCATCTAGACACTCGAAGTTTGGCCACAACAAAAATAACCTAAGGCCTTCAAAGAAAGGGAGAGCCATAGGTATCCTCCTCCTCATCCAGAGAGCCATGAAAGTCCCTTCGTTAGGGTTTTAACCTTCGGCATTAGCGTCGTCATGTGAGATTATTTAAGTTAGGGTTTCAATGTTTTTGGAAATTTCAGTTAGGGAGTTCCATTTACTATTATCAAATGTATTTATTCTATTTTTTATTTTATGAGGATTATTTCCTAAGGTTAAATATTCTAATTTATCAATTAATTCTTTAGGTAGTGTAGAAGTAGTATTGTGCACTAGTTGATTAATTTCTATTATTTGTTCTTCTAATTGATCTACTTTTTCAGCTAAATTTAAAATTAATTGGATAATTAAATTATTTTTTCTAATAGGGACATTACAACTTACTACAGTTGTTGTACATTTTGTAAGACCTACTGGTCCCTTATCTAGTTGACCAACTTCTTCTAATGCTTTGATATATTTATTATTAATTTTAGAATATATAATTAAACTAAAAGTCTATCTATTTTATTATGTAACCTTTCTACTTATTCAGTTAAAGTTTTTTGTACTAATTGTATTTTTTGCACTTCTATTTTTAATTACTCAATAATTTCTAATGATTGGAGTTTTATTTGTTTTGGCTTGCTATTTATAAGATCTATGAGGTCTTTGATTTCTTTCTTACTATGAAATCTTTGGATATTCCTATTATTATCTTCTAATTTCGATGTTATATAGTTTAAGTTTTGTCTAATTGTTTTTAAGGAATTTTTCTGAAAATATTCTAGTAATTGTTGAATTATCCTATTATTTTTGTTATGTTCAAATTTTTCACTTTCTGCTTGACTAATTAGAAGGTCAATAATACTATTTTCTATGGGATTATTACTGCTATGTAAAAGATGTTTGTGTTTTTTTGTGGAAAATAACAAACTAATGTATTATTATCTAAAGTTAAGTTTTTCTTTTGTTGTTCACTAATTACTAAATTAAGGTACTCTATCATATAATTAAATTTATCTAAGTCTACCTTTTTCTTTTAAGATGCCTAAATTCTCTTGAAATGCTTCTATGGATTCTTTACAAACTTGTAAATTATACTGATTTCTTGTTATGCTATTCTGTACTTCTAATTTTCTTTAAGGATAATTACCTACTTCTAGTGATTTTATCAATTCTTCTAGATTTCTAATTTCTATTTGGTATTCTACTTTCTGTGTCTTTAATTCTTGTAACCTTTCTTTTATTCTAATAGGTGTCCACCAAGGGCCAAACATGCAAAGGGTTTACTGTTCTTAACTAGTGATTCTTATAAAAAGTTGATTAACTTCTGTCCTCAAGGTACTTTATTGGTATAATTATATTATTAAGGTGCTAAACTAAAGCTCTAATACCATTATTTTTAAGTGGGACTCGGCCAAGGTTTCTAAAAGCCAGAATAACAACTAGACACCATGCCTAGAACATGGAACTGCAAAGACGCCAACTTAAAGCACTATGGAGTAGAACCCAGAGGTCCTCTGAACTCAGAGGTTCCTTGACAGACATCTAATTATTGTTATGGCAAATATAAAACTTGACCAAGTGCTCAGACAAAGGCTAAGGATACTAATTATAAAAGTGTTTCCTTGTTTTGGACAAGAAGTCTACTAAGAAAACCAAAAATAAAAAATAAAAAAAACTTACTTAATCGCTTTTGTTGGAATTGCTTTGCACTGGATATTAATGTAATAACCCAAACCTAAAATTAATATTTAATTATTAATTTATTGGAGGAAAAGACAAAAATGCCCTTAGAGTTTTTATTAGGTCAAATGTTGACCTTTCGACCAAGAAGGAAATTGGAGATTTCAATTACACCGTTGCGTAGAGCGCGACGAAATGAGTTCGTAGACATGTATTAGGCTCGAATCGGAATTATAACGAAGAAAATACGGTCAAAATACGCTCAAGGGCAAAAAGGTAATTTTGGAAAGTCAGATTTTTAAAACCCTCAGTTTTTCTCTCTCTTGAGGGGGCACCCCGAGCCCCCCCCCGATACTTCTCTCCAGCCGGTGGCTTCTCCAAGCCACCGCCGCCGCCACACCCCACCTCCGCCCTTGGGACCGGATCGAAAAGAACCGGGAAGCGTCCCTCTTCCCTTCCCGGCCAAGCCCAGCCGTCGAAACCGCCGGAATCCGCCGGATTTTGCAGAAACCCGATCGGTTTCTGGAGAAAATTTCAGGAACTCGTTCTCCGTCATCCGGCCACCATTTCCAATGAGTGAGGTATGGTTTCTCACCTATTTCTCGAGCTACTATTCCGGCCATTTCCGGCCACTTTTTGGGGTAGGTCCAAGAACAAAAGTGGCTCCAAATGGGGTGTTGTACCTAGGATAGGAGTCTTGAGCCTAGATGTTGAGCTTTTCCGGCGATGCGTTATTGCTTTAGGCACCACGCGCTGCCAGCGCGTGGCCAGCAGGGTGGGGACCACAGTCAGTCCTAGAATGATCTCCTAGTCCTCACGAGCGCGTAGGATTTCGCGGATCTTAATTCGGATATCGTTTGAACCCCGAATGGGTCTCGCCTACTGTGCGATTTCCGGGTTCAATACGTTTGAACCGTTAGATCGTAGTTAATTCCAAGTATGTTAATCTAGACTTTCCCAGGATCGTATAGTATTTGACGGATCATGAAACGGAGTCTCGGATACTCTAGGAATGTCAACCCTAGAGTGAGGTTTACAGATAATTAAACCAGTTACAAAATAACAAACCAGTTGCAGGTCAAGAACAGAGGAAAGAACTACGTGTGGCTTGATCCCTCAGTAAGGGTACGTAGGCAGCCTATAGTTGTTGGGCGCAACCACGAGTTAGGGTCTCAGGGTTTATGTTACTGTTTTCAGGGTATTTTGGTCATTTACGACCCACAGTTACCAGGTGTCAGTTTTAAACAGGATTCGGCCCGGATTTCAAAGTGGAAATTGGGTCGGGTCGTTTCAATTAATCAGTGGTTGGTGGTATTTAACAGTGTATGAAGTAGATAGAGTATATGGAGAATAATAGAAAGTATATGAACAAATGGAGTTTTATTGATTGAAAACTGAAGGAGGAAGTACTAAGATTTTTTCCTTTCTGGTGTTGTACTTCTCTTCTTTGAAGCTACAAGCTATATACATTACTTCACCGACTCCATTCTTTTTGGTACGGATGAGAAAGAGGAGCCTCCTTCCCACTATCTTTTTCTCTCCATCTCTCTATATCTCTCTATATGAACCCTCCACGCATATTTCATATGTACTTCACAAGCTTTCTTACACTTATACAGACATAGATACCAGTGTTTTCAAGGGCACGCCTTCGCGCGCGTCGGAGCGCGCATCGGTGAGAGGCGGGAGGAAAACGCCCGAGGGGTCCGGTTGTTTCGCCAGTTGCACGTTTAGCGCTGGTAAGGCGTGAGAAGGCGTTGCAAGGCGTGGCCAGGCGGAGCAAAGCGTTGCAAGGCGTACCAGATCTGGAAACTTCTGAATCGAAAGAAATTGAAAGTCTGCAAATTTTCTGCAAGGCAGACGAACTCGCGAGGAAGACGACTCGATTTTTTTTTTAGGTTTGCAATGAAACGACGTCGTTTTGGTTGCAGTGTTTTAAAAACAATCTTATAGTGAAACGACGTCGTTTCACTTGGAGTGTATTTAAAAAAAAACCGCAAGTTTCAGGTTTTTTTTTCCTTACCTCTATTGCAATAGGCAAGAATTAATATCTTTCTTTTAATTAATATCTTTCTTTTTCTTTCCTAACTCCAACCGGCTGTAGCTTTTGTACTTACCTTTTTTCTTTTTTTTCTTTCTCTAAATTAATATATTAACACATGGACTATATATATATATTGTATAGTACGTGTACAACCCTAATTTCTACCCTTACTAGATATCTCCATCAATTTCAAGAATTCTCTTCATCTTTCGACTGCAAGTAAGTCTTTTTTCTTTTCTTTTTTTTCTTTTTTTTTGACGTACAGGCATCATACTTGTATAATTTGACTGTAATAAATTATAATTTGAAGTTTCGTATAATTTTTTTTCATTTTTTTAAAAAATATACTAGTTATCTTATTCGTTTATGTGATATAGTAGAAATTTGACGTACATGCATCACACTTGTATCTTAGAAATATTAATGGTATTGTTTTATAGATATGAATCGAAAAGATCCTACGTGGAAGTATGCAAAAGAAATAGAGGGGGAAAAATACTTGAGATGCGCATTTTGTGATCAAAGATGCAGTGGAGGAATTTCTAGACTTAAGCATCATTTAGGTCAAACTCATCACGGTATGCAACCATGTAAGAAAGTTCCTGAGCATGTGAAAAAAGAGTGTGCCGCAACTTTGAAAAATCTTCAGCTTGAAAAAAGAAAGAAAAATGAAATGCTTAGAGAGATTGGGGATGGTCCAGGAGGAGGGGCTCTGAGTATGGAAACTTCATTGGATGAAGAATATGGAATCCCTGGTACTAGGAGTGCTGCAGTTGATGAGGCTCTTAGAGCACAACCTAAATCAAAAGGACCAATGGATAGATTTGTCACTTTAGAAGCTCGGCAAAGTACATTAAATTCAGCATACAAACAAGAAGAAAGAAAGGAAGTTTGTCGAAAGATTGGTCATTTTTTCTTCTCTAGAGCACTCCCATTTAATATTGTAAATGATCCATTTTGGCTACCTATGGTGGAAGGGATTGCCGCATATGGTGTAGGATTTAAGCCTCCATCAATGCATGAGCTCAGGACTTGGATCCTTAAGGAAGAAGTTGGCGACATTAATACGATGATGGAAGAACATAAGAAAGCTTGGGCAGAGTATGGATGTACTATTATGTTTGATGGTTGGACTGATGGTAAAAATAGAGTACTAATAAACTTTCTTGTGAATAGCCCAGCAGGTACTTGGTTTTTGAAATCTATTGATGCATCTGATTCCATAAAAAATGGAACGTTATTGTTCAAATATTTAGATGATGTTGTCAAAGAAGTTGGAGAGAAGCATGTCATTCAAGTAATAACAGATAATGCTTCCAATTATAAGAATGCTGGAGTGAAACTTATGGAGAAGAGGAAGAAGTTATGGTAGACTCCATGTGCTGCCCACTGCATTGATTTGATGTTAGAAGATATTAGTAAAATGAAAGTTTTTAAAGATACAATTAGACTAGCCAAGCAAGTAGTGAAGTTTATTCTCAAGAATTATATGATGTTGATGTCATCAGAAATATGCCCATTGAACCTTATGAAACTGATCTACATACTCGAGTGCCTATTTCTGTGGAGCCTATTGGTGATCCTAGGACTCAAGAGCAAGGGAATATTCATGTTAGGACTCAAGAGCCTATTGTTCATTCTAGAACTCAAGATCCTATTATTGATGATGATCTTATTCTTGACGATGATGTTCTTCTTTCCTCGTTAGCTTCAAAAAAGAGAAAAGATGGTGAAACCTCAAGTAAGTATGGAAAGTAAATCATGGAGTGAAAGTTACAATTAGTGTTTAATTCATTACCACTAAATTTTATAATTTTAATTCATTGTTCATATGTACAGGTAAGAGGAAAGTCAAAAGCAAGTCCATAAGAGCGATGCTTATGGATGAAGATGATGAGATAGATAAAGATCCTTCAACATTTGATAGTGGGAAATATCCTTTTCATATTGATGCAGTTGATCAATATGATAGTGATGCTAGTTTGAATGATATTAGTGTTGAGGAGTGGGATGAGTGAATTATGTTTTTGTTTTGATGTTGAATAAATATTTTATGTTTTGGGATTGATTATTATGTTTTGAATGACAATTGGTACTTATATTTGATTATATTTAAAAGATTATTATGGTTGAATAAGAATTAGTTGTACAATTTAATCATATTGTATTATTCATAATTTTTTCTTATTAAAATAGCTTAATGTTCAAAAGGCTTACGCCTCGCCTATACGCCTCGCCTTTGAAAACATTGATAGATACAAGGAATTCGCATGCACTAAAATAAGCCAAATTACACCCCTTAGAGTTCACATTTTGTTGTGCTTTGTTTTTCTAAAAGTTGCTCACAAACAAAATGGCTGAAAGATACTGATGGCTCTGTTTTCTAATAGCTCTGTCTGGTTTGGTGAGTCTTTGCATGTCTATGGTGTTAAAGGTGAGGGGTTTTCCTGTCCTTTTGTGAAAAGGTTTTGGCTTTTAACTAAAGTCTATTTTTTCTTGTAGCTAAAACTGAAATTTCATTAAATTAAAGTAGTCACGTCTAGTATTTTGAGTTAATTCGCAAAGAGAAATGCTAGCCATAGTCTCCTTAGGCGACTTTAGCTTGGCAGAAAAAAAACAAAGAACAGCACCGCATCCCTTGTTCTCTCCCCCACCCCCCTTCTGCCTCTTTCTCCATCTTTGTTTTTCTTATCTCCTTCTGTTTTTACTCTACTTTTTTTGTTTTTCTTTCCTCCTCCTCCTCTTTCTTCTTTCATTTCCTTCACCTTTTCGGGTTGTTGCTCTCTTTTTGGTGAACCAGTCGTGTGCTTTTTTCTTTTCTTTCGTTTTATCTTTTGCCTTTGGTCCCTCCCCATTTCCTCCATCTTTCCCATTTTATTTCCTTTTCTTTCTCTTCCACATTTAGGTTACTGCTTTGCAGAGCCGTTTTCTCTCTTTTTTTCCCTCTTAACTTGGTTTTTTTTTGGGTAAACGGCTGAAACCCCCCTGAACTATAACGTTTTTCGAAATGTCCACCCTAATTTATTTTTTCAGCCAATTTAACCATCAAACTATTTTAAATGACCAATTTAGCCCTTGCCGTCAAGTTTTTGGACTTCCATCCAACTTTCTGTTAATTATAAGGGTAAGTTTGTCATTTTACAAGGATAATATCAACAAATAATAAAGGAAATATTAAATCATGATTCTTCTTCTTCTCTTTTTTTTTTTTTTTTTTTTTTTTTTTTTTTTTTTCCTTTTCTTTTCCTTCTTCTTCTTCCTCCCTCTCTTGGACACAAACCCTCATAAACAAAATAAAAAATTCCAAGATCTGCAATCCTGCCACCAAATTCTGAGATAAACTCCAAATAGCTATATGATTTTATATGTTTGCATATAGTAAACAATTTTTATTACATATTTGCTCCTAGATCAAGTAATGAGCATGCCAACAGACCAATATTTACAGGCGAAAGTAAATCTCTTAATTACTCTTGGGAGAAGGAATGCCTTATGTGGCCAATCATGTCATGAATATATGTAGCTTTCATAATGTGGAATAATGGATGGAGTACAAATCGTCCATTTCAGATTGTTTATGAGCTTGATCCAAGCAATAAGTGCAATGAGTAGCGCTCCCATAATCCAAGCAATAAGTGCTATTTGCACTTTAAGGGCATACCAAACTCCATAGGTGCCACCAAGGGAAACCGACAGGAGAGACATCTGTGGAGTCAAAAATGGACCTTATGGAAGCCCAAGCCCAAGCTGTCAGCGTGGATGCGTTAAGGGACTAGCCTTGCAGGGTCGCCCTTACTTGCCCTCAATTTTAATGATTATTATCTGTTGGAACGTTAGAGGTGCTGCTTGCACCAAATTCAGACCTACCGTGATGGAGTTGATCCGCAATCACCATGTTGACATCCTTGTCCTCTGTGAACCTCGAATTAGCGGAAAGAAAGCTGCCGACACAATGAAGTCGCTTGGGTTCCCTTGCTATGAAATTGTCGACTCTATTAGTTTTTCTGGAGGTCTTTGGCTCTTATGGAAGGACACGAATGTTAATATTGAGATCATTGGCACCACTGACCAATCTATTACAACTTGTGTGACTAGTCCTGGGAAGAGTCCTTGGCTTCTCACTACTATATATGTAAGCCCTTGTGGTCCTAAACAAGAAAAATTATGGGAGTATCTTGATTTGTCAGTAGCTGCTATCAACTGCCATGGGTTCTTGCTAGAGACTTTAATGAAATGTTGCATGTTGAGGATAAACTGGGAGGTGCTCTGAGCAACAGACTCAAAAGGGTTCAGGAAGTGGGTTGATAATAATGCTATGGTTGACCTCGGCTTTTATGGTCCTAAATACACTTCGACAAACAAGCTGGTATTTGAAAGACTTGACAGAGCTATCTGTAATTTGGTGTGGAGAAGCTTATTTGCGGAGGCCTTTGTTAAACACCTACCTCGGACTAAGTCTGATCATAACCCTATCAAGCTTTGCTTAAAATCTGGATTTACTACTTCTCTAAGTAATAGGCCTTTTCGCTTTGAGGCTATGTGACTTAAGCATGAGGGGTTCAATGATACGGGTTGGTGGAACCCCTTAAACATTGGAACTTCCAGATCTTTGGCCATCTAAAGCAACGGAAAGCGAGACTCCTAGCTAGAATCAATGGCATCCAAAGGGTTCTATGCTCGGGTTCAAACATATTTCTACAGTAGCTGGAAAGCTCTCTGTGTTTTGGCGCCAAAAATCCAGAATCCAATGGCTACAAAATGGGGATAGAAACACCAAATTCTTCCACATGACTACGGTTATAAGGAGGAGAAAAAACAGAATTGAAAGGCTGAAAAATGAAAATGGTTATTGGTTGAAAATGCTGTTAATATCAAGGCTTTGGCTGCTCGATATTTCTCCAATTTGTTCACCCATATTCAAGATGTGCAATGTGAACTGCAAATTCCTAATCTTTTTCTTAATATTACTAGTGTGGAGCTTGACCTCTTGTCTCCCACTTCTTCTTTGCTGATGACTTGATCTTATTTACTGAAGCAAGCACCCAACAAGCTCGAGTGATGAAAGATTGCCTAGAGAAATTCTGCAGAGCTTCTGGCCAAACTATTAACTTTGAAAAGTCTGCAATCTATTGTTCTCCCAACACCGGTAATGCCTTGGCTACATAAATAAGTTGTATGTGTGGGTCCCCACTTACTGAAAACCTTGGTCAATACCTAGGGATGCCTCTGCTCCTCTCAAGAGTCTCATGCAACACTCATAGAAAACTGGTGGATAAGGTCTATCAAAGATTGGCCTCTTGGAAGAGAAACCTTCTGTCTATGGCAGGAAGAGGAAGAGCTACTCTAATTCAAGCTGTAACTGCTGCAATCCATGTGTACGCTATGCAAACAGCTAAACTCCATATGTCTACCTGTAAAGATCTGGACTGTGTAAATTGAAATTTCTTTTGGGGAGGAAGTGCAAATAAACAGGAAGTGCACCTGTGCCAATGGGATTTGATATGTAGACCCAACTCGAAAGGTGGCTTAGGATTCACAAAAACCTACGACATGAACCAGGCGTAATTGGATGGTGTCTTCATTGTAAGGATGAGGGCTTATGGGCAAAATTTTTGAAACCAAATATTTAAAGGGGAGGACCATGTTTAACCTTCCTTGAACAAAAAACAAGGCTGCTCCACCACTTAGAAAGGGGTTCTACAAGGTGCTGATCTCCTTGGTAAAGGAATGCAATGGCGAATTGGTAAGGGGGATACTGTTCGTTTCTAGAAGGACCACTGGATTTCTGCTGGGCCTTTGTTGAATCATACAGAAGGGGATAATTTTCTGCACAAATAAACTAAACTTCTGCAACTGAAGATGTTAGTATAAAGCTCACATCAGCCATCTTGAAGAAGACATACCGGAATTTCATCGCATGTGGAAATTTGATGGAAAATGACCTGTGAATTTGAACTGTGCCAAAGGACCATCCCCTTCCATTTTAGTTTCTGGTGACTTTGTTCCAACTAGTGACCATGACGAGCTGAAATTCACTGAAGTGCCTTTCCACAGTGACCACACACTAACATAGTGCAAATTCCAGATAAAATGAAGCTCTTACCATATGGTGCATCATGTTTAAGTCGGCAAACTGACTACTTATTACTCCTTTGAGGAAACAAACTATAATGGTGCATGCTCAAATACAACTTCACAATGCATGCGGTATGGAAGGAAAGTAATATTAACAGAAAGAAAACCAGGACTAGGAGTAAAATCAATAGAAACGAGTAAGCTGACATCTGTAATAAAAAATGAACATGTAAGATTTTAAGATTGTTCATGTGAGTTTCTGTTTAAGTACTTCTTTGATACATTAAAAGAATGGGAAATGCTTGATCCAAAAAATTCTGTTTCTATGCACAAATATTCTCTCGTATTACAAAAGGAGAAAATAGTACATTTCCACTCTGAAACATGGAAAGAGAAGCCATAATATAGATAAATATAAAAGCAAATGAACTACCTGCTAGTTTTGCAATTTAATCCCCATATTGACATAGGCCTATGAAACCACATACTGCTGCAAATGTTTAGTTCTTTTCTTGTTCTTCAGCTTACGGAAAGCACATGACTCTATTTGTCTAATTCTCTCTCTACTAACTCCCATCAGCTCCCCTATCTCTTGCAATGTCTTCATTCTTCCATCCTCCAATCCAAACCTCCATCTGACAACCTGTTTCTCTCTTGCATTGAGACTATCTAGTACCTTCTCCAAGTCCTGTTTCATGAATTTTTTCATCAGCATATCTTCTGCTGTTTCTGCATCGGGATCTGCGATTACTTCCTGTGCAGAAAGACGTGACCTCGTCAGAAAAGGAATACTTAAAACACAAAAGGTGACAAAATGTTGGATGAAAATTGCCACTTCATTGGAAGTAGAGAAAGGACAGACCGAAGGTTTAAGATTCTGGTTTATGCCAATTTTCTGCTCCAGAGATCTAGGGGCTTTTGGAGTCAGTAATACAGCAGCAAGCCTCTTCATTGACAGCCCTGTGGCCTCTGCAACTTCTTCATCATTAGGATGTCTTCCATTTACACTATACAATTGCTTTTTAGCCTCTCTAACTCTATAAGTCGCCTCCACCATGTGAAACTGTTTTACCAAAATATTGCAAATGCAAAGAGTAAAAAATATGAAGCACTAAGATATACAAATTCAGCAGGAATGTGAATCAGAACAATGACCTCTCCACCTCAGAATCAATTTGATAGTGTATATTCAAGTGTGGTGAAAGAAAGAAAGAAAAACAATTGAATTCTACCCTGTGTTGGTCAACTGAAGTGAGGTCCCAAAAGGGAGAATCCTTTATGTCCTAGGCGTAAGCAGTTTTTCAAACTAGCCAGTCTCAACAATTGAATCCAAAATTCACGTTACCATTGTACCAAATAGGAACCACTGGAAAAATAAAATGAACATGAAGGTAAAACTCACAGGTAAGCGAATTGTTCTGGACTGATCAGAAAGAGACTTTCGAACAGCCTGTTTAATCCACCAGTGTGCGTAGGTTGAGAACTTAAAACCCTTCGAAGCATCAAATTTCTCTGCACCTCTTACAAGGCCTCGACATCCTTGCTAAAAGTCAATAAGCAAGATTTAGGTATTATTCAAAGGTAGGTGGCAAGACTTCAGGAACATAATTATTTCAATCCTTCAGGAAAGTGTTCATATTAGAGCAAACTATGGTACATATGATATGAAAATAAGATAAAGTAATACCTGAACAAGATCTTGTAGATTCATCCCAGCTCCCTGATAATTTTTTGCAATTGATATAACAAGCCTTATGTTGCTCTTGATCATTTTGTCTTTGCACAGAATACCATAGTTTATGCGCTTCCTCAATGTCTTCTGATCAACTCCTGCTGCTGCTGCCCACTGGGCAATTGTGGGCTGACCACCACATCTTTGTACAAGCTCCTCCTGGAGCTTTTCCAGTTTCAATAGTTTCTAAAACATATGACAAATACTTGAGGCATCAGAAATCAGATAATAGAGAAATATAAATAAAGTAGTCAAATTAAGTCCAAATATCCCAAGAATATTTTCCTTAATGCTTATATATTTCTTGAACTACATGAAGTAGGAACTCCATTGTTTTCCTAGTTTACTTCTACTTGTACAACATTCCAATGACCTTACTTTTTGCCAATTTAATTGGGACAAAAGTATTTAATTTTCTAAGACTGAAAACAATTTCCTTTGAAATTATCTCCACTTTTCATCCATGATATGATAGCATATCATATCAATCAAAATCCAAGCAGTAATTGTTATCCAAAGCTTCCTAAGAAAAGCATTATATTCTTTTGGACCAAAAAAAAGGCATTCTATTCTTTGAATTTAATTCCAGGAAATGCATGAACTGGCAAAGTAACTAACTAAATAATTGACCATCAACAATTCCAAGGGCATCTATCAAAACCAACCCATGGGAGGTACTATACTTTACCTTCATGATAAACTACATAAGTAGGATCAACCGTTAACAAACTGTAACCAGACATCATCTAAAATATAACCTACAAAAGGGTACTTGTGCATGGTCCATTTTTGGACCAACATAGAATCATCTTTCTAATGGATATCATCATGGATACTGACCTATCACCTATCAGAGGGTAAATTATTACATTTTTGCTCTTGTTTTTTTTTGGGGGGGGGGGGGGGGGGGGGCGCGCGCAGGGGTGCAGTAGTAATGAAATGTTCAAGGGGTAATTCATATAGCATTATAAAAAAGGTGGATTCAAAACTCTCACAAGATCACTGTTGATGATACAAGTAATACCTGTATTCCTTCTGAAAGCTCAATTTCTTCATTTGCAGTAAGAAGCCTAGAAGTGTGGGTAGTTGCTCTCAGGTAACGCAACGGATCAGAATGGTCTACATCTTGTAAAGAGGCACGCTTTTTTCTGCTGGTTGAACCAGACTTCACCGACACAACACTTGCAGCAGCCTTCTCTGCTGCTTTGGCTCTTCTGGCCTTCCTTTCTATTTGACGACCCGATCTTGCAGTTATACCCTCGGAAAGCTGCTCCTGCAGAAGTTCAAATTCTTGATTTGTTGACTCCACATCTTCTGACTCTTTTATGGCAAGCTGAATGAAATGATTTTCCACCAGTGCAGTTTCAGATCCCATGGAAGCTCCTAATCTAGAAGGTTGTTTGGTTTCCATATGCTTAGCCCAATTGAAATGCAAAGCATTAGTCTTGGGAGAAACTGGAGATGAACTTTCAGCTTTAGCAGAGTGATTAGTGCTAACCAGCAATGCCACATCCTTTGCAACCTTGAGAGCCGCTTTTGCAAGAGTAACAGCTTCAGCCGCAGCAGCTGCTATTACAGCCTCTTCACTTGTAAGAAGATTTTCTGTAGCTAAAGTTGCTCCAAAGTTTGCCTGGTGATAAACATCAAAGCTATTAGAGTTTTAAGCTCAACATCTTTCATACATAGGAAAAACTCAAACTGAGAAAGAAAATACCTGGAACCCTAAACCTGCTAAATATACCATGAGGTCAAATTTGTAATTGTGGTATGCAATGAACTAGTGAGGTGGCTAGGTCACTGCCAGCTAAAAGATGTTCAAAAAATTGTCTGGGAACCTAACCACCATGCATGTGAAATTTTTAGAACAGTATTTATTTTCAATTTGACAAACACAAACCTAATATGTGCAAGTTTTCTGTTATCCAGGAATCATGCAAATACAGCAGGCATCCAACTAAATACAATGGAGCAATAATATCAAACATGCTCAATCCAATTCGTAAAAATTACAAAGTATCCCAAATGTCTGCATGTCTGCATTCAAGCATTGTCACCAAAAACAAAAATAAGTAATAGATAAATTCTGCAAGCTTTATCCCCGAGGAAAGAAATTCTAATTAAAGATACTATATGAAATACTGAAAAGGAACTAGATATCCAATAGACCTATTCTAACCTCAGTGGGAGGACCAGTTGCCCCTGTATATGTCCATGGTCTATTTGCAGCCAAAGAATCGGAATTAACTTCTAAACAAGTTAATCTCAGCTTCTCCACATCAAGAACTGTAGTTGTTCCTGTTGATGTTGAACGCGATGCAGTGGATAAAATAGATTGAGCCCGGAAACAGAGAGGATCTCTACTCTTTGCTGCATATATCAACCAAGAAATCATGAGAGAAATAGAGCAAATAAGATCCACGACCTTGTATTTCTTTTAAAATATCATAAGAAATGTACATGTCTTCTGTTCTACAATCAATAAGCCTGGCTTTACATGACTACAACTTTGGTATGGAACATTCTCACAAATGTGCAATGCAAGTATAAGTATTCAAGTCAGTTCATCACAAAGGAAATTATATAGATGTCATGCTTCAAAAATATGATGGAAAAACGAGTAAAACTAGTTCAGTTTCTAAGTTTTAAGCGGTTTTAGACATAAATTACATAAGATTTCAATTGCAAAAACCAAATTTTCATAACTGATAATGTAGACCAACCAAATGGGCACAACCCATTTAGCTAGGATACAACATTAACATAACATTTAGCTGGGATATAACATAATTGACTTGAAGCAAGAGATTGAAACCTTGGAAGCCCTTGGCAATGGAGGTTCCCTCCTTAAATAACCCATCAAAGAAAAGTCTCTGAGTCCTAACTCTGAAGCCCAGGACTGTGAGCTTGGTGGACATGACTCCAATGGCCCTCTTCTTCTTGTGCCTGTGGTTTGTTGGGTAAGAAAGTGGCAGTGGGGAGAGAAATGAGGGACATATTAAAGAGGAAGATACATTAGGAGGAGTGTGTTTGTGGGAATTACAAAACCCAACTGCTGATGATGAAGAAGAAGATGAAATTGATAAGATTGACATCTCTTTCTGCTGTTCTACATCTAAAGCTTCAAAGACATAGCATGCTTCAGCCTTCAGCTCTGAGTCAAAAGAGAAAAGACATAGCAGTAGTTGCAGCAGCGGAACAGAGCAAGTAGAAGAGAGGGAGGAACTGAAGATGGATGCGAGAGGGAGAGAAAGAGTGCTTCAAACTGAGCCGTTTTCTTATCCTCTAGGATTTGGAGTTTTGGACCACCCAAAACTACAACTCAAAATAAGTGTTGAGGGGGAAGGACCAGGCCCGTTTCTTCTATCTAGCATTTCTATCCGGTATTTGTAAATGAACTTTTTTCACAATTTTTTTTTTTTTTGGGTCAAACTTTTTTCACTTCGAAAAAAAATTAAAATCCTATTTAATATTATTTTCTTAGGAAATAAAATTGCTCATTTATAAATCAGATTTTGTTACTACTAGCCTCGTGTGCTAAGGCCTTTTCTTAAAACAAAAATCTTATCTTTTAAATATATAAATATATAAAAAGTAATTTACAAAACTGAAAAGAAAACAAAAAAGAGATGAACGTGGGTGTAGTGGAGAGAGAGGTATGTGGGTGGAGAGAGAGGAAATAAAACCCTTAAAAAATAAAAAATAAACATCAACAACATATTTTGTATGTCTAAAATAAGGCCATTCCTTACCTCAGTACTAGGGACATCTACTGAAACAGAAATCCCTGCTTGAACCCCTTCAGAAGGAGGCTCCACTGTAAAATAGGGAAGAAAGATATTTGCCTGATTGATTTTCATTGAGTCAGAGGGTGTAACTTTATACAAGAGATTTCCTATAATGATGCTAAGCTATTCTAGGAATCTAAATTACAATAGGAAAAGAAATATTCTACAGCACATAATTACATATTTGTTTCCTAATCCATCCTGTGAACATTAGGAAATCATTGACCTTCTTAACACTCCCCCTCAAGTTGGAGAGTGAATGTCGAGAACTCCCAACTTGCAAATCATGGTAGAAAAGGGTTCCTTTCCCAACGGTTTAGTGAATACATCCGCAAGCTTATTTGCCGAAGTAACAAACTTGGTTACAACCGAACCATCCTGTATTTTGTCCCGAATAAAGTGGCAGTCCATTTCTATATGCCTGGTTCTCTTATGGAAAACGGGATTGGCTGCTATATGTAAGGCTGCTTTGTTATCACTATGTAGCAATGCCGGTTTCAGATGCAATATTCGTAAATCCTTCAATAATGAACGTAACCAAGACAACTCACAACATGTACTTGTCATGGCTCTATATTCGGCTTCTGCTGAAGAGAGTGACACTGTTTTCTGCCTCTTTGTGAAGATCCTAAAAAAACACAATAACCCGTAGTGGATCTACGAGTCATTGGACAACCAGCCCAATCCGAGTCACAAAAAGCTCGCAGAGACAAATCACTTTGAGAAGAGAAAAACAAGCCCTGTCCTGGAGCACTTTTCAAATAACGCAACACACGCAAGGCAGCTTCCATATGCGGTCTACGTGGTGCATGCATGAATCGGCTTAATACATGTACCGAATACATGATATCAGGCAGAGTAATAGTTAAATAAATTAGGCGTCCCACAAGTCGCCTATATTGAGATGGATCTCTAAGCAATTCACCTGTATCAGAGAGCTTTATGTTTTGCTCCATGGGAAAGTTCACAGGTTTAGCACCCAAAATTCCACCATCCTTCAGAATTTCCAAAGTGTATTTCCGCTGTGAAATAGAAATACCTCTCTTTGATCGAGAGACTTCAATGCCCAGAAAATATTTCAAATCCCCCAAATCTTTAATTCGGAAACGACTATGCAAAAATTGCTTAAGAGTGGATATAGCCTTGAGATCATTACCCGTAATAAGAATATCGTCAACATATATCAACAGGGCGGTAAAGGACTTTCCATTCCGACATGTGAATAACGAGTAGTCCGCTTTGGACTGAACATATCCGGCAGCTTGAACAGTTGTTGAGAACTTGGCAAACCATTGACGAGAAGCTTGCTTTAAACCATACAACGACTTGTTGAGGAGACACACCAAGTTCTCCCCCTGTCGCTGAAGACCAGGAGGTGGAGACATATAAATTTCTTCATGGAGATCACCATGAAGGAAAGCATTGTTGACATCTAATTGTTGAAGGGACCAATCCTGAGCAGCTGCCAGAGCCAATAAACAACGAACAGTAATCATTTTAGCAGTGGGAGAAAAAGTGTCATGATAATCGATACCTTCCAACTGTGTGTAACCCTTGGCCACCAAACGAGCTTTATAACGCTCTATGGTGCCATCTGAGTGGCGTTTGATTTTATAAACCCAGCGACATTCAATGGGTTTCTTGCCATGAGGGAGGGGAGTGAGAGACCAAGTGTGATTGGCTTCTAAAGCTGTCAATTCAGATTGCATGGCGTCCTGCCAGTGTGAATGGGAAGCTGCTTCTGTATAAGAGCTGGGCTCAACATCCTGACTAATAGTAGCAACAAAAGAATGATGCTGTGGTGAGTAACGATGGTAAGAGAGAAAGTCACAAAGAGGATACCTTGTACCTTTGGTGGAACCAGACGACGAAGGCAGCGACGGTTTGGGAGACGTCACTTGGTTGCAAACATAATCACGTAAAGCACGTGGAGGACTATGATGTCGTTGAGAACGTCGTAAAACTGGTGCGGGAGGGGGCTGAACGACACTGGCAGGAATGGGTTGATCAAAAGTAGAGGTGGCTGGATGCGGAGACGCAGAAGGAGAATCTGGCTGGGTCATTTCTTATGGAGGGACGGGAGAGGGTTTGAACGACGCTGGCAGGAATGGGTTGATCAAAAGTGGAGGTGGCTGGATGCGGAGACGTGGGGAATGAGTCGGAAATAGGAGGGTCAGACACAAAATGAGGAAGGACGGGGGCTGGAGGTGTTGGAATGGATGGAAGGGACGCATAGGGAAAAATAGTTTCATGAAAAACAATGTCACGACTAGTGAAAAATTTATGAGTGGTAAGGTCATAGAGCTTGTAGGCTTTTTGACCGACCGGGTAACCAAGGAAAACACAACGTTTGGCTCTAGGAGCGAATTTATGAGGGACATGCACATCAGTAGCATAGGCAAGACACCCGAAAACCTTAAGATGGGAATAGGAAGGGGTCTTGCCATAAAGGCGTTCAAAAGGAGTTTGTTGGGAAAGAAGTGGTGTGGGCAAACGATTAATCAAATGTACAGCGGTGAGAACACATTCTGCCCAAAAACGCAAAGGGAGATGGGCTTGAAAGCGAAGGGCGCGGGCTAACTCAAGGATATGACGATGTTTGCGCTCTACAACCCCATTTTGTTGGGGTGTATAGACACAAGAGTGTTGGTAAGTGGTGCCATTTTGTTGAAAAAAATCTTTCATAGAAGAGAATTCCCCCCATTATCAACTCGAATATTAGCAATGGATGCAGCAAATTGAGTTTTGACAAAGGAGAAAAAGTTTGTAAGTAAATGTTGTGTTTCACTTTTGTGCTGCATAAAGAATACCCATGTGAAACGAGAATAATCATCCACAATTGTCAAAAAATATTTAGCACCAGAAAAAGAAGGAATTTTGTTGGGGCCCCAAATATCACAATGAATTAACTCAAACGGTCTAACAGACGAAATTGAACTAGCAGAAAAAGGAAGTCGACATTGTTTTGCAAGTGCACAAACATCACAAGCATTATTGGATTTGAAAGGAAAATTGAGCAAATTTTTTGCCATAAAATCTAATCTAGAGGAAGATAGATGCCCTAATCGGCGGTGCCACAAGTCAGTGGAGGAGGTGACATGAGAACAAGATGGATGGCTAGCAATGGCAGCGGAGGATCTGAATTTAGGGCTCGGTGTTGCTGACGCCAATGCGACCAAGTAATAAAGTCCGTCTCGTTGTTTACCCAAACCAATCGTCGTCTTCGTCGTCAAGTCCTGCAAAATACACCAAGAGGGAAAAAAGGTTACAGAACAATTGAGACTTCTTGTAACTTGACTCACATACATCAAATCCACCTTGAAAGATGGCACACCAAGCACATTTTTAAGAGAAATAACAGAGTTCAAAGGTAAAGTTTCAGTAGATGTGATTGGAGCCTGTTCTCCACTGGGCATAATAACTGGCGGTAAAATAGTGTTTGCGACTGTTGACAAGCAAATTTGGAGAAGAAGTAATATGATCGGTTGCACCACTATCAAGGATTAATCGACGGAGGCGCAACGGTGCTTGTGACAAACTTGAAGAAGTACCAGCAGCATTGGCCTTAGGATTGGAGGATTGATTTGCCCCTTTATTGTTCATAATAGATAATATCTGTTGAAACTGTAGATCAGAGAGAAATTGCTCGCGCTCCATGATGAGGAGCAATGGCAGAGAAAAGAAAAATTGAGACGGCAAAAAAAGAGAGAGCTAGGGTTTGTCTTCCTGCTCTAATACCATGTAAAATAGGGAAGAAAGATATTTGCCTGAATGATTTTCATTGAGTCAGAGGGTGTAACTTTATACAAGAGATTTCCTATAATGATGCTAAGCTATTCTAGGAATCTAAATTACAATAGGAAAAGAAATATTCTACAGCACATAATTACATATTTGTTTCCTAATCCATCCTGTGAACATTAGGAAATCATTGACCTTCTTAACATCCACTTCTCTAGCTCTTTCCTTTGGAAGAACTTCTCCAACATTAGGAATTGGGCTTGAAGGTGGCACCGAAGTTAATGGAGAGGTAGGAGGGGGAGGAATTTGCAGACAAATAAATTAACATCAGCAGTGACAATTTCATGTCTTCTACTAATCAACAGATGAATAGCAAGAAAAGAATACCTTAAGGGTAGCAGGGGACGACTGTGGAGTCTTTGCAGGTGAAGTCCTTGCCCACTTGCCTTGAGTAGTCTCGGGCTGAGCCTGGCACACATCGCCACCACTCACAAACTCCTCAGGCTGGGACCTCTTTCTGGTACCCAATTTTTCAACTACATCAAACGAAGGAGCAATCCAGAATCCATGTAGTTAGGAAAAGAAATTCTTAGAAATTACGAGTATGGTTTCTTTTGCCTTTACATGAAGAAGCAAGAAAAAGAGGTACAGTAGAATCGAGCCTACTAGCAGCCTGACAACAAGAGAAGCAGAAGGCACTTCCTTCACCAAATTTCGCTTCATTTGAACGAAAATCAAAGCTTTAGGCCTAGCAAACCCTGAACCTTCACTAGCAGCTTTGCCCTTCTCAGACACCGGCTCGCTGGGTGGACAGAAATTCTGGTGATTAGTGGCAACTGTAAATAACAGATAGAAGTCAATTAAAATATAAAAGACAAGATAAACACAAGTCCACTCAAATAAGAACTTTTCTTACCAATCATTGGCAACTTGTTATCCTCTGCTATTGAGTAAGAAGTGCCTGTTTTTCTCTCTTTCCAAGCTCCCGGCGAAAAGGGCAACCTTCGAATACCTTTTTATATGTAGCTTCAATGGCCCCAAATCGGCCTGCATAATGATCCCACCAAGCCTGAAGGGCCTCAGTACAACAGCAATCAAGTTGATAGGACTTTAGCTCTAGAAACTGGGAAGACTCTGCATACTTAGCCCTAATTCCCAAAAGATCTTCTCAGCTCAACTTGGGAAATATATAAGATGAACCCTTGTTGACTAGAGAGTAATTCAACACAGGGATTACTTGGGGGCATCCAAGTTGCTTGCTAAAGAACTGGGGATTGTAAGCCTCTACACCATATTGATAATTTTTGGTATCCATTTTTCTGCCACAAGGCAGATCCTATGATTGAAGACATGAGAACATCTTCATATTCTCAGAAGCCAAGGGCCTGTTAACATCTCTAGGGCCCTTATAAATAAGCATGTTCTTAAACCAAGATCAACCTTTCTTCAGACTCATCAACCATTTAGTCAACATGTCTGGTCTTTCTGCCCATAAAGAATACAAAGCACTCTTCAATTGTCTTCCCAAAAATTGGGCTCAAAACCAATTCCCTTAGAGGCATCGCCTTAGGGGCTACCTGCAGTTTTCGTCCCCACAACTCTGGAAACGACCATTGGAGCTAAACCTAAACCATCCACAAGGGTCCTTTTACATTGAGGTTGATGGGCTCAATGGTCGCTTCTCTCAGACCGTTGTAGATGGAAGCCAAGATCAAAGGCCCAGTAGCAATATCTCTGTAAGTGGCCAGACCCCCTGCCACCTTAAACCACTCCATGGTAATGTAGTTGGAAGTAGTCGGGAATATGAACATGTTCAGCCAATATAACAAGAACATAATGTGCTTGCCATGGGGGTAATCAACCTTTTTATTCATAAAAGACCCCATGAAGGCCCCCAAAGATTGACTAGAACCCATTATACCATAAAGAATTTCAAGGTTCTTTGGCCTTTCTTTATCATTTGAAGGATCATCTTGGAAATCTCCCAACCAATCGGCACTTCTTCCATGAGGCCGAAATCTAAAAACCACAGCAAGGTCAAGGATGGAGATTGACATCGAACCAACGCCAAAGTTGAAGGTATTAGAGGCATTATTCCAGAACATCAAGGCCAAACCCAGAAGTGGAGAATCAACCTAAAGTTGAATACTCAGATATACAATAGCATGATAAATTCCATTGTTAAGCAAAAATTCTTGTACTGAGGTTTCATCCTCTTTACCCAATTTGCCTAGTAAGGTCCACGCTCGATACGTCGATCTTCGGGAAGAACCTTGACAACATCTTGTTCCAATTCGTCTAGTCAATCCCTTCTGATTGACGAACAGGGATAGGAGCCCTTAATGGGTGAGGTTCATACTTGCAGAGCAGGTCAACTTTCTTCTCCAGATACCTGGGGCCCAGGACGCAATTGTTGTTCAAGAAACTGATAAGATCCTTACAGAGTAAGAATTGAGCTCGACCATCAACAAATCTTTCGACCAAGCCATCAAAGATGACAGCAAAGTCATTCACTCCCACCCATGAAATGAAGGGAAGACTCTTAGGTACAACCTCCGAAGATGAAGAATCAGGAACATTGGCATAATCTCTCTCTAGCACCATTTGATCAAATGGTTATCTTTGTTCGAAAGTTTGAAGTTTAAAAATCGGAGGTTAGGGTTTTCACTGGAGAACTCTAGTTCTCTTGATGCGACAGTTAGAATTCAGAAGGGTGAAAATGGAGAAGGTCACGAATCAAGAATTTAAAGCTTGGTGCTTCTTTTCAAGCGAGCCGTTTGTCAGACAGTTTTTCCCACATGGGCAAACCACGACCTTTTACAAATCCGTAAACAAAGGCACCTCGAACGACGTGAGAAAAGCTTACTTTATGAAGATAAGCCAAAACAAAACTTTAAGAGTTTTAAGGCGTACATCTTATTCCTTAAAACGAATTTTTGTTTTTTCCAGCTCATTTAATTCTCGTTAATAATTCATCTTAAATGTGTCTCAAGTATATTTAATAGACCAATTAATGGTTAGTTTAAATATAACGGACTAAATTTTTTGGTTGACAACCAAAAATATGAGTCTCAAAGATTGTTAAAATTCATACAAACATAAATAAGTATTTTTCAGCCTAAAAAAGGGTAAGGACTTGGTTCTTCTTTTTTTTCTTTCGATCGAAGTAAGGACTTGGTTCAAGAAATAAATTCTAAAACTGTAGATATGAGGTCTGTTACATTGTTCAATTCTAAGCTGAGGGCCTTGTGCATTGAAGTTGCCTTTTTGTTAGCCAACCTCGCCTAAAAAGTGTGAGAAGTCAGGTCTTGGAAGGCAGGCTTGCTAGCAGCAATTCGAGCCCGACTTTCTTCTAGCTTCTCCTCCAACTTCGCCTTAATATCAAGATCAGCAGCAATGTCGACACTCAGCTCTTCTTTTTCCCCTTCTAATTCCTCTAGCTTGTCCAGAATGTGCTATGTTGCTTCAGTGAGCTCCAAATATCTTGTTTTGATGTCATAGTGGTCTTCAAAGACCTCTTTAGGATCCACCGTTGGGGGAAGAATCTCCCTGATCATGCTAATATGTCTCAATGTCTTGCTCAACTAGTGCTCTAGGAATTAGCATGCTGGGGCCAAGTGAGGTTTGACTTGTTCAACTTGGATAAGCACATGCTGCATTTTGGAGAATGCATCAGGATTCTGAACCAAGTCAAAGTTAGGAGATTTGAACAAAGTCCACAAACCCCTTAGTTTGTCCACCACAGCACCAAGCGCTTCATCAGGCTTCTACAGATATTCGATAATCCTCTGTCCTTCTGCATTGGTGAAATTAGGAGAACGCGAAGATCTTGGAATTGAAGTACCAGGACCACTCAGACCTGGAATTTCATAAATCCTCCTTCAAACACCACCCATCACCTCTATTTGGGGCCCGATTGTTGCTCCAGCAATGGGAAAGCTTCCCTATCCTCCACCTTCACTAGGTCCACCTGCAACATAATAAATTGGGAACCTCTATCAACAATGGAGGGCTCTTGAGCCGCCTCTTTCCCTGGCCTCTACAGAAAACAAACATTCAATGTTAATCATAATCAAAGGGCACATGAAAAGAAAAATGACTGAAAGTCTGATTTTAAGATATGAAGGTTACCTGAGTCGTTGGTGTAGCAAGCCTTTCAGGCATTTCAGGTGTCCTATCTTCTCTATGGGGTAAACCACCCTTGGCTTCTTCTCACGATTTTCTGAGGCTGCAACATGAATATACGTATTAATTCGCATGAAGCCACCCATAAAGTTTAAGGATAGGCCCGAAAATAGAATCTTACCTTCTATTGGGGCCGATTCAGACTCAACCTTCGTAGTTGGAGTAGTAGGAGCCCTTCGTTTTCTTTGGAAATGGACCTTATCTTCCTCCTCATCTTCCTCCTCAATGAGAAGAGCTTTTCCCTTGTGTCTAGGGTCTAAGTTCGAGCTTGAAGGCTGAGAGGGAGGTGGCGGAACTGATGTTCTTCCTCCGTCTTTTCCTTCTAATGAACCCTCACCAGAAGTCGGAGAGGGCCTTCAATCTATTGACAAGGGAATACAAAATCAGCATCATTCAACAAAGAAGAAATCGAAACTTTGGCAACCACCAAAAACAAACAAGATTGTTAGAATCCACCAGGACAAGTCAGATAATTAACTATTGAATGAAAAATGAAAAATTACCTATCACTTCCAGCTTCTGGAGACGCTTCAATCTCTTCAGCATAAATGCCTCTTCTAGCTTTGTCATCAATTGGGCAATCTTTAAAAGCTGTGGTATATAGGAGTTTGGCATATTCTAGGAGCCACAAGAATATCTTGTTCTCCCAAAACTCATGGAAGATTGGAGTGTAGAGTGGGGTTGGCTTATAAGGGGGCACCCTCACATTCTTGCCTCTGCTTCTCCAGGCTATTCTTACAGTCTTAACTTCCTGGGGTGTAATGCCCATATTCCTCCAAGGACTCCCTTTATTCATAGAACCATACCTTATTTCTGGGATTGCCTGGACCAACCCAAATTTCCTACTGGCAAATTGAGGGCTATACACCTCCACCCCATACTGACACTTCCCGTCAGTATGAATCCCACCAAAGAAAAGGTCATGGTTGGATAGGCAAGATACACTCCTGCTAGCATGGACAATATCTTTTGTGTTCTTTAGATCTTTCCAATGCTTAGGAGCTTGATGGAGACCTCTGTCTGCAAACCTAGGATGGTCACAAGATAATGAATGCAACCAAGTCTCTTTCTTTCTTTGCCTACACTCTCTGAAAAAGACGAAGCATTCTTTAATGCTGACAAGTCTCTTGGTATTAATGGCCAGAGTAGTGGCTGGGATGTCGTTTTCAAGAAATTCCAACGCGTCGTTCCCAAGCTTGGGGAAATATCATTCCAACCACATCTAGGCCATCCAGACTGGACCACATACTGTTTGTGCCTAATAAATCACAGTCGTCAGAAGGGACCTCTTCTCGGCCGTAGCACCAGTTCATGGACTGAAACGGCCACGTTTCGTCAAACATTTAGCCTTTTCGAAAACAGAAGAAAAATACGAAGGCAGGATCTTCTCGGCCTCACAACCACGACATTATGGGCGAGGCTGAGGTCCATGAGAGACATGGCCAAAGATACTATGGTCAAATCGCCACGTGGCCTCAGGGTCCCACGCCCCATTTAATGAAGTAGTGCCTCTAACCGCCACAGCAAAACCACTGGGTGCAAGAAGCATTAATGCACAAGGGCAGAAGGGAAGTGATTGAAGTCAGGATTTGGTAACATGAATCAGAGTGGTTAGGCGCAAACATTCTCACAAAGCATTCTCACAACTTGAGGTCAGATCACCAACCACTGGACCAGAGCATTAAATGCTTTCCCACGGCCAAGAGTGCAGAGCCCACGGTCAGGGCGGTGGCCGAGATTTGCCGAGATTTATGGGGGTCACACCACCATGCTTCACGATCCCAAATGCCGATTTGACTACCCACTTGCCCCGATCACACTCCACCATGTTTCTCAACCCAGACCACCATGCTTCATGATCCCAAATGCCGATTTGACTATCCACTTGCCCGGCCATGCTCCACCACGTAGGTCTTGTCAGCCTCAAATGTCCTTCCGGGACTCCTATAAATACTAAGCTCAGGACTGCATTCAAGGGGTTCAAACACCGAACCAAAAGCCTCCCACGGAGCAACTTATATTTTCTGTAATGCACTTTCAATACCTTTATTTGCTTTCTTAGGAGTAGTGGTAGATTGTAAGGAAAATCCATTCATCAATATATCATACGACCCTTGATTTTCAAGGCGCCGAAGCACCACCTCTGTTATCGCCTCACTCACCCCATATATCATACGACTGTCGCTCTCTGAGCAACGCGCCGGAGCACCGCCTAAAAACCCACCACCAACACCACCACTAAACGGCCTTGTAGCTCAGGCCGTGAACCTAATGGCCGAGATTCGTTCCTCACTCGGTCACAATCGTTTGATTAGGAGTCAAACGCAAAACAGGCGCAACATTTGAACCATCTTCTACCCGAACCTCATCATCACCTCGACGCACGGTAGATCGTGCTGGCACGCCCGCACACAACCGCACCGCATCCAAAAGGAGAACGTCACGTGTTGATGCACATCCCCTCGGCCCGGAGCACCAGGCCGCGAGATTTGCGACGGACCAACACTTTTGGCACGCCCGGTGGGATTACTTGTCAAAAGACCTCATGGTGGATCTAATGGACTGGCAGGCCTTCAGGATAGAGACATCCTTTATGGCCTCGATGGACAAATTCTCTACAGAACTGCAGACGCTTTTCCAGGAGGGGATGCCGGTAACGCCTACCCACACCCAGGCGTCAGGCTACGGTCCGCACTCTCAGCCAGAAAGCTAGGGGCAATCCCAGCCGACGTGGGTAAATCCTGGACCCACCTGCCCATAAAAAATGAAGGGCGGCCCACTCCATGCTTTGGCCGTATCATTAGGGCGGAACAGCCCCAAGTATCCCACGACCCAGAAATTCGGCCCAGTGTGCGCCTCAGCCATCCACGGCCATCCTGGCCCAGGCGACGCGACCGCAACTTCGTCACAACGACACGGTCAGAATGATCCGACCGTTTCACCATCACAAGCGTCGTTGTTTCCATCAAGACCCCACCCTCAGTACAGTTCGGCCGTTCCAACAATGACACATACGCATCCCAGCCAAACCTACGGCGCTTACCTAAAGCCGCCCGGCTCGGTCGCAACGGCTGAACCCCTTGTTCAAATGACCCAGCAGATTGAGCCACAGAATAATTTACAACAGGTCCTGCGGCCACTTCCAATCCGGTTGGAGTTACCCCCTCAGGACCCTCGGAGCAAAGAGATCTGGCGCACTACCGAGGACGGCTTAACCCAGAGGTGGTCGAAGATGCCAAGCTATATCGAGCCGTATCCGCTCGGAGGGCCCAGGACTTGGCGCGACTTGTTCCCCAAGGCGTTTTGGGCACGTCGCGCATCAAAAGATTCGGCCATGGGCACATCTCCATATGTCTTTGCCCACGACCGTGACATTGTTAAACTGATGAGGCTAAGGGTTCGGCCTCTCCAGGTTTTCAAACAGCTTGGGCGAAAAACGAAGAACTATGGGCTGACCGTGCCCCAGGATTCAGAAAATATGGGGCGACCAGGGCTCGACGCTTACACTTCGGCGCAAGTTCAAAAAGAAATGGCACCGAGGGCCTACGACAAAGAAGTCAAAACGAGAAAAAAGAGGTGGAAGTAGCCAAGCAAACTAAACGAACGGCGCGGCCAGAATGAAAACAGCGTATACTCATTCGTAGAAAAAGGGCCTGCGCCTTATAATTAGATTAGAAATATTGTTTCTACAAAGAAGAAAAGAGAGCGGCCAGTCACGGCCGATCAAACAAAATGTATATATAGAGTCTGTAGGAAAAGAATACATTTAACTATTACAAAAATCATACAGCCACCCCCCTAAACGCCTTCATTGAACATCCCCCAGATCAGGCAGGTTATCCTTCTCCAGGCGATGTCTCCGCTGTCTATATCCGCCTGCCACCTCGCCCGGATCAACTTCCTCTTGGCCAATGCCCTCTTCTTCTCGGTCGCCACCTTGAGGATTTGCCTGGCCGAAGACTTCAGCTCGATGCCCACCACAACCACACCATCTCGGCGCTGAAGGATGAGGGCTTGACGGGCCTGGAGCTCGGCAATCTGAGCCTCGACCTGCGCAAGTTCTTCATTCTCTTGTTGGACAACGAGGTCATTCTCCTTCAAACGAGCCATGGCAGGTTGGACTTGTTCTTTGATCGATGACAGCTCCTGCTCGAGCGAGCACCCCTCGGTCATCCTCAGGTTGGCCTCAGCATATCGACCAATCATCTCCTCACCCTCGGCCAGGCGTACCTGGAGCTCATCCAGCTGAGCCGAATCTAGCAGGCCCATCGCCATGGCCATATCCAGGCAAGACCTAAACTCCATGAATGCCTCGGCCGTGGTCATTTGGTGAACCCCAAAGAAGAGGAACTCCCGGAGCTTTTCAACAACGGCCCTGGAATCCTCGTCCAAAGGAGCCGAGGACGAGCTGCCTCCCTCTTCATGGAGGCTGGAGTATAACTCCTTGAGATCATCGGAGGAGGTGGTCTTCTAAAGATAGGAAAAAAGGGGTCAGAAAGAAAGCAACCAGCTGGGACATGAGGAATGACAAGGAGGAAAAATCTAGTACTCACTTGAGCGGCCGACGGCGCATCAAGAGCTGCAGTAGCTGAAAGCTCGGTCAAGACCGCCGAAGAAACAGGCGGTGGGCTCGGCGCGTCAGTAACTGCGGCCTCAACCACTGCAAGCGCGGTCACCACAACCGACTCCTGAGGCGACGGCGCTGGGGTCATACTCATAACGGCAGTGACGACCGGGGGGGGCTGAAAGTAAAATTTCGGTCAAAAGCGTGTGCCACAATTCCAAAAAATAAAATAAAACATAGTAAAAGCAAAGCGCTTACCGAGCAAAACACGATGCCGCTTGGACGACGGGGCGCGGAAGACACAACAGGGACGGCCGAAGGAACTTCCGCCAGGGTGGCCCGTGTCAGTTCCACGGCAGGGAGTTCACCATCTGGCATATCCACGGCAGGCTCCTCAGTAGCTGGCACTTCTTCGGCACCCAGCGTTTCGATATCCTCGGCAGTGGCCACCTCCAACCATTTCCTCGGCGACTAACTCCTCGGGGTCAGCCGCCTCCTGGATTATCGCCTCGGAAGCAACCGCCTCCTCGACACCCGGCGCCTCGGCAGCAGCCTCCTCCTCGACCTCTTCCTCGCCCTGAGGAAAAGACCTGATCAACAAGATAAACAAGGAGGGGAAGGGCGTGGCCTGGGAAAGGAAAATGAGAAAAGTTCAAGGAGAGGTACTTACGGTCGCAGGAGGGGCTTCACTCACAGCCACCAAAGGAGCTTCCTCCTCATCCTCGTCCTCCGAGAGATCCAGGAGGACCCTTTTCCTCGGCCGCTCTAACGCCGCCGTCTCAACCACAACAATTTCGGCCGTCACGGCCGCAATCACTGCGGCCTCGGTGCTTGAGGTTTCTCGACCCCTCTTGCGACCCGGGGCTACATGTACAGAGAAAGAAGCAAAAAAGTTAAGTAAATAAACAAACAAGGACAAAGGCGGCTCAGAAAGACCGACGAAAAAAAAACATAGAAGAGGGCTTACCAGCGGCAGCAATTGGTCGTGCCGGCGGGGAAGATGGCACGGTCCTATGCGCCAATGTCTTTCGAGCCCCCACCACAGCCGGCGTTCTAGATGTTGGAGCCGCGGTTGAAGTCACGGCCGCTGCTCTGGCTGAAGGAGCGACCGCCACCCTAGGCACGGCCGCGGCCGGCGTACTCGGTCGTGAAAGCACGGCCGGGGCTCTCTTCACCTTGCCAGCCTTGGGAAGGAGGGGGTTCCAATCTGCATTCTTCAGGGCCCCCCTCACGGCCTCTTCAACAGGCCGAATAAATCTGGCCGAGATGCACTCCTCGTACTAGATCCTTCCATCTTCGTCGACCGCATTACGACGCATCCACGACCTCAGGGTAAGAAAGGTCATCCCTTTCTGCAGCTGGAAGGAGATCCCAGCCACGCCGTGCTGCTGGCTGACGTAGGCCCTCCATGACGAAAGCCGATTGAGTGACAGCGGCGGAAGCGATGCCGTCTGGATCAAGCCGAATTGCCGCGCCACAAAGGCCCGCAGTAGAGGTCGCGCGCTACCAAAAAGGAGCCTCAAATCTCCCTCAGATCATTCTCCGTTTCGCCGTCGGGAACCACGGAGAGGTCGTGCGTCGGGTACAAAGGATACGGCCTAGCAAAGCACACCCGAAACTGCGACCCGGCCCTCTCGGTCAGTTCATAGAAGAACTTGTAGCAGAAGACCGAGGTGTTATGCTTCCTGGGGGCCCGGGCGAGTGCGTTAGCCAGCGGCTCGGTGTCGGCGATATTGACCGTCCCCCTCAGTTCTGGGAAGTAAGCATGCAGCCAGAACTGGAAAGCCATAGTGGACCACCGTGCTTCGGCTTCATCCCGTCGGTGACCACGACGTGAAGCGTGCGGTAGACATGACCGAGGAGAAATGGGCCAAGCGCCAGCCTTCCGCCTTGCACAAGATAGTTGGCTAGGTGGGCGAACTCCAGGGTAACTTTATTCGGCTGGGTGCAGAACCCGAACTTGCATAGCCAGTATAGCAAGAACGCGGCGTGCTCGACCTCGCCCATGGGAGCAATAGAATCATCATCGGTGCTGTCCTCCACGCCGAAGTTGCTGTAGAAGCTAGAGTAGTTGAGCATGTTCTTCGCCTTGCTCCCAGCAAGCTTGGCGACCGTGGGCCATGCGGCCTTAAAACTCCCTTCGGCCTCAGGGGCGACCAAAGCGGCGTTCACCTCCACGCCGAGAAGGGAGAGGCCAAATAGAGCGGCCATGTCTAGCACGGTTGGTGTCATCATGCCAAACAGAAGGTTCATGGTGGTGGCTGACGACTAGAAGCATAAGGCCGCGGCCAAGAGCGACCGGTCCATAACAAGCGGCCGATCGAACAGCTTGATCAAGTGGTAGATACCTTGATCCTTCCATTGCTGGCCGAAGAAATGCTCCATCCTCGGCAGCCATTTTTCCCAGTCTGGGGTCGAAGTTGGCCATTAGGGCTGCGGCCTGGCGACATTCCAATCCTGGAAGTCCCCCCATCAAAGGCCGAGAAATTCACCAAGTTGTCCCTCAAATGGACAGCTAGCCTCTCTGGCATTCCTCCTTCCACGGAGGGGCCGAGGATACAGAATTCAATGACAGCGCCGTCATCGTCAGTCCAGGGCGCAATAATGTTAGAAAGGACCGAGCCCTAGATGTCTCGGCAGATGTCTTCAAACTGAGTCTAGAAGACTTGGGACAAGGCTTCAACAGAGGCAGAAGTGCTGAAGGCCATTAAAACGGATCAAAAAGGGTGTTTTAAAGAAAAGTCGAGGAGAGGATGATAAACACAAAGAACACTGGGAAGCCAAGCGTTCAAACAAAAGGATAACTGGGCAGAGAGGTGGAGTGCTTGAATGAGTTCGAAACGGTTGAGAAATTGAGAGAAAAGTTTTGGCAGAGTTTGGGCATCTGAAAATTCAAAAAGCATGAGGAGAGAATGAAGAAGGATAGGCTTTTATACTTGCGCTCGAATTCGAAAACGAAAGGGCACGATCATCTCGAGAGACGTAACGATCTGACAGTGTGCTCGAATACGCGATGACGTGTCAAAAGTCCGGAGGCCGTCGTTTCAATGACGAGGCGAAGCGACGGCTCGAGCGAATCAAGGCAATGATGGCTTAAGGGACGTGCCTGCGCATTTAATGCGTCGATTGACCTTCGCATTTAAGACGCCAACTGTCGATCACTTCGAAGGGAAGGCAGAGAGTCCATCCCTTGGAATCCATTCGGCCTTTGCCCAAGCCACGACCGAAGAATCCAGGGATGTGGGGGCAATGTTTGTGCCTAATAAATCACAGTCGTCAGAAGGGACCTCTTCTCGGCCGTAGCACCTGTTCATGGACTGAAACGGCCACGTTTCGTCAAACATTTAGCCTTTTCGAAAACAGAAGAAAAATACGAAGGCAGGATCTTCTCGGCCTCACAACCACGACATTATGGGCCGAGGCCGAGGTCCATGAGAGACACGGCCAAAGATACTATGGTCAAATCGCCACGTGGCCTCAGGGTCCCACGCCCCATTTAATGAAGTATGCCTCTGACCGCCACAGTAAAACCACTGGGTGCAAGAAGCATTTAATGCACGAGGGCAGAAGGGAAGTGATTGAAGTCATGATTTGGTAACATGAATCAGAGTGGTTAGGCGCAAACATTCTCACAAAGCATTCTCACAGCTTGAGGTCAGATCACCAACCACTGGACCAGAGCATTAAATGCTTTCCCACGGCCAAGAGTGCAGAGCCCACGATCAGGGCGGTGGCCGAGATTTGCCGAGATTTATGGGGGTCACACCACCATGCTTCACGATCCCAAATGCCGATTTGACTACCCACTTGCCCCGATCAGACTCCACCATGCTTCTCAACCCCAGACCACCATGCTTCACGATCCCAAATGCCGATTTGACTATCCACTTGCCCGGCCAGGCTCCACCACACAGGTCTTGTCAGCCTCGAATGTCCTTCCGGGACTCCTATAAATACTAAGCTCAGGACTGCATTCAAGGGGTTCAAACACCAAACCAAAAGCCTCCCATGGAGCAACTTATATTTTCTGTAATGCACTTTCAATACCTTTATTTGCTTTCTTAGGAGTAGTGGTAGACTGTAAGGAAAATCCATTCATCAATATATCATACGACCCTGGATTTTCAAGGCACCGGAGCACCACCTCTGTTATCGCCTCACTCACCCCATATATCATACGACTGTCGCTCTCTGAGCAACGCGCCGGAGCACCGCCTAAAAACCCACCACCAACACCACCACTAAACGGCCTTGCAGCTCAGGCCGTGAACCTGACGGCCGAGATTCGTTCCTCACTCGGTCACAATCATTTGATTAGGAGTCGAACGCAAAACATGCTCAATATTTGAACCATCTTCTACCCGAACCTCATCATCACTTCGACGCACGGTATACCGTGCTGGCACGCCCGCGCACAACCGCACCGCATCCAAAAGGAGGACGTCACGTGTTGACGCACATCCCCTCGGCCCGGAGCACCAGGCCGCAAGATTTGCGACGGACCAACACATACATTGATTTGATGAAGGCATTGATAGAGATAAGCTAACATAAAAGGGCATGTGGCCACACCCACTTCATTGTGAAGGGTTTTCGCCAGATGCAAGTACTCTGGCTTCACTCCCCCATTGGCGTTGGGAAAAATGAATTTGTTAAGCCAGAATAGTAAGAGCATCATATGCTCATGGTCGCAGTTAGCCATCCCTTGGTAAGTCATCACGAATCCAGAATAGGTTCGCAGACGCACAATCTCTATTCTAGTAGCTTTCATTGGAGTCTTGATCCTACGATTCTTCAACTTATAGTCCCCCAGAATATCTATGCTCATCCCGCAAGGCCTAAAACTGAAAAGGGTAGCCATATCTAAGAGAATAGGGGTCATAGGACCAAGCCTGAAGGCAAAAGTACTAGAAGTGCTATCTCAATAGCAGAAAGCGGCACCCAACAAAGGTGCAATGAAGTCCATTTGATGCTTTGATAACATAATGACATAAAATATCCCATTCTGCATCCATTTATCCTAATACATGGGCATCATCTCGTCCACAGAACTATTCCAAGGGAGATAATCCTCAGTACGTCGCACTTTAGGGTTTAGACCCAACCTCTCCAAATTCGTTTCCCAAGAACCACAGTCTATATCCTCCCTACCGTAAGGAAATGGGGCTCAGACTAGTTATGTATCAAAAGCTTGTAACTTCTCCGGCTTGGCTTGATGATAGTGTGGGCCAAGAAAAGGATTGCTAGGAGGATCTTTCATATTCAAAGCAAAGGGAGAGTAAAGTCTTACTGAGCTCCTTGTTTGTTCTTGTGCTAAGGCCATCTAAAATTCCTTAGCATGTTCTGCAATGCCTTATCCTGAAATCCAGTCAGGAGCGTCAGCAGAAATCTTAGATGCCTTCGATTTCCTCGATGCCATTTTTGCAGAAAACATCAAAAAAGCTTGAAAAAGTCAGAATTGCAGCAAAATTAACTTCTCCAGATAAAGACTTCGCGACAATTCTCCCAGCAAAAGAAGAAGAAGTTCAAAAAGGAGAAGTTGGGGGGTTTTTGTTCAGTAGGCCGAAATTAATGCCAGACATGGATGTGACAGTTGCTTCTGTCAATTTGGTGCGTTACTTTCGAAAATATTCTTTTTGAGTATGATTTGACACCGCAAAGGATATGAAGGGTTTATTTTCAATAAACTTTACTTAAGCACATTGAAACTAGGGGCCAATGTTTGTACCATATATGGAAAATGGGCCAAAGATGGTTTTATTTCTCAAATAAGATTACATTAAACCTAAGCCCAACCTCTTTCTTTCAAAAACAAGATAAAGGGCTTTTTTGGAGTTGGGCCATCAATGGGCGAAACCCCCTCAAAAGCCCATAGTAAGAAAAATCCCAGCTTTGGTCCACACTAAAGTAAAGATAATGGGTAACCATTATCCATTGACCCACATGATGGTCTGGAGATGGATTATCGGAATTAATAATGACTTGACCATTGTCAATTTGATGCCATAACCAAAAGGAACTATTTCCCAACTGGATTTCTAGAGTAGATCAATATAGAGAATCTACTCACGAGAGTAGATCAATAGCTGACTTTGGACAACATCCAAATATCCTCCTCCAGCTTTCATCATTAGGGATTCTTGCCTATAAATATAGAGAATCTACAGCAACACAAGAGGACTCTCTCTCCAAAATTAGACGCAACTTCTTGAAAACACTTGAAAACACTTGAACAAACTTCAATTCTTTTTTTCAAATAGCCAATTTATTGTTCAGTAACCAATTGACAACTCCTACGTTTATCTTTTACTACTCTGCCATCTTCATGGTATGATTCTTGTTGAAACAACCAATTTGAGGTTTTTTTATAAACATATTTTTTGTATGAATTGGATAGAGAAATATCCAATCTCTTTTATATTGTAATTCATCTTTCAAAGCAGTTGAATGGAGAAATCTTTGGCTTTCGATTCAACTTGTTATCACACTAGAGTTGGATAGAGAAATCTCCAACATTTGGAATCTTTTTCTTTCTGAAAATACCTGTCATTTATCTACTTCTCATACTCTTGCATAATAATTTATTTTCCCGCTTTTGCATATTTGAGTTTCTCGTTATCCAGACCCAAAACAAGGGTTTAAGGTCCAAATAGGGCTTTATCAATCCGAAAACAAGGGCCTGTCTAGGCCTGAACTATGCTATTGGGCCCAAACTAGCTAAGTCTTAACCCGACCTAGGGTCATCTCAGACCCAAACTAGGTTTCCCAACTCAACCAAGGGAGCATTAACCACAACATTGGTTTTCTGTTTGTTTAGTAAGGTATCATCCGTATCTATTGAACTAACAACGCACAATTGAAAGAATATTGAAGTCCTCTTGATTCAGGCATAGAAAAGAACTCATCCAAGCCAGTACCCCTCTTGGAGCACAATGGCTTGATTAGAAGTTAAGAACAAGCACGAACCCATCAAACAGACACCCTATGTCACATATCCTAGGTCTATTGGGCTGGTCTCATCCCTGATAGTAGCACGTCTATGCAACTAGCGACCAAGCCAGAAGAAGCAAGTCATCAGGGCCCAGCCCCAGCTCGCCCACTCTCCTCAACCTGATCGAACTTTCAATTTTATCTAAAGTTGAAGGAATACTCTAGTGAGACAGAAATCCAATCGAGGCATTGGTGTTGACCTGACTCGTTCCCATTCTCCAAAGCAAATCGACTTGGGAGAGAGGCTAAAAAAGGGAAAAACAGGTTCATCCTTGTGCCGACCCGACCCTAAAGTTTCCAGCTTAGACTAGGTTTGGGCTTAGATTTTAGGATTAGAGCATTTTTGGGCTAGGCTAGTCTAGGTTAGGGTTTCATTACCTCGATCCAAGTTCACCTAAATTGGTCGGGTCATTCGGGCTTGATCAAGTCGAGTTGGGGTAAGCCCACCCAATTATCTTTTTTATTATTAAGAAAATTTGAGAACCAATTTTTTATTGTAAAATAACATAATAAAAGTAACATAATACATATTAATTATAGACTAAAATATCATATAAGATAGAAGTATACTTATATTTCATTTATAATATGGAGCGGGCTGGGCTCAGTTAGGCCATATCGGGCTCAACGGGTTGGGCAATAATATATTTATATTTTATTTAAAATATGGGTGGGCTTTAGCGGGTCAAGTTAGGTTGGGCCAAGTTCAAATGGGTTGGGCCTTAAGAATAACCAATCATTATTTTTTCATTAGTGATGGAATACTTCCAAAATGTTTCCTAGAAAATCTTTTGCCCTCCGTTTGGATGAGGGAAAATAACTCGGGATTTAGCTAAAAGTAGGGAATTTAAGAGGAGAAATTGACAATTCCCTCATTTGACAACTTAAGCGTGGAATTTATTTGATGACCCGCAGAAAAAATCGTGAAAATTGAAGGAAATCATATTAGGCCAGCCCTATGATAAAAAAAAAGTGCCAAAATAGGCTTTCACAATTTCACAATTTTGATAATGTGGGAAATCATATTTTAAAAAAGTGCCAAAACTTTCATTAAAAAAAACAAACAAAAAAAAAAAAAAAAAAAAAAAAAAAAAAAAAAAAAAAACCTATAATAAAAACCCTAGAAAACAAAGAAAAAAAAAAGAACCTTGTCGCCTTAAAGGCATCATAAAAAAGTTGTGCGCCAAAGAAGTAAGGAGAAGGAGTTCTTCTTCAGTTACATATCTCTTTGGATCAAGTATGAAGGTTAGTCTTCAAGCCTTTCTCTCCTTCAATTTATGTTTTTCTATTTTAGGGTTACCATGCTTTCTAAATGGCTCTCAAAATTGGATGTTTCTAACTAAATTTATGAATGTGTTATGAATGGGTTTTGTGATCTTTGCCACACTATGGCTGTATTTTGGGAAGTTTTAACAAAATACTCTATGCCCATGGATATTGGTGTGTGATATGTGTTTATGGTGTAGCTCTGTATTTGTTTTCTAGTTTTATCACTTTGTGTTATGCTTTTTTGTCTTCTCTGCTTTCTATATGCTTTGTTTTCTAGTTTTCATGGATTGTTACAACTATTAGTCTGTTGTGTTGGCTTTTCATGTCATGTAGTGAGTTACAACTAAATCGGAAAGTAACATTAATTCACACATATAAATTGTGCATCAAATTCTTCTGATATTCTTCTGACAAAAAAAAGGGGTGTTGTCAAAGATGTTATTGCTAATTTGATTGCTAGAATGGCTTTATCATTTGAAGAGTTTATCCATGCTGATACTAAGAACCTTGATTCAGCAGCGGTATATGCTGAAGTAAAAGAAGTACCAGGTCTTAGTGAAAATTTGAACAACTCAAAGGATAAGCTTGGTTGATTTAAAATGACAAAAAATTTCAGATGTTGAAGGCACTCCCAATTAAGAAAAAAAAGAGAGTATGTTGTTGATGTTTATTGCACGTGGGGAGTGATTTGGTTTGCTAATATGCTCTGTTTGTTTAAATTGAGTTATTTAGTTCATCAAACAATATGTTATTTTATACTTCGAGGAATACCTTCTATGTCGGTTATTAGTTTTTTTTTTCTTTTGAAATATTTAATTTCTATCATTTACAATTTACATGAGCTATCCAAATATTGAAATTTTCAATTTCTGTCGTTTACAAAATTCAACATACATAAATCCAAACACTGAAATCTTCAATTGCCGGAAATTGAAATGATGGAAATCTAAATTCCGTCATTTTAGAATGCTATGTAATTTGCAATTCCTTCGTCCAAACAGAGCATTGTTGTCTCTATCATTATGCATAACTCATTGAATTCCTTAAAAGATTGGAAAGTTGTGTCTTCATTCAGTTCAAGGTGCGCTTCTTCAAAATGGAAGAACATGGGCGATGCCACTGAATATAATCCTCATGGTGCTGCCTTGGTGTGCACTTTTTTATGTCTATAAAACCATGGTAGAGGTACATTTCATACCTACTTTTGTTTAGAGGTTGCAACAACTAGGGGTCAGAAGCGGACCTACAAAGGCGCAAGGAGGTGCATATGCACCTCCTCTAGCCGGAAAGAGCTCTGGAGGTTGTGGAATTTGTCCCTCAGCTCTGCCATGAAAGTGCCCACAATCTGCTCGAAGAAATGCCTCTGCAAAATTGCTTTTTGTTTGCTGTGGTGTTGCATTGTTGGTGGGCTATTGCGCGCAGCACAGCCGCATGCTTTTTTTTTTTAAATCTCTGGCCAAAACGACTCGTTTTGGACCAGGGCAATGAAAAAATATAGAGATAAAGCCTTATATTCTGCGGATAGGAACCCACTGCCAAAGTACAATTAATATTATAAATAATTTAATATAAAGAGAGTCCTAAATTGAATTGAAGAAGCCAACATACCCAAATCTTAATCCTTCTGGTCTTTTTTTCTTCTGGTGTTTTATTTCTATTTTTTTATAATATGTTTTTTTTATAATAATTTTTTTTTTATGTGGCTCTCTCTATATTTTTTAATTATAAAGTTATGAAACATTACTAGTAATCTTCAATAGAATATTGCCCCTTCTCTGAAAAATTCTTGGGTCCGCCACGCTAGGGGTGGCCATGGGTTGGGTTGGGTTGGGTTGGGTTGGTTTTAGTCCTAACCCGATATATAGCGGCTTACGATTTCTTGGACCCAAGAACCACTCGTTATTAGGCCAGCCCAACTGAACCCAAACTTTTTGTGACTGGGTTAGGCAGTTCGGACAGGTGAACTCAAAATTAAGCCTAGTTTTAAGTTTCGATTCCGAACCATAACCCAACTTGTATATAGCGGTTTATGATTTTTTTGAACTCAAGACCCGCTCATTTTTAGGCCAACTCAACCCACTATGATCGAATTAGGCAGTTTGGTTGGATTGACTCGAAATTGTGCCCACCCCTAACAACAACCACTTTTCCAATAAATAAGACACCATGACTTTCTGTATGGTATGGTAAACTTTGTTCACAAACAACGAATACTTCTCAACATGCAATAGGAGAGCTTAGGCAACGAAATAAGGCTTAGCTGAAATAAGAAGCTTGAGGGATGATCCATCCCCACCCCATAATTCTAGACATGGGATTGGCGAGCTCGGCATTACCGACAAAATCATGGTGTTTCCCTTTTGTCGGGCGAGTAGGCTAATTGAAGGAGTTTTTCTCCTTTTTGTAATTGAGTGCGTGACATGCCACCACTAAGTCGCAAATGGCTTGAATGAAATGTAAGTAGATGATGCATATGTTGAAGAAAAATGTGAACCTCCCAACATACCACCACTAATTAAATAATGGAGTTTTATTATTTTAGGTTTGCCCCATTTGAGACACATTGTCTCTTAATTACAATCCCTTGCTTCAAAGGAACAACCATTGATTCCATCATAAAGAAACAGAATGTGTATGTTTGGTTTTGCGGCTGCCCCTAAGTCCAATGTCAGGGTGCCTATGCATCCCTTGTGGGAATCAACCCACTCGTAGTTCAAAGAATCACAATGAATAAATGACTCATTGCAAGAAAAATTTGATTTGAATTGTATTGAGAAGTGTTTGAGTGAATTTAGCTTAATAAACCAGAGATTCAATACAGAATTGTGTTTGGGGCAAATTTTGTTAAAAAATAAACTAGGGATTCAAATTTGGTTGCTGTTGCGTCTATTAGTATGGTAGACTGCCTAAGTACCCTTGATGGGATCAAACCAACGTAGTTCGGAATTGATTTGTACGGAGATCAATATTTGATTTGTTGGAATTTGGTTGATGTAACCAGTGATTCAAATTTAGTTGCGGTTGCGTCTATTTGTGTCTATTAGGATGCTAGACTACCAACGTACCCACGATGGGATCAAACCAACATAGTTTAGAATTCAGAAATTAATGGGTAACTGTGGCCCACTAATTTAGAATTTGTGTCTTTGAGAGAATTTGAAGATTTTCATAGGTAGATGACCCATGGAAAAAATTGGAATTAATGGGTAAGTGTGGCCCACTAATTGAGAATTTGTGTTTGAGAGATTTGAATTTAATCTCATTGAAATTTGCATGGGTAGATGACTCATGGGAAAAATTGGATGATTTTGTACCATTTTTCTTATTGTTAATGTCCAAGAAAATAATGAGCAATTTTGATGAACCCACTAATTTTCTACAATTGACATTTGCATTTAGACCCAAATATGGCTATGAGGATTTTAAAATTAATCCATTTACCATATAATAGGTAATTCGAGCCTCTGTAAATTTAATGGGTAATTATTTGGATCACCCATTAAATATTTTGGGCTTTTGAGAACTAATGGGAAAATATTTTTGGCAACCCATTAATCTATTTCAGGCCTTTGATATTTGTCATCAATTACCCCATAAGCAAGGAGTCCATATCATAAAATCTTTGGTATCCAGCAGCCAATTGAAGCCAACCTGATAGCTATGAAACTCTTCTAGAGTTTGTTTCCAAATAAAACCAGGCTTTGCAACTCCCATATTTATCTGGAGTACTTGAGATTAACTCAAATATTTCACTATATCTCTTTGAAAGATCAAACAACAATTCCAAAACAAGTATTGTTCGTGCGAAGCAAGCTGGAAGAGAAAACCAACAGTAAGGCTTGTTTCTTTTCTTTTTTAACTCCTTTTCCTTTTAGCTGGCATCTCCTTCCACCATCTTGGCCATCATCATTTATTTTGTCTATCATTCAAGCAAAGTGGCGCACAACCACTTTCTTTTCTTTTTCCTTTTCTTTTTTTTTGTTCGTTGACTTTTCTTCCTCCTCTTAATATTTTTTCCTTTTGTCTGTTCTTACACCAGCACAACTCCTTCCTTTTGCTATTTCTCTTAGTTTCTTTTTGTACTATAGGGAACCTTTTTCCATTGTCATATCCAAAGCAAAACACATAGCTTCTTTTGTTTTGATTGTTTGTACAAAAACACTAGATGAGGAATTCAAGGAGTGGGCTGTGTAAGCTTTACTGTATTCAAAATAATCTTGAACCAATTTTGCACTTAAACCACACCTTAACACAAATGTGACAATTAAACAATAGAACAAGTAGAGATAAGACTTACTTGAATTAGTCATAATCAGATATACAAGATGATCTTCTCCTCTCAGTATTCCAGAATGTCAAGGCTTTCAATAGGACAAGCATACAGAACATGAACGTGTAAATATGAGAGCAGAGACCAAGCCTTTTATCCAAGTTGCTTTACAACTGACTCTCCTATTAAGAGACAACTGCTAGCCAAAACGTGGAGATAATGGATGATATCCACCTCCTGTAACAGTTATTCCATTTAATCATTATCTAAATAAAAGTCTCATAATATCTTAATTTAAATATAACTCTATTTATTATTTATATGACACCTCATAATAATGAAAAGGCAAACTCACAAAATATATGAAAAAACTTACATTCTCCCACATGAGTGTAGCCAATTCATCAAACAAAAAGTATCATATTGAATAATCAACAGTGATCACTGAGTTATATGAAATTATAGATGACTTTTGACAACTAACCATACTGATATAAAGGGCTGAACTTTAGAAAACTTGACACACTTAAATTGCACCAGCACTCTAAATCACAAACTTATCATATCATAATGTAAATGTTGCAGATATGGAATAAGAAGTGTGAGTCTCGGTACCATGGGACTCCCAAATTTCGTTGGTCTTATGATGTCATGAACATCATTCAATTTCAACATAACTTTGCAAAGACTTCATAAACACAGCACTAGAACCAGAAAAAATATTAAAATATTCAAAGGTGAAGAATTACCTTACTCCCACATTCAAAAAAAATCAATCGAAGCTTGCACACCCATTTTTGGCACTAGTCTTTGAAATGCAGTCACATGCAAAGCTTTTGTTAAAGGATCTGCTATCATATGCAAAGTGCCAAGATGCTCAATATCAATGACTCCATCTCTGACCTTGTCCTGAAATGTCAAGTACTTGATATCCAGTAGCCTTGAAGCATCAGATCTTTTATTGTTTTTGGCAAAGAACATAGCTGAACTATTATCACAATATAGCTTCAATGGCCTCTCTATACTCTTGACAATTTTCATACTGTGAATCAAATTCTTTAACCAAACACATTGCTTTGCAGCTTCAAAACATCCAATATATTCAGATTCCATTGTAGACACTGATCTGGTAGTTTGCTTCTTACTTCTCCATGAAACTGCACCACCAGCTAAGATAAACATATAGCCACTTGTTGACATTCTGTCATCAACACAGCCTCCCAAATCAGCATCTGAATAGCAAACTAAATTAAGTGAATCCACATAATGATAACACAGCACATATGATTTAGTCTTTTGCAAATATCTGAGAACCTTTTTGCTTGCATTCCAATGAGCAATACCAGGATTTGATTGAAACCTTCCTAGTACACTTAGTGCAAATGCCAAGTCTGGTCTAGTACAAACTTGAGCATACGTCACACTACCTACCAAGGAAGCATAAGGCTTATCTTTCATAGCCTCAATTTCAAAATCTGTCACAGGACATTGATGAGTAGAAAACGTATCACCCTTACCAATTGGAACATCACCACCACTACATCTTTCCATGTTGAACCTTTTAAGAACTCTGTCAATATAATTGTTCTGAGATAACCCCAAAACTCTTCTTGACCTGTCTCTAACAATCTCAATGCCCAAAACAAAATGAGCCTCACCTAAATCCTTCATATCAAAACTACTAGAGAGCATACTCTTAGTATCTTGAAGCAATTGAACATTTGAACTTGCCAAGAGTATATCGTCTACATAAAGAACCAGAAAAATAAAATTGGACTTCACCATTTTCATGTAGATGCAATTATCAAATCTATTTTCAACAAAACCAAATGAAGTCACAACTTGATCAAACGTTAAATACCACTGTCGAGAAGCCTGTTTAAGTCCATATATTGACTTATTTAACTTATAGACAAATTTCTCTTTCCCCCTTTCAATGAATCCTAGTGGCTGCTTCATGAAAATATCTTCTTAAAGAAAACCATTGAGGAAAGCAGTCTTCACATCCATTGGTGTAATTCAAGATTGAAGTGTGCTGTGAGAGCCATGATAATTCTAAAAGAATCTTTGGTTGACACAGGAGAGAAAGTTTCAGAGTAATCTAAACCTTCTCTTTGTGTAAACCCCTTTGCAACTAGCCTTGCCTTCAACCTTTCAACTCTTCCTTGAGAATCCCTTTTAGTCTTGTAAATCCACTTGCAGCCTATTGGTTTGACACCAGCAGTAGGCTCAATCAAAGTCCAGACACCATTCTTGTCCATAGAAGCTAATTCCTCTTCCATAGCAGCTTGCCAAAGAGTTGATTGAGAACTTTCCATGGCTTCTCTATAAGAAACAGGATCATCAAGATCTCCAATGTTAAATTCAACTTCCTGTAAATACACCATATAATCACCAGGAATCGCAGATCTCCTTGGTCTTTTAGATCTTTGAAGTGCAGGCTCAGGATTAGCAGGTTCTGCCTGTACTTTTGGTTCTAGAATAGGCAATACATCTGCTTCCTCAACCGATTCTTCAAATACTTGTGGCTGTGGAACATTATTTGTAACTGTCTCAGATGTTGAACATGGAATTGGCACTGGAATTGATATTGAGTTTCCCGAGGATGCAACTGAAGTTTTATCAATTTCTTCAAAAATATAAGAATTTTTGGATTGTGAGGAAGATGTGCTGAAATCCTCAATAAACTTAGCATTATTAGTCTCTGCAATTCTTGTATGCAAAGTAGGACAATAAAACTTAAATCCTTTAGACTTCTCAGAATAACCAACGAAGTAACAACTAGTGGTTCTCATATCAAGCTTCTTTTCTGCTGGATGGTAAAGCCTAGCTTCAGATCTGCAGCCCCATGTATGAAAATGATTGAAGCTTGGTTTTCTACCTGTCCATATCTCAAATGGCGTGGAAGGAATTGACTTACTTGGTACTCTATTCAAAATATAATTAGCTGTCTTTATGGCTTCGCCCCACAGAAATTCTGGTAACTGGGAATGAGACAACATGCTTCTAACCATATCCTTCAGTGTCCTATTTCTCCTCTCTGCCACTCCATTTTGATGTGGAGTTCCAGGTGTTGTATATTGTGGTACAATGCCTTGCTCTTGAATAAAAATAGCAAAAGGACCCTTTTATTGTCCAGCCTCTGTATGCCTGCCAAAATATTCTCCACCACGATATGATCTTACAACTTTAATGGTTTGGTTCAGTTGATTTTCAACTTCTAATTTGAAAATTTTGAAACAGTTTAAAACTTGTGATTTTTTAGAAATCTAATACAAATATGAATATCTAGAAAAATCATCTATAAAGAGAACAAAATAGAAATTTCCACATATTGTCCTTGTTGGAAATGGACCACAAACATCTGTATGTATTATCTCTAACAAGTTACTGCTTCTAGTTGAGTTTATTTTCCTTGTGCTTGTGGTTTTGCCTTTAAAACAATCAATACATGTCTCAAAATCATTGAAATCCAAATCTGGCAATATCTGTCTTTTCATTAATCGTTCCATTCTATCCTTTGATATATACCCTAATCTCCTATGCCAAAGCATAGAAGATCTGTCATTATTAAGCATTCTCTTAGAAACAAAATCAACAATATGGAAACATTCATGAAAATAAGTACATTGAAGCTGCCACAAGTCACCATTAAGAAAAGCATAACCAAGTAATTTATCAAACTGATTTTTGTGAAAAATATGAATACTTTCATCATCACCAATATAAGAAAAACCATCCTTAACAAGCTTTGAAACTGAAAGTAAATTCCTTCTCATTGAAGGTACATAAAGAACATTATTCAATACTAAAATAAAACCAGATGACAACTCTAACTTAACACTACCAACAGACTCTACTTCTACTTTTGTTCCATTTCCAACAAAGACTTTGTAGATCTCTCTATTTTGGTCCTTCTGGCTTTTGAATCCCTGCAGCGAATTAGTGATATGAACAGTGCAACCAGTGTCAAACCACCATGAGTTTTGTGGAATAAAAACCAAATTGTTTCAACAGTAACAAAAACATCAACAATTTGAATACCTTTCTTAATGAGCCATGCCTTAAAACCAGGGCAATCTTTCCTCACATGCTCAGCAGATTTGCAAAAGAAACATTTTTTGAAAATGTCTTTGTTAGGTTTAAGACTAGAACTAGTGGTAGCAATAGAGTTTTGAGCAGGCACAACAAAGTTATGAGCATTTTTCTTTGAATTGGAATATGAACCCGTTTTAGGTGCATTTGTCTTCTGATTGGGATTTCCAGATTTATTGACTGTAGCTGCTTTCTTTCCTTTCCCAGCATGTACCAAATTGACAACTTCAGCTTTGCCCTTTTTTAATCTCTCCTCCTCTTGACAACAAATAGCAATAAGTTCATTGACAGTCCAAGTCTCTTTCTGGGTATTGTAGTTGATCTTCACTTGCTCATAATCAGAAGACAAGGAATTGAGAGCCATATGAACAAGGAATTGATGAGTAATCTGCAAATCCAGATTGTTGAGCTTGTTTGCCACATTAACAAGTTTGAGGAGATGCTCTCTCATGCTCCCAGTTCCATCAAACTTGGTTGAAGTGAGTGTAGTAAGATAAGAACTTGATTCAGCCTTGTCAGACCTCTTAAACTTTTCCTCCACAGCTTCCATATAATCCTTGGCAGGATCATAGCCTGGGATGCCACCTCTGATGTGCTTTTCCATTGAATTTTGCATTATAAGCAAAGACATATCATTTGCTCTCTCCCATTTCTTAAAAGCATCCTTTTCTTCTTGACTATTGACATCAGTCAAAGCTGCTGGCTTAGGCTCCTTAAAAGCTATGGTGAACTCAAGTAATCCCAAATTCATATCAATTTGTTCCTTCTATGTCTTGAAGTTGGTCCCATTCAGTTTCTCAATGTTAATAAGGTTTAACATATTGAAACCTGCCATTAATTATAGTAACAGAACATAAGCTTCGAAGTTCACAACAATTGTGACTAAAACTGATATCTAAATGCTTTAGTCAAACTTATGTTATAGAAACTAATCACACCTCTAGGCAAGAAATCACTCTATAAATGCAATGAACTATCAAAACAAAAATTTGCATAGCCAAGCATAAAGCACAAGAATTAGTACAAATTCAACACCTTTGGGTGAGATTAAATAATACTAACCAAGTTTTTCATGACTCACTAGACATTAGTTTATAGCCAAACCCAGTAGACAACTTCTTTGGAAGAAAATCTACCTATTAATGTTTATAAACTACAAACTGAGCATCAAAATTGATTTTAAATAGCAAAGGATCAGATAAACCACTTTGGCAGTTTACCCATCCAATCCCAAAATCATCCCAGTATATAATCTTGTTAATTTAATTAAATCAACAAAATTCATCAAAAAACCATTAGACAAATCAATTGAGACTGAATTTGATTCCTAATGTTTACTGATCGAATTGAATAATCAGCAAGTAACATCACAAGTGCATCGAAATATAATGATATAAAAATTACAAGTATAATCATTAACGCAGCGGAAAAAGACAAAAAAACAAGGATAATCATAAATGATACAATTTCGATAAACGTTAACCAAAATAGATGAGTTTAAGGCTGAATTGATAGCTCTTATACCGCATGTAAGCTTTATTGTATTCAAAATAATCTTGAACCAATTTAGCACTTAAACCACACCTTAACACAAATTTGACAATTAAACAATAGAACAAGTAGAGATAAGACTTACTTGAATTAGTCATAATCAGATATATAAGATGATCTTCTCCTCTCAGTATACCAAAATGTCAAGGCTTTCAATAGGACAAGCATACAGAATATGAACGTGTAAATATGAGAGCAGAGACCAAGCCTTTTATCTAAGTTGCTTTACAACTGACTCTCCTATTAAGAGACAACTGCTAGCCAAAACGTGGAGATAATGGATGATATCCACCTCCTGTAACAGTTATTCCATTTAATCATTATCTGAATAAAAGTCTCAAAATATCTTAATTTAAATATAACTCTATTTATTATTTATATGATCACTTATTTCTATTTGTTTTTGTTTCAGAGCAGCACAATCAAACACAGAAGAAATTAGTGTGCCTTTGTTTTTAATAGAGAGGGAGAGAGTTGATCAGATTCTTCAAAGGCAGAGGTATAACCTTTTTTTTATTTGCCTCTAGTTTGCGTCAATCATCAATTCCCTTTTTTTTTTAATTTTTTTTTATAGAACTATGCCCTTAAAGCCAACTAATTATGTAATAGTTATGTTATCAATGGCCAAGAAAGGTTGTTTTATACATTAAACCATCCTATATTATCTTTCAATATGTAGAACAACCATAGTTCAAGGAATACACAAGTGGATATGAGAGTTATGTAATGAGATTGCATACATGGAGACTTCTCATCATCCCTAAATCCTGAATATGTTCCTGGTCATAGAAATATTGATTGGGCATCCATATTCTGAAAATACCAGTACACACAGTATCGTCTCTATATGTAGGGAATGGCAAGGTCTCAAGTCATTAAGTGTGGAAACACATCGATATGTGTGCAGGTGCTTGTAGAAAAGCAAGCACACTGAACGCAATCCAACACATGAGTTACAACATGGAAGTCTTTACTCACATGTCAAGCTAGAACTCATAAATTGCAATGGTGCAAACTAATCCTTGGACCTGAGGCATCATAGATGTTTTGTGGCTATGTTGTTATTCTTTGAGGCACTATACGATCATGTTGAATTAGGCATACCTTAAAGGTGCTCATCAGGATTCTCAATAGAGTCATGGAAGCAAATGAATGTACAACAAGGAATCTCTACTCTCAATAAAGGAGAGAGAATACTCCAAGATATGATTGGTCAAATCTTGGCGCAGAGTAATGGATAAGATTTGAAAGAAGAAGTCTTCAAATCTTACCAGGATAATCATATAAAAGGAATGATTCACATTAGGATACTGACAATCAGATTCCATGATATGATAATGTGAATAAGGAGTATTGACATAAGAGAATGATTCAATTGCATGGTCATTCCAATTTGAATAGGTTCATTCACAACGTCTCATTTAGCTCTAATAACTATGACTTGCTGCTAGGCGACAACCATAGTTTGTGGATGTCTTAAAATGTTTCAATTAACCTTTATTAATAGGAAGAATTAAATTGTGGAATTTAATTTGTATATCATCTCTGAGGAGTTAAGTCAACCCACTACCTTGCTAAAGGGAACCTACGGATCTGCATACCCAAAGAATTGATTATAGGTACAAATGAGGAGACACAAGTCAATGGTTGATAATCAAATGTCAACATGTTGACCGGAGCAATTGACCAAAGTCAAATAGTTCGAACGGGTCAATTAAGTAAGATTATAATTATAATTTAATAGTTAAATTACAATTAAAAGATTAATTATGGAATTAATATTGACATATAAAAATATTGGATTGGGCTTTTAAATATGATTTAAAAGGAAATGGACAAAATAGCCCAAAAGGCTATTGGGCCCAAGGGATAAGCGGCATAAGATGACATGACCCATTGACCAAGGGAGCCCCAAATACTCACCAAATTGTCTTTTGTATTGTCCTATATAAGCTAAGTGTTTGAGAAAACCTAGCTAGGGTTTTTGGTTTCCTACTTTGGTTGATGAGTGATCTTCTTTGTATCTCATCTTCCATAAACCAAAAATTGGTCTAATCAAGAAGTAGACTAGCATTCATACTTCTCGATTGTCTTCTCTTCATCTCTAGGAGCATTTGATGTGGTGAGGTAGATGACACCAATCTTGGAGTCTTAAGGTGAAGGAGTTAAAATCAAGAGAAACAAAAGGTCTTTCTAACAAAGGTGTTTATTCTTGAGAAATCAATAAAAAGTCATCAAGGGTAAAAGATCTATTCCCTTTTTCATTTTTCTATTTGTGTTCAAAGAGACTAGGCTAAGATACTTGGTTTAAAATGAAAAAGGTTTAGCTCAACTAGTATAAACAAAATGAATCTGCCATTTAGAATGTTTTTATTGTATAGGTTGTGGCTAAAGTTCATTTCCTAAGCATTAGATGCATGTTTCCTTCATTTTTCTCTTCTTTGCTACACTTGGGGGTAGAGAGTTAACCATTTTTCATTTGCAGCTTGTTCAGGCAGAGAGAAGGAGAAACAATAGGACAAAAGTAAAGACTCATTTCATTTGCTAACTGTCATAGATCAAGAAACCCTTTTTTTTCAGGACATGCCTAAAATTTCTTTCATCCGCAAAGGTTCTAGGTTTCTCACCCATATGGATTTTTACATCTGATTAATTTCGAGGTTACTCACTCATGGATTTGAATCCAAATAATTTCAAGATGAATAATTTCAGGGTTTCTCACCCTTGGATTTGCATCCAAATAATTTCAGTGTTTCTCACCCATAGATTTGTGGTATGCTATGCCTAACATAGAAAAGAAAATAGAGATGACATGTAGCAATTTTTTTTCCTCTTCTTTGTACTTCTCTAATTTCTCCAGCAGCCTTTTTCTTTTATCTCTCGCCTGCTTCCTCCTTTTTTCTTTTTTTTTCTTTTTTCTATTGAAGCCTTTTTATAGGCCAAGTGGATATCACTTCCCTGGACGAACAACACTTTTGAATTTCAAATAAGTGCTTATAGGATTCAGCCTCCCTTTTAGGCCTATTATCTTTTATATCCACCAATTTGAAACACAACACATATCCAAAAATTTGGGAACACATGTTGGCTTGCATTTATCATATAATTTTTTTTGAAAAAGGATATAATTTATTTTGACATTTTTTTTTATCTCAACAGTGTCCAAGATCTAACTTTAATTAAAAAATTGTTCAACTGAGCAAGGAACCTCCTCACGACCTAAGTTCTTTCACTTTCTCGAAGTCAAGGCTTTATGTGAGCAACCAAGTGATGTGGATTGGGTGGAAATGGAGATTGATATAAAATCGTAAATAAAACGAGAATAAGTGCGTACAGTAAAGATGCTTAAATTTAAGGGAAAATTGTAAAATATCACATAAACTTTTAGTCATGTTTACGATTACCACATGAACTTTCAATTTTTACTGTTAACCACACGAACTTTGCAAAGTGTTCCAATTTACCACCTACATGTAACTCCATTAAAATTTCCGTTAACTAAAGTTGATATTTAAAGGACATTTTCGTCAATTTATTATAATTAAAAACTTACATTATTTAAGCTAACATAATTAAAAATAATAGGAAAAAAAAGAAGAAAATCAACATAATCATCTTCTTCTTGTTTTTTTTGTTTGTTTTTTTTTAATTCTTTTAGTTTTATATTTTTAAAATTTTTAATTATAATGACTTGACTTAACGGAAATTTTAATGGAGTTACAAGTAGTTGGTAAATTGCTACATTTATAAATTTTAGGTAGTTAATAATGAAAATTAAAAGTTCAAGTGGTAAGCGTGCCATCGCCTAAAAATTCACGTGGTATTTATGCAAATTTTCTTAAATTTAAATATAATTGAAGAGACGCGCGGCCAGGGGGGCGGGGAAGTAAATTGCGTAAAGTAAATGATAGAAATTAACGTGCGTAAATTAAAGAATTTAAAGACGAGTGCGTAATGTAAATTGAGTAAAATAAATAATTGAAAGTAGGCTTGGAGGGACAAGTGCGTAAACGAATGAAAACAACGTAAAATGACAAGTTGTGTGTTGTGTCACGAATCTTTTCTCTCTTCCAAAAGCTTGGTATTTATAAGGGCTTCGATACGTCCCAATTTGATCAATCATCAATTGACCTTGAAACAGTCATAATTTCATACTTGATAAATATCATTAATTTTGGCTGATTGCTTCAATTTTCTTGGTTGACCCAAAATGCATTCAACCCCCTTGATTCATGTTTGTGGTTTACTCTAAATAAAATGCTGATTTGATTTTCTTTCCATCTTCAGCTCTCCCACATTAACTTTGCTTGAGCATCTGGTTGGCATAAATCCCTTGTATATTTGGATTGTAACATGTGTGAAAATCCACCTCCGAATGTTCTCTCCTCATTTATGTTTCGGGTTATTTTATGCATTCAGCCGCTTCTAGTCATTCGGTCGTATTTAGGCATTTGACCAGTTTTATGTGCTTGTCTGTTTTCACATGCTCGACCGCATTTAGGTGCTCGACCATATTTAGGGAGTCAGACACTTAAATGCACTCCACAACATATATAATCTTTTGGGGTTCTAGCCATCCTTACTGATTTAGAATTTGGGGTCGACGAGTATAACTTGGGGCTCCTTATAGATTATGGGCCACTCAAACATAACTAGGGCCAAATGGTAATTTGGGACTGCTCGAGCATAACTTGGGCTCCTTGTTTATTTAATTGTCGAATCTTGGACATGACCCAACCAGATTTGGACCAAGCTCAAACATTAACCCCCCAGTTTTTATGAACTTTGCCTCCAACTCCAACTAAATTTATGAAAACTGAGAGTAACTTAGAGTTAATTCTTTTTCACGATTGCACAACTACTTCAAGATTTTACCCTTATATCGACCTCTGGATGATTTTGCATTGTTTTCAAGCTATTATTTTCAAAGAAACTTAGCTATAAAGCCTAATTAAATATTTCCATGTCGCCACATTCTTCACACTTGGATTGCATATTTTGTCTCATATGGTTGTTATTATTCGGCCTATGCACGCACATACAAGCCGTTCTTGGCCTTGTAATTGTGATTGTTTACACCAAAATCAACAGCCAATAAGAGCAGGACACGTGGACAAAAGAGAGCATCGGTAGGGAAGCCCACAGCACCCAGGCCTACCAATCGCGTGATTAAGGCAAAATCACCCGCTAGACACGTGGAGCATCCACAGTGAATGCCAATAGTCCCACATCAAAATTCTACACAGCATCCACAACCCCCAAGGCTTATAAAAAGGGGCACATGTCCTAAAATGGAGGTAACTAGAACTTTCGGCATACTAGCCATAGCTCTGTCCAAATTACTTACTAAATCCGCACTTACTTAAGCATTGAAGAGCCTTCAGCCTGTACCACACCGGTAACCTAGGTCTTACCGAGCTTTTCTTATCTTGCAAATTAGGCGCTCCTGCAGAGGCCCAGAGCATTCCGAAGGCCCATACATCACTAAGTTGGGCCCAAAAGTGCCGAACCACTTTTTCACATCAACAGTTTGGCCTCGTTGTGGGAAACGATTTTAATCGACCCATTATGCCTATCACATGGGGACCACATCAGTACCTGCATTTTTGCCATAAGAGGGATTGTCGTTCGGAAGGCAAAGCGGAGCTAGCCTAGCGCTACCCCCTTGCACTCCCTTCGGCAATTCACCTGCCATACAAACCATTGCTGAAGCAGAGCTTCTAGCCCAAATCACTTCTTTTTGATAGGATATGGCAAAATTGCAAGAACATAATAACCTTCTTTCATCCAAGGTGGACGAGACACAGTAGCTGCTCAATCAGCACCCTCCAAGTCGACAGAAGAAGGGTAAACAGGGGCAAAGGCAACACCCGTACCCTCCAAACACCTGGTAGTTCCGGCTCCCATAGATAAACCCCACCTGCCGAAGAAGGTTTATATCGATTGTCACCATCAGCTGATAGATCGGGAAGCTGAAAAACAAAGGTCTTCGATCAGAATTGGGGCACATCTCCAAGACTCATGAATGAGGATCCTGGGAAATAAATCCCCCATCCGAAAGGTGCAGGGTTTGGAGTCCACAGCAGAATCTAATCACGAGTACGTCCCTTCCAAAACTCAAGAGTGCACCTAACGTTCGACAACGCCGATGCGATACTCTGAGGTTGACCTAATAAGGTCACAGAGACATTTAGAGGACTATGGACCATAAGGGATTCCTAGCCGAGACCCAATTATTCGACTCCTTTTCCAGAATGTTCAAAAAATGGAAGATGGCCGAACCCGGTCTCAAGAACTTGACTGGGGAAAGCTTCCTCCAGGACCATTCACCGAATGCATCAAGCACTCTAGACAGGACAGGGATGTGCTACCACTGCACACACAGTTTTATACTGGAGTAAAAGATCCCCTGACGCATCTCCACTCATTCCAGTCTACCATAGGGTGCAAAGGTCTCAGTGACGAAGGGCAGTGCTAGTTGTTCCCATTTGCGCTTACCGGAGCGACTTTAAATTGGATCTACATATTGGAACCAGGAACGGTGGACTCCTTAAATGAGTTGAAACAAATCTTCCACAATCATTTTATGATCCAAACAGACCGTCTGTATTATGCCGATGATTTGTACACCATTCGGCAGAAGGAGGATGAGCCCTTGAGAGAATATGTTGCGCGTTTCAGTCACCAGTACTGGAGGTGTCCTAAGACTGATGACAGGGCAGCCTACGGCGCCTTCAAGAGTGGCCTTCGGTCATCACATTTTCAGTAGTTGGTATACAGTAGCAACTGGCGTAACTATGACAAGTTAATGAAGCAAGCAGCACTCCATGCAAAGGCCGAATACTTCAACTCAAAATTCGGGCCCTTGGCTCAGCAGGAGGAGCCAGCGCTGAAGAATTATTAGGCGCAGGGATCACCATATGCCTCAACTAAGAGAACTGATGGGTATTAGGTGAGCCAAAAGTGGACGGACAACTCTGACGCTCGGCAGGGGCACTCAAAGAAAGGAAAGGGTAAATACGGTCGAAACGACCACCAGTGCCTCTACCGAATCATGATCGCGTCAGGAAGTTTTCACTTTGCTCAACACCACTTACGAGGCTGTTCTCATGAACGAGCACGAAATAATACCGAAGCTGGCCAATCAGAAACCCAATCGGCAAGACAATCGGGATACCAGAAAGTTCTACTGATACCACCAGCATAGCAGTCACAATACTGAAGAATGTGTAAGTCTGAGAAAAATCGTCGAGCAATTGATTCGGGAGGGCAAGCTAGATCAATACATTGCCAGGCCACCACAAGCGCTGGTTCCGATCGCTCGAGGAAACAATACGTCTGAGCTACACAATACCCTCAGGTCTTCGGCATCGAGATTAACCGACATCATAAACTGCAGAAGATTCAGTGGGAACCTATCACCTTCTGCGAGGAAGAAGAGGAAGGGATCTTTAACCCCCATGATGACCCAATGATCATCCGAGCGGAGATTGCCGACTTTGATGTGGGACGGGTGGTAATAGATACTAGAAGTTTAGTAAACGTGATCTTTGCCGATGCATTCAGTGAGTTGGGAATAGACAATAGCCACGTCAACGGGCAGCTGACGCCTCTACTCAATTTTTTCTAGGGATCTGGTTCAGCTAGTCAGTAGCGTTAGCCTACCCATCGCCTTCGGTGTTGCCCCACGAAAAACAATGGTATATGATCAATTTCTCATAATGGATTGCCCGACGGCATACAACGTCATAATAGGACGAACAACACTCACCGGGATCAAGGCATATCTGTCTCCCCACATGTTACTCATGAAATTCCCAACCTGCCACGGCACAAGTGCAATCCAAGGAGACCAGTTGAGTGCACGAACCTGCTATGCGACGACGCTAAAATCAGCAGCCCTCAAACCTCCCAGGGAGACCCTAACTGTCCAAGGGACACCGAATAGTAGAAGACCTGTTGACAACCTAAGAAACGAGGCTCTGATGCCGCAAGCGCAGCCTGCAAAGGATTTGGAAACAATCATCTTAAACGAAGATCAACCAGACCGATGCGTAAAGATTGCACCACACTCACCCTAGCCCTCCGATCGGAGTTTATTCAATTTTTGAGGCACCACTTTGAGGTGTTCTCTTGGTCTTACGACGATATGCTGAGCATTTCTCCCGAAGTTATCAGCCACAAGCTCAGCATCTACCCAACTTACAAACCTCTGCGTCAAAAGCGTTGATCCTATGACACCGAACGATATGAGGCCATGAGAGCCAAAGTCACTAAGCTTTGCACTATTGGCTTTATTCGGGAAGCTGTATACCCAGTATGGCTGGTAAATTCCGTTATGGTTCGGAAGGCAAAAGGCGAATGGCGAATGTGCCAAGACTATACCGATCTGAACAAGGCTTGTCCAAAGGATAGCTTTACGTTACCTCGAATCGACTAGCTCGTAGACACCACTGCCGGCCACGACTTGCTTAGCTTAATGGATGCATACTTAGGGTACAATCAGATCTTCATGGACCCTGCCGATAGCGAACATATGACATTCGTCACAGACAGGGGACTATATTGTTATAATGTTATGTCGTTCGACCTAAAAAATGCCGGAGCGACATACCAGAGGCTGGTCAACTGAATCTTTACCAAACACATCGGTAGTACCATGGAAGTCTACGTTGACAACATGTTGGTAAAGAGCAAAACTGCAGAAAAGCACTTACACAACCTATCCCTCATGTTCGGCATATTAAAGGAATACCAAATGCGACTAAACCCTACAAAATGCGCCTTCAGTGTATCTTCAGTAAAGTTTCTCGGTTTCATGATTAGCCAAAGAGGGATCGAAGCGAACCCCAAAAAAATCAAGGCTTTAATTGATAGGGAAAGGCCAAAGACACAGAAGGACATTCAGAGCCTCACCGAACATGTCGCGGCATTAACACGGTTTATCCCGAAGGCAACTGACAGATGTGCACCATTCTTCAAAGCCTTGAAAAGGGGCAAGCATCATATCATCTGGACCGCCAAATGCGACCAAGCATTTCAAGACCTAAAGAACTACATGAGCTAGGCACCACTATTGTCGAAGCCCCTTCCTGGAGAAATCTTGTTTCTATACCTATCGATATCCCAGAGTGTCGTCAGTTCTGTACTGATTCGGAAACCAGAGAAAGTCGAATTGTCAATCTTCCATGTCAGTAAAGCACTACAGAGCACAGAACTTTGGTACCCTCCCCTTGAGCAATTGGCCCTAGCTCTTATCACCTCGGCGCAAAAACTCTATCCCTATTTTTAAGCCCATTCGATCACAGTCTTAACTAACCAACCACTTCGGCAAGTATTCCAGAGGCCGGAAACATCTGGTCGATTGGTTAAACCGGCGATCGAGCTAGGGGAGTTTGATGTACAATTCAAACCCAGACCAGTCGAGAAAGGTCAGGCCGTGGCTGAATTCATATCCGAGCTAACACCTTCAACAGCGTCGACAGAGTCCGATACAGATAGACCGTGTATACCGAATGCTAGGTGCTTCGACCAATCGTCCCAATTTGGGCCCTACACATAGACGGTTTGGTAAATTAGCAGGGGTGCGGAGCCGGCCTAGTGTTGACAGCTCCTGATAGGTTAAAATGGAATATGCCCTCCAATTCAACCGCAGAACTTCCAACAACAAAGCTGAGTATGAAGCGTTTCTGGCCAGCCTTCAGCTGGCCAAAAGCATGGGCACCAGACAGATCAGCATCAATAGTGACTCCCAGCTCATCGTGAACCAAGTGACTGCTGATTTCGCCGCCAAAGATATATCCATGTCAGCTTAACTATCAACAGCACATCAGTTACTTCAGAAATTTCTGGCCTACGAGATTCGACAAATACCCAGAACAGAAAACTATCATGTAGACGCATTGGCCAGATTAGCTTCGACTATCATGTAGACGCATTGGCAAATACCCAGTTCCGGTGGAGATGTTGGCTCAGCCAAGTACGGCAACCTTTGAAGTATGCACCGTACAATATGAGGACACATGGATGTCTCTAATTGACGCTTACCTGACGAACGGTACCTTACCCAATGACAAGTCTCAAGTAAAAAAGCTGCGGTATCGAGCGGCGAGATACACAGTCATCAACAATATTCTTTACAAGCGTGGCTATACCACCCCTTACCTTAAGTGCATCACTGCCGAATAGGGGGACTACGTTCTACAGGAGATCCAAGGCAGAGTCTGCGGCGACCACTCGGGATCCCGATCACTGGCACACAAGGCCTTTCGGCACGGATATTATTGGCTAACCATGCATCAGGATGCAGTCACACTGTGAAAAAGTGTGACAAATGCCAACTCTTTAGTAACACACACAATGTCCCTGCCGAACTACTAACGCCCATTATAAGTCCTTGACCTTTTGCCCAATGGGGGCTTGATCTAATTGGCCCGATGCCGCAAGGCAAAGGCCAAGTCAAGTACTCTGTCGTTACCGTTGACTACTTCACCAAATGGGTTGAGGCCGAAGCTCTGGCGACCATTATGGCTGCAAGAATAGAAGACTTTTTCTGGACCCACATTTGTTGCCGATTCAGTATCCCCTTTGCAATCATCACCGACAACGGCAAGCAGTTTGATTCGAACCTCTTTAGACAGTTCTGTACTCGCCTCAAAATCAATCTGTTCTACGCTTCACCAGCTCACCCCCAATCGAACGATCAGGTTGAAGCGATAAACAAAATTATCAAGAAGCTGCTGAAACGGCAACTCGACAATGTCATGGGAGCCTGGCTAGAGAAGCTTCCTGAAGCATTTTGGGCCATTTGGACATCCTACCGAATGTCCATAGGATAAACTCCCTTTTTTCTTGCCTTTGGATCAAAGGCGGTTGTCCCGATGGAGATCGGCGAGCCATCCTACCGAACGAAATGTTTTTCAACAAAGGCAAACGAGGCAGCACTCGCACTGAACCTCGATTTTATTGAAGAACGCCAAGCGCAAGCCAACCTTCGGAATGAAGCTTACAAGCAACGTGTCTCTCGGTACTGCGACTCGAAAGTAAGACCACGCTCTTTCAGAATAGGGGACTAGGTCGTGCGCAAGGTCTCCTTGGCGACCAAAAATCCAACGGAAGGAACCCTCGGACCTTCCTGGGAAAGGCCTTATGAGGTCATCGGTATCCTCCGATCTGGAACATACCTATTGAGAGACACCAACGACAAGACCCTCGGCCTTCCTTGGACTGTCGAACACTTGAAGTATTACTTCAAGTAAGCACCCTAGCCAATTGCCGATTGTTATATGTTAGCACTTGGCAATATATTAGCCCAATAAAAGGTTCACTTTAAATTTTACTTATTATATTAGCCCTCGACAATATAACGGTTAAGTCAAAGCTCTCGGCGTTTGCTTGCTATTAGACTCAAGCTACTGTTGCCTACCGATAATATCTTCACTTTGATACTTTTTCTAAAAATAGTCCACAAGACTTGTTAGCCATCGGCGACAGTCAGACAATCGGTGTTTGCTCACTGTTAGACTTGTTATTTTTTCAAATCAATTAAATGACATCTATTAGCCTTTGACAATAATGTAAAGAAAAGAGTCATTCATTCAAATAAATACCGAAAAAACACATTTCAAAATATAAGATGCATTAAAAAGATGCCCTTGACATCAAGGTGTTCAGAATCTACCGCCTTATGGCGAGTACAATTACAAAAAAAATAAAACAACGACATAAGGGGCTTAAGCGGCAGCCTCACCATCGGCACCTCCGGAGCCACCAACAGCATCAGAGGCAGTAGCGTTCCCAACACCCTCGACAGTAGGATAAGCGTCCTCACCTTCATAGTCTTCGATCATCTCCTCCGTCACTCCTTCCGGCAGAGGAGAAGGATCAGCAACAAAATTTAAGTTCAGCTTATGATCGGGGTTAAAACACTTGAAGCGATAAATTAGATCCGCCATCTTCAGGCCCACCTCCTTGTCCAAGAGGGCGGTAAACTCCTCAGAAGAGCGGTACTGCTTCATCACCTCCCGAACAGCCCCCCCAATCTCCTTGGCCTTTGACCGTTTGGCCTCGGAAGCTTTAACTTACCGCATCCATGGCCCCCTCAATCTCCTTGGCATCCTTGGCAGCTTGGATAACAGCATCCAAGGTTGCCATCATCTCGGACAGTTTGGCCTCGGAAGCTTTAACTTTCCGTTCGAGAGCCTCCTTGTCCTTGACTAGGTTGGCATGGTCCTGAAGAACCTTGCCAGCATCGGCGACCTTGACGCAACTGTCTTCATAGGCTTTCTTGGCACGTTCAGCAACCATAATGGCCTGCTTGCACAGCCACATGTCCATGGACACCTGGAAAAGAAAAGACGCGAATCAGAAAGTGGAGAAACAAGCGGAAATCAGAGAAGGAAAGAATGAGAGACTTACAAAAGCCTGGAGTCGGAAGGCGCGTTTGGCTTCCTCTTAAATGAGCCTCTTCAAAAGTTCCTCAATCTTCAATAGCTCCATTTGCGAACCAAGGATCATAATGGGCTCGGCAAGGCCCTCTTCGTCTTCGACAGCAAGAAAAGCCCTCGGCTGTTCGGATGATCGTCCGCACTTGGATACTGGTTCGGCATCCAACTCCACGAACGTCGGTCGTTTTCCAATCACCTTGGGTACTAGTTCGACTTCCAGCCAGCGCTTGGGTACTGATTCGGCTTCTAGCCTGCGCTTGGATACTAATTCGACATCCAGCTACTTTAGTCATTCGGCCGGGGTCTGGTTCTCCAAATCCGCCTCTGTCATTTGGGTTGAAGCTCCCGCCGGCTGCTACCATTGTTTCTTCTCCTTTGCCCCCACAAGAAGACGTCTTTTCGAAGACTCCGACATCTTCTTAGCCTCGGTAGACTTCCTGGCATCAGTCACTGTACAAACACAAAATGGATCGGTAAAACGATAGGTTATTATTGAACGAAATCAATCACTCACTATTGGCAGAACAATTACTCTCCGCAGGGTCAGCAAGGCAGGCTTTAACCAGATTCTCAGTAAAGAGGAAGTCTGGATATATTCTCTCAATGGCAGGAACCTTCAGCTTCACCCGTTCGATCTTCCAAATGTCGGACTGAGAGGAAGTCAATTGCTTCAACTTGCGTACAGAACAAAGAAAGAAAATGTTACTCACGTTAAAAGTAGTAGCTTACCGAACGACATGTTGATGGCCTACTGACTATTTGAAAGGTTGTGGGTATGTGATAGTGGACGGGCCTTTCCAAAGGGGACTCCTAGTCACCGGACAAAAGGACCCACCAATTCCTCCATAATTTCTATAAAGTCACCCTATTGAAGTGACCACGTTTGGAAGCCCGGAGGCAGTTAGCCTGCACCCAACCTCCATGCCCAGCGCTCTTTGACTTGGTGACGCTATAAAAATATGAGAATTGTTCGTAGGTCGGCTCTCCCTCCTCGGCAAGACCGAAAGAGACGATCACCCCCATCAGGGCCACCCAGAAGTTGGGGTTGTATTTACACGGGGCATAGCCCAAATGAGCTAGGATCCTCTAAATAGGAGGCTGCAGCGGTAGCCGAACCCCATGCTGAAGGATGTCGGTGAAGAAGACAACCTCACTGTCCTTTGGATTGCTTATTGATTTGGTAGGCTCCGAGATTCTCCATTTTACCGAACTCGGGATCCGGTATTCAGCCCGATATTTGGCAAGCTCCCGTTCGGTTATCTTGTTTGGCTCCAGGTAGTCCACACCAAACAAATGCTCCTTGGGTTGCCATAAAGGTATCCTAGGATTACCTTGGTTGACTATGGTAATAATCGGCCGAGAGGAGGACTCGGCAACAACATCCCCACGGCTAGACGTGGAGGTTTCCGATTGATAACTAACATGATGGTCCGGAGCCCGAGTGTCCCTCATAAGGAACTCACAGTACTGACTTGTGCTAGCACTTTGGAAGCCGTACGGCACCACAGCCAACGGTATTGCCTGTCCCGTTATGAGCCCTTTCCCTCTGCCGTGGGAGGGAACGGAATCAACCCTCTCACCAAGGATTTCAACCTCAGTATCTTCGTTACTAGCACTGTTAAAGCTTAAAGCCTCACTACTGGTATCCTTCCGATTGTCCGATGACTCCCCATCGAATGCGTTGGGTTCACTATCATATCGGGACTCACTATCGGACATCTACAAACAAAAAGGAAGGAAACTAAATGCCATGCAAGAGATTGGTCTACCAATGCCTACAACATCGCTACTTATGGCAACTAGACTACCGAACAATCCTCAAGAACGTAAACCTTCAAGTCTAGCCCATGCAAAGGAAGGACTTCCAAACAAAAAAAAACAAACAAACAATAAATATATAACAAATATACATATGCAGGAGACCAAAGTACCTTGCCTCAACGGTAGACGGAATATAACCAGAGTGCCGAAGGTGTTCGCCAGAAATCGCCTTCATTGCCGATTGCCTCGCCTGAAATCGCCTTAATTGGCGAATGTTAACGCCGGATATCGCCTCTTCACAGCTTTCAAATATCTCTCATAGCGCAAGTGATTCCCCCATCCGAAGTCACCCCTATTTATAGAAGAAGGAATCCAACAGTACACCTCGAAAAACCAACCGGTTCCATTATTACCCTATTCTGCGTACACACAGCGACAAGTGGCACCAACCAGAGATGGAGGCTATCAACACGCGAGGCACAGAAGACTAAGTGTCATCCAGGCAAGCCGATCCCACTTCCCAAAGAAGATTGCAGCCTATAAACTCCCGAATGTTGACCACATCGGAGACTACCGTAAAGAATGGGGCAAGTACCGAACGGCATAACAAGATCGGGTGACTCTTGGACTACCTTCATCCTGCCTCACACGAGGACTGTACCTCCCCAAGGGCGCACTAGGTTCCACAGTTTTCATAAGCATACAGAACGGCATTGTCTTCCTGATGGCAATCCACACGTACCGAAGGGCTAAACAAGTCCCAATTGAGATGTTCTCTCAATTAGGAACGTGGGGGAATCTTGTTTACACCAAAAGCAATAGCCAATAAGAGCAGGACACATGGACAAAAGAGAGCATCGGTAGGGAAGCCCATGGCACCCAAGCCTACCGATCTCATGATTAGGGCAAAATCACCCTCTGGACACGTGGAGCATCCACAATGAATATCAACAGTCCCACATCGAAATTCTACACAACACACACACCTTCCAAGGCTTATAAAAGGAGGCACAAGTCCCAAAATGGAGGTAACTGGAACTTTTGGCATACTAACCATAGCTTCGTCCATATACTTACTTAAGCATCGGAGAGCCTTCGGCTGGTACCACACTGGTGCTCTAGGTCTTACCGAGCGTTTCCTATCTTGCAGAGCGGGCACTCCTGCCGAGGCCCAGAGCATTCCGAAGGCCCAGACATCACTAAGTTGGGCCCAAAAGTGTCAAACCACTTTTTCGCATCAACAGTGATCACTTATGAAAATATTATCGTGTTGCAATAATATTCATCATTGTAAGTGTCATATTCTTCTCTTGCCGAACATTGTCAAACCACCCGCAATTGCCAGCAAATAGAATGTTGATCACAATCCTCTCTCTTTGTATTCTGTGTATGATTCATTAATTGTGGTTGGTTTGTTACATATGGAAAAAAACAAACATATAAAATATTATGTGTTTTTTATAAGAGAAATGCCATTAATATTCCATGAACAGTACAAATGAAACCGGCATGTTAACACGATCTCATCAAAACCTTCGCAGGAAATTAAGTCCGAGCAAGACCATACATGCAATAGACTAACAAAAGAGTCCAAACAAAACCAAAACTACAAAACAACACTTTTAAAACAAATCTACCTCACCACCAAATATAAGCTAATAGCAACCCATCGAAAGAGCATACCAACACCTCTTAGATTTTGTCAAAGAAGACCTCCTATGCAAACATAGTCCTTTGTACAACACGAGATTTTTTCAGCATGCAGTAGGTCAGAAACAATGACACACCAAAATGAACAATCTACAGGAACAAAACATAAAGAAATAAACTGAAAACTAAAAGAAACCCATCAAAAGAGCACACCACCGCCTCTCATGTTTTGTCAAAGAATGCCTCCTATACAAATGTAGTCCTTTGTAGAGCGCGAGAATTGTTTAGCATGCAATGGGTCATAACCAAAAGAAAACAAGACAACCACATGAACAAAACATAAAATAAAGAACTACCACCAAACGCCACCACCACCAAACAAGACAAAACAAAACACCACTACAAGCCCAACAAATAAAATCCCAACGCAATGTATGGTCGTCAAGGAAAACCTCCTATGTGCGCTACATGTTTATTTTCTGCTAATGATTAAGCTTCATGTTCATAGTTTGAAATGTTGGTGCTATTTTTTTTTAATTTTGTTTGAGGGTCGGCCGATGACCACAAATAAAATCATATATTTTGACATATTTTCTTTTAAATTTATTTTGCTCATTATTTTCTTTTATTAATAAATTGATAAATAAAGCCAAACAAAAATGAGAAAAGAAAGGAAAAGAAACCAGCTTTGACAATATGAGGCGTAAATGCATTTATTAATTGTCAATCATGAAATAAATCAAGTATGTGCCATTAAAGGATCCAGAAGAAACAAACAATAAAGGGGTTGTAACTCAAGTAATTAAGAGCATTTATCCGTGCATCTTAGGTCCTCGGTACATCAAGCCATGATCTCCAAATACCAGCAATGGTTTTTAGAAAGCTTGGAGCTTAAGCAAGTTAATTGCTAGACTGCAACAAATATATATCTCATTTTCAAATAGTAATTCTACCTCTCAATGAAACTTGCAGCCCACGCTAGGTAATCAATCAAACAGAGCAAATCCAAGATGTATTGTGGACGTCTTTGATAATCTCTCAATCCCTGTGCATTTATACCTTTTACTTTTTACAAGTTTTAAACCAAAGGCAGGAGGAGCTTGTTGACACATGCTTTTGCAACTTAGTATACCACTCTAGTTGGAAAATTCCAACATTAGCAAGTTGATCATTGATAATGTAATGTTACAAGTACTTAATCAATGCCCAGGTAACAATTGTTAAAATCACAACCGCAAGAACCAGTAGGACCAAAGAAGAACAACCGCCTTTGGTGCGTTTGTTCAGCACAGCCAATTTCTTTTGCACCCGCTGTTTCAAGAACAAACAATGTCAATGTGAGTTTAAATTCAATTAAATATAAAAGTGGAGGAGTATAACAAATCGAATCGGGTGAAACGATACCAAAATACACAGATTTTGTTTAGGGTTTGTAGTTCGAAAAAGTTTTGAGATTTATATTCTCTTTCTCTTTGACTATCCGATCATTAAGGTGGGTACTATGTTTGCCAGAAAGAGATCAGTTTATTCAAAACTATATGTCTACGCGAATGTTGGTGCTGTCCCATGAAATTCAAGCTAGGAAAGCAAGCAATAATATGGTAATGATAACCTGTAGTTTGGAATTTGTTGAGTCCACATGCTGGTCCAGATTATCCTGCATATTGTTTAAGAAAGACAAGTTAAAAAAACTGCAGACGTCTTCATCGCAACTCTGGTTGGACATAAAAGACACCATAATAAAGTAAATTGGAGAATCAGCAAAAGACTCAACCAGAAGCATAGTGTGCAGATCAAGTTCTTCATTTACTGCCAACGCAATGTGTTTTGTACTAATAACTGTCTCCTCCAATTTTTCAAGTCCTTCATCTTGTTCTGCTAGGAATGTAAAACACATTACCATTAGTCGCAGACTAAATCAACTATTACAGAAAGTAAAAACCATTTAATTTACAATCACATGCCCTTCATGATTTGCCGTTGAAAGCTAACAAGACCATGGTTGTCTAAATCAGCCGTTCTGCTCATTATATCATCCATCTTCTTATCAGGGCCAAGCAAGTTCTGTCTATTAGTAAGGCTAGACATGTTGAGAGCAATAGCCATTTGATCAGCTTTAGAACTCAAATTTTTGAGCATCTCTTTACGACGATTTATTTCTTTCCCAGTTCTGTTTATCACAGCAGCAATTATAATTTGTACAAAGAGTGAAAGCCAGCTAAAATAAAGTACGATATGAACAGAAAAACTTTTTTGCTTGCACAAAAGTAGTTGCTACCATTACATGCTACTCATTTGACTTTAGTAAACATCTTAACCAAAATCCTCTCAGATTTCCAAAAAAAGCAATCCTAATCCCATGACTTCGATATTCGATACCTAAACATGCGTTTTGACACAATTCAGGAGAAACACCACATTACAACCCACCACTATAGGGGCACATCATACAGACTCATCAGCAATGCATGGCAGAAGTTAGGGTTTATAGACATTAGTCAATTATACAAGTGAATAAGCAATTTTGAACCCAAAGAAAAAAGATTACAGCAACAGTAGACCAGGAATCCTTCAGACTGTCTCAGTAGAAAACATTATCTATCATATATAATTTTTTTATACATATATTTGTTCTCTGAGTTTTCAAACTTAAAACCATTGTATATTTATAAATGCAATCAAATATACACAATCATATGCTACAATGAACACAATCAGATCACCATTCATTAATTGATATCCCGTTGTACAAATGTTTTTTTTAGAATTCAGATCAGAACAAAAAAAAATCCATTTTTGTATGATTAGAACTACTTTCATGAACAAGAAAAAAAAATTCCATCAATCTATTCCAATCTTATTATGAGCCGACCATCTATCTATTACAAAAGATTTTACTGGATAAACTTAAGTGAATTAATGTTTAGTTGTTAAAAACATAGAACGAATCAACAGATATTTGATTAAGGAGATAATATGCACAAAATAACAAACATTTTAAATAAAATATTAAATCTTTCTTCTGTCATTATATTTGGTCTCCTTCCTTTTCCCTCTACAACCTGGATCAACTAGTTTTCGACAGTAGTTCATTCTCAGGTCATTGTTCCAATTGACTACTAAAACATATCAAAGAACTTCTCGCATTCTTTTTTTATTAGTTGCAATGTCATCCTTGATGGGGAAGGTTTAATTGATACCTTATATTAGTATTTCATTTTTTCTGATAAGAAAATGGATGGAGTATAATAAAATCGAACAACCTTTAGGTTCCTACGAAATGAGGTTTGGAGTAAAACCACTAAGAAGTTCCGGGGGATACAAAAGGAAATTCAAGCTAAATATTGGTCATGAGTTAGGAATAGGAATTGAACTCTACGAGAATACTCACATTGACTGCTTGTTAGGAAGTTTAGACAAGAGTGACTGCAAAGTCTCAAGCTTTGTCCTTAGTATTGTAACCTTTCTTCGAGTTGCAGACATATGACGTTGTGTTTCAGGTCCAGAGGGTGGCAATGAACTCCTTCCAGAAATCATACCATTGATTTCATCAGCAAGCTTTGAAGCATCATTGAATTCTCGCATCCATGAGTCAGGAGATGCCATTACTTTACTGCCAATACCAGACATATTGATATTAGTATGAACGTACGCATAGCCACTAAGCACATGGTTTAGTGCCCATTTGGGACTGCTTCTGTTCTAAGCTTTTCTGCCAACAGCTGTCAGAAGCACTTCTAGCTCTTGGTAAACATTTTTAATTTTAAATTACCTAATGAATACACATATCCATCCAGTTACATGATCATATAGCCTAATTAGAAGTAGTGTACACCTAAAACCAAAATCATCATTAAAATTTAAAAGCAGATAATACATTAATTTCTTACAACACATGGTCATGTCAGCTTAGCATGCTGACACTGAGCAGATACAGGTAACTATATATAGAAATATATATATATATATATATATATATATATATATTACAATTTTTCAGTGAACCCAGATTTGATTTTAGCGCTGCAAGGGTTTAGAGGTGTCAACGACAATAATCATAAATTCCTTGAATTTTAATTTACTAGTTCTAGTTCATACCAATTCCAATTTTAGACGGACAGAGAAAAGAATAGTAAAGACATTACCAGATTCGATGTAATCTTACTTGTTGTGAGGGATTTTGATTCGAATCAGAGTGGGCGTTGGAGAAACAGAGACGCGGACTTGAAGGTGAGAAGAAGCAAGAAAGAGCCCCGTTGCTTCCCTGAAAAGGAAGTACAATAGACAGAGGAAACAAATCCAACCAAAAGAACAAAACCGAAAACAAACAGACAAAAGAGAGAGAGAGAGAGTTTTTATTTTAATTTTTTTGTCTGTTATCCAATGAATGCGCATTAATGACTGGCGTTCTCTCGGGAAAAAACGAAGGAAAGCTAAAATGGACAAAATTGCCCATATTTATTTTTGAATTTTCTAAGGAATCTTTTACATTTGTTTGAAAATTGAGAGGTTTTTCTGTCTTTTTTTAAAAAAATTTGGTTTTTTCCAAAAGTGAAAGTTTTTTTTGTGACTAAAACCTAAATTTATTATATAAAAAAATTGAGGACTAGTTTGTAGGGAAATGACCCCCACTACCACCCATTTGCTAATATTAACTAAAAATACCACCCCTTCCCAATTTTTGCAAAACTATAACCTATAAATATAAAATTATTGTCCTCCTATTGCTGATTTATCACAAGTTCATAAATTTTGGTCTCTCTTAGCTCACGCAGCTCTCTCTCTCTCTCTCTCTCTGGCACAGCTCTCTTTCTCTTTGGTATTTCGCAACTCTCTGTCTCTCTTGGCTCTCTCTCTCTCTGTAGCACAACTCTCTGTCTCTGTCTTTGCTCTCTTTCTCATACCGCAGCTCTTTCTCTCTCTAGATTCGTTATGTCTGTTTCTCCCCATATTCGGTCTTGCTCTCTGTTTGGAATCGCGAACCCCTACCTTTAGGTATGTCTTCTGAATAGCTGCTTGCAACCGTGAAGCTCTAGTGGATTGCCGACCTCGAAAAGGTAGTGTTGATGGTTATTTTCTTTTAATATCAGTGGGATTATGTGAAATGGGTTACATTTTGATTGTTTGGGTTTGTGTTAAATTTGTTTTGGCTTTAATTGCTTTGGGTTAGGTTTTGTTGAATATCCATGCTGATTCATCTGGGTTTGTACCAATTGCACTTAGATTGGTCTGGATATGTGAATCTTGAAACTTGGGATTTTCCATTTGATGTAGTAGATCTGTATAGTGTGATTCTGATGTGTTACACCAGTGTTCCTCTTATTTTACCGTCGTATTGTTGTTATGTTGCTGTTATATTGCCATTATATTGCTGTTATATTGCTGTTATATTGTATGGTTATTGTGGTTATATTGCTGTTATATTGCTGTTATACTGTATGGTTATTGTGGTTATATTGTGTTAATGAACTGTTGTTTTGTCATGGTCAGAAATGGAGACAATTGTTATTCTCGTGTGCTACAATGGAAAATGGGTCACCTCGAAGAAGATGTGCAAATACGAAGGGGGTGACTCAAAAGGCTTAATAGTTCCACGGACCATCAAATTTGCTGAACTGTTGGACCGTGTGCATCAGATTGGTAATACAAACAGCAGGGAAGACAAGGTTTGCTTAAAATTCTCAGTTTTGGTGGCCTCGAATGAGTGGAAGCACATAAAGATTGAGGATGATGATGATGTCAATTTTTTTATGAAGTACAATTCTGAGGTAACACCTTCAAAACTAGCTCCCTTACTCGTGAGTATAGAAGATAAAGGACTCACAAATGATGTAGTTGATAGTATGCATATCACGACAAATAGTAGTCGGATGGGTCCTTCTTCAGTCGCCATTGTTGAAAGCAATGAAGTAAGTTGGAATAATACAAATGGCAATGATGTGGGAGGTGAAGTAGGGACAGATTTTATGGATATGATTGATTTTAGCGAGGTGGAGGACATGCATGGTGGTGATAATGGTACTGAAAGAAATGAAGTGTCAGTGTACTCTGCCCCTCCTATTTTGGGCTGCTTGAACACATCTGCCCAACTGCCAATAATGCGTTTAGGAGGAGAATCTGAACCCATTCGTGAACATTATTGGAATCAAATAGGTGAACAGAACCGGTACAATGAAGCCGGTGTAAATGATGGGGAAGCATATTTGGATAGCGGGTGTTCGCGAAGTGATTGGAATCCGAAAATTACAGTTGGGCAATTTTCTCTAGTAAGAAAGCATTGTTGACGGAGTTACAGTTGACGGCAATAAGAGGCCACTTCGAATTTAAGGTGCAATTCTCCTGCACAAAGAGGTTGCTTGTGGTTTGTTGTCAACGTCCATGCCCATGGCGGGTCCGAGCATCGAGATTTGGAGAATACAGCTTCATGATTGTGAGGTGTACAACTGTCCATGAATGTGATTTGAGGTTCATAAGTGACAACCATCGTCAAGCAACCGCAGCACTTGTAGCCACTTCATGTAAAAGGAAGTTGAAGGATTCTCGGACAATATACACACCAAGTGACATTATGAGAGATGTGAAACACAACTTTGGTTTAAGAATCCATTATTCGAAAGCTTGGAAAGCAAGGGAGTTAGCTCTATTGTCCATTAGAGGATCAGCGGAGGAGGCATATTATATTCTTCCAGCTTATTGCTATGAATTGGAGCGTATGAATCCCGGCACAAAAACACACATCCAAACTGATGGGAACAATCACTTTGTGTATTTATTTATGGCGGTTGGTGCATGTATTAGAGGGTTTTGTTCTTCCATGCGCCCAGTGATAGCTGTGGATGCCACTCATTTAAAATCCAAGTACAAGGGTGTTATGTTTGTAGCAAATGCATTCGATGGTAATCGAAATATATATCCTCTTGCTTTTGGGATCGGGGATTTGGAGACGGATGCATCATGGCATTGGTTTTTCACTAAACTTCATGAAGCCATTGGTGAGTGTCCCAATCTTGTTATTATTTCTGATCGAAATGTTAGCATACAGAATGTGTGGAACAAAGTTTTTCCAACTGCGCAACATGGCATATGCTTTTATCATATGAAGGGGAACATGAAACGCACTTGCAAGTTGAAAAAGCGTGATCCAATACTTATGCACTTTGAGCAGGCTGCGAAATCTTATTCCATTGCTGAATTTGATTGTCATTTTCGCAAGATCAAGCGAAAGGAACATGTTGCTCAATATCTTGAAGAGGCAGGGTTACATAAGTGGTCTAGAGCTCACATGGATGGACGCCGCTACAATGTAATGACAACAAATATTGCGGAGTCAATCAACTCAGTCCTTAGGTTTGCAAGGACGCTGCCAGTGGTTCATTTGATAGGGGAAATTATGAATCTCCTTGTCAAATGGTTCACCGAACGTCGTGAGTTGGCTTTGAAGTGCACAACAACATTGTGCCCCAATTTTGGAGAGAAGAAGTTGAGGAACAGGTTGGAGGATGCTGCAACGATGAATGTGGTTAAAGTGAATAATGCACAGTTTAATGTTTTGGACGGTCATATGGATGGCCTCGTAGATTTGACAAACAACACTTGCAGTTGTAGAAAGTTTCAGCTTGAGCAGCTACCTTGCAAGCATGTAGTTGCAGTTTGCCGCTTCTTGAAAGTAAATGTATACTCAAAGGCTTCTCGGTATTACACTCGGAAAACCTGGATGGATGCTTATTTCGGATAGCATCTACCCGATACAGCCTCACGGAATGTGGGATATTCCTGAAGATGTTCGAAGTCGAGTTGTGCTGCCTCCCATTGCAAGGGTCATGCCAGGCAGACGAAAGAAGATAAGAATTCCCTCGCAAGGAGAGGGCACCATTAGAAGAAAGTGCTCAAGGTGTGGTTCCGCAGGCCACAATAAAAGCACCTGTAAAAACACTATTCCACTGCGCAATGTATCTTAGACAATATGATTTCTGTTGCTTTGGTAGGTCATGTCAACTTTACTTTTATTTGTGGTGGGTTTCGTGTTATGTTGAATGGGAATTCTTTTACATTTGCATAATTTGGGTTGCATTGCTACAGCATGCTGTATTGCGTCCAGATTGCCATTATATTGTACTTTTATTGCCATGGTATTACTTCCATATTGCTATTATAATTCAGTGCGAAATTAAAGGGCCTGGAATGTAATTCCAAATGGATCCAAAACATTCAAGTTCTTTGAATTCCTTTATGACACAGTTACCGTGATACTCCGACTATACCTTCTTTTGTGATTACAAATTCGGCCGATGCATAGGCCACATGTGGGGGCAAATACAAGGTGAAATGTCCTATGTGTTTGACTACATATCGTTGTTGAAGGAGCATTACGAATGTTAACCCCAATAGATTGCTCATGTCCAATGGATAATTTAGGGGTTGAAAGAGGAAGGAGCACGAGGTTTTGGGGTGTCATGGGGTGGGGGGGGGGGGGGGGGGGGGATGTGTGCTACAAGGCATGCATTATATATATAGAGTTCATTTTGAAGGTCTGTAATGTAGGTCATATGTCTTTTAAGGGATGTATAATTCATCCTTTTTCCAGGTTGTAATTACTTTTATTTTTT